TATTGTGTTGGCAAAGGGTACAGAGCGACTAGTACATGAGAACACCCTTCTGTCTACTAAGGTACATACCCTTCAAGCAGCCAACAAAGCCCTTAGCAAACGCCATAGGGCTAAAAAGGCTCGTGTCTATGAAGGAAGTGCACTTATAGTCGAGGATGCATAGGATATTATCACACAGAAGGATGTGGATGAGCAGGTACGACACGACGTATGTATGGTTAGGGGTAGTCATAAGGAGGGGCAACTGTCTAGGCGATGTTGTGGGATCTGTAGAAAAGCTGGTCATAATGTGTGAACTTGTCAAGAAGCTATACATATGTCTAGTCCATCTGATTCTGCTTAGTTATAGTTAATTTAATATGCTATGGTTTATTTATTAATATTCAAAGTTAAATGCCAAGGAAAAGTGTCTGAGGTACTGATATGTCTAATGTACTAATAAACCACATTAACACAACAACAACAACAGGATAATGATAATGATAATTCATTAGCTGATTTTGAGAAATCATTATATTCTCAAAATATAGATGAAGATTTTGAAACAGAAATGTCTCTTTATTTTCAAGAGCCTATTTCTAATTAAGGTAAGTTATAAACAATCTTATTAAAGAAGTAATATACTAATATTTCTATAGGTTAATCCTTTAGACTATTGGAAAATCAATCAATCCTGATTTCCTATACTAGCTATAATAGCTATATAGATAGTTCTTTTAGTACAGGGAGTCTTATTATTTGGAAAACTAGGAATAGGCTTTGAAGGAGGTTTTTAAAGTTATAGTCTGTTTAAAGAGTTAAGATTTTATATAGGAAGAAGAAGAGAAAGACTTTAAAGAAGAATTTATAGCTAAATTAGTAGTTTAAATAGCTCTTAGCTTATTTAGTATATTATACTTTCTTATATTCTACCTATATACTATAGCCTTACCTCTAAGCTAGCTTATAACTTAAATAATAAGTAACTTTAGATAACGTACATGTATAGCGAAAGCGCCAAACAAGCGAAAGCGCCAAAATGATGCGGTGACCAAACCCCCCAACTAAATGTTAAATTCCTCAACAACAAAACATGCCCCATAAAAACGATGAAAGCCAATTAGTGCTAGCTATCCAGGCTATGCAAAGCGACCCAAAGTTACGCCTTCGAGTTGCTGCTAGGATCTATTCTGTGGACCACCGCAAGCTAGGTCGTCGTCTAGAAGGTGTACCTTCACGACGCGATATCCAAGCCAACTCACGGAAATTAACTAACCTAGAGGAGTCCGTCCTTGTTCAGTATATACTCGACCTAGCTGCCAAAGGGTTTCCTCCTCGGCTGTCTGTTGTTGAAGATATGGCAAGTCGACTACTTGCAACACGCGACGCGTCACGCGTTGGGTCGCGTTGGGCTTCAAACTTTGTTAAGCGGCGTGTAGAGCTCCAGACACGCTTTCAGCGCAAATACGACTACCAGAGGGCTAAGTGCGAAGATCCAGAAGTTATTAATGGCTGGTTTGAGCTTGTGCGTAACACAATTGCGAAATATGGTATCGATGAAGCAGATATCTACAACTTTGATGAGACTGGGTTTATGATGGGCGTTATCTCAACTGCTATGGTTGTAACAAGCTCAGACGGGCGGGCAAAAGCAAAGAAGGTACAGCCTGGTAATCGGGAATGGGTTACAGTAATCCAAGGCGTTAGTTCTCAAGGTTGGGCAGTACCACCATTTATCATTGTTGCAGGCAAAAACCACCTTACATCTTGGTATGAGAATAGTGGATTTTCAAGCGATTGGGTGATTTCTGTTACTGAAAATGGCTGGACTACAAACGAGAGAGGCATGGATTGGATTCAGCACTTTGAGAAGCATACAAAGGCCCGGAGTGTTGGTGGTTATCGCTTGTTAGTCCTTGATGGTCATGAGAGCCACCACTCAGATGAGTTTGAGGAGTACTGCAAGGAACACAACATTATTACGCTTTGTATGCCTGCTCACTCTTCTCATCTACTCCAGCCACTTGATGTTGGCTGTTTCGGCCCGTTAAAGCAGGCCTATGGTCGGCAAATTGAAGATATGATGCAGGCTCATATTTCTCATATTACAAAGGATGACTTCTTTCCTGCCTTCCACGCTGCATTTAACACTACAATGACGGAAAGTAACATTCGAGGCGGGTTCCGAGGGGCAGGGCTTCTTCCATTTGACCCTGAGAGAGTGATATCTACACTTGATCTTAAGTTAAGGACACCAACGCCTCCAAGCTCCCGCCCAGGTACTGCTCAACCTTGGGTTTCTCAGACACCAAACAACCCAATTGAAGCTATGTCACAGTCTACATTTATTAAAACTCGGATTTCACGCCATCAAAATAGCTCTCCAACCTCAATCTATGCAGCTGTTGACCAGTTTACAAAGGGTGCATCGCAAATAATGCATCAATTAGCACTGCTAAAGGGAGAGAACCAAAACCTACGACAGGCAAATGAAGTACTAAGCAAGCGCCGGAGAGCTAGGAAAACACGACTACAGCAAGGAGGATCACTTAGTCAACAAGGGGCGCAAGAGCTACAGGATGAGAGGGATGTTGTGCAGCAGGTAGAGCAGGAAATAAGGGCAAGCCGTGGTCGGAAGCCAAGGGAAGAAACCCGTGCCCGTCGCTGTGGCAAGTGTGGTGAGACTGGGCACAATGCGCGCACGTGTCAGATTGTAATAGACACCTCTGAGGAAGAGGACTCCGAGTAGTTTCAATTGATTTCTAATGTTGTGGTAGATTTATCGCAATGTTTGTCGTGAGGGTAGATAATTTTGGCGCTTTCGCTTGTTTGGCGCTTTCGCTATACATGTACGTTATAGGTTTTTATTAAAAAAATCCCACTACATTTCTATCTTTTTTATTACCTTTAGTCACTTTTGTAAATTTTGGTGGTCGCGAACGCACATCGCTTCCCGAATGCATATCGCTTACCAGCACGATTAGTGGTTTTTGACATTCTCACGATGCACTGCAGCACCAACTTAACCTCTCGCGCGGAGCGGACACATCCACTACTCTATCCGCGAACGACACTCAGGCTCAAGGTCGCAGTCGTGAATTTATTAAGGTTCTGAGACGGTGAGATGAGTGGTGAGGGATTTAGGATCAGTGATGCCTAGCGGAAACGTTCCATGACGGCGTACTCTTCTTATACGGCTCAGCCCCAAACCCACGGGGTCGACGAGATGAACGTCATGCCGTCAATAATGTCATCCACGTAGTTCATTCTGTGGGTAGCGATATGGAGTAAAGAACGGAGAGTGCCATGCAGAAAACCCAAGAAATGCATCCGTCGGTAGCGTGTGGTGGATGAGAATATCCACACCTTCTCCATCAACTCCCCATTTTTCTTTTCTTGTTTGGCAATTTGTGCAGAGTCTCCATAGTCTTAGTTTGTTCTCACAAATCGACTTCCATACCTTTGGCCATACTAGCCGAATGGGGTTATGCGACCCAGCGACCATTTCTGGCATGAGCCATGAAATCGGCAGCAAAGCATCAGTCGTGCTTGGCCGAGCGGGGTGGAGTCAGTTCACTGGATCAGTAGGTACACACGAAATGGACACAAATACACACCTCTCGGTTTCCTTGCCATCTCCGCGCCGTCGACATATCATCGTCATCGCCGCCACCCCTGAAAATGGCGCTAGCCACCACGCCAGGCGGCCCATTTCATGTCCCTAGTCTTAACAGCCCTTGGCGGTACCTGGCAAGTTACGGATTTCGTGCCAGACTTCCGAATCCCTCCCCCCAGCCTCCTTCTCATTTGTCGCATTGAGGGACTGTAACTGTAACGATACTTGCCGGATACTTGCCGGGTTCAAAGGCTTCTGTGAGGATGATACTAGTGCCACAGTAGAGTACCTCACACCAACCGAACCTTCTCTGTTCGTTTGTCAAACACACATGATGGCGCCCTGGTTCTCGCAGTTACTTTGTGATGTATTGCGCTGTAAGCCCTGTAAGCCCTGTATGCCCTGTATGCTCTGTATGCCCTGTATGCCCTGTATGCTGTATGCCCTGCATGGTGGGCCGGGAGAGACGGCGGGCCTCCGCTTTTCTGTCTCTGCGCTACCGGGGGGGGGAAGGTTGTGTGTGTACAGTATGTGCAGAGAGGAAGGAATGGGGAAGGAATGGGGGAAGGAATGGGGGGAAGGAACGAAGGAACGGGGGGAAGGAATGGAGAAGGATAAAGGGAGAAGGGATAAAGGGAGAAGGGATAAAGGGACAGCATCTCGCCGAACTTACTTCGAGTACGGAGTACTTGGTAGCATCTGTGCCTGTATCTGTCTCTCCGAAGACAGTGACAGCCCCCATTTCCGCCAAGCCTAGCTCGCACAAAAGGCGCCCACTTGGATGGCAAAGATGCAAAGATGGGTTCCCTCCCCCACCCAAACTGTTGCCCTCAGTTGCTCAGTCCGCCTTGCCATCCCTGTCTGGGTTCATGGCAGCTGTAAGAAAGCGCAGGTAAGGTGAAGAAGGGAGGGAACCCAGCGCACCACCACAACACCACACCACCGCACCACCGCACCACCGCACCACCGCACCACCGCACCACCGCACCACCGCACCACCGCACCACCGCACCACCGCACCACCGCACCACCGCACCACCGCACCATCACCACCCGCCGCACCGCCCAGTTGTCCAAGTCAAGTGTGGATGTTCTATGGGCCAAGCTACTCCCAAGGTAGCCCAATAGCCACTCCATTAAATATATATTATACTCTTCCCTCATTCTCCCCTCCCTCTTCTCACTCCCCTCCCCTCCCTCCTCTCACTCCCCTCCTCCTCTCACTCTATTTCCCCCCATCACATCAACCTCTTCACATTTCCACAACACAACAGATCCTTCCCATCACTTCTTGTGTATCGCCCCTACCACTCGGAAGTCCTCGTTGACTCCGTTCATTCGCTTTTGCGTCCATTTTGCAGAGTGTCGGCATCCTCAAACCCAACCCCCACGCAGCAGCCCTTAACTGAGAAAGCTGAGAAAGCTGAGAAAGCTGAGAAAGCTGAGAAAGCTGAGAAAGCTGAGAAAGCTGAGAAAGCTGAGAAAGCTGAGAAAGTTGAGAAAGCTGAGAAAGCTGAGAAAGCCCGCATCACCTGCCTGAATCACCAAAACACAACAGACAGCCCACCCAAATCCATTTCGCTCCTTCATCCTCTGGGGGGCTCCTTACTCTTGCCATTGCCGGATTTGAAGGGAGGAGAAGAAAGAAAACCGACGAGAGCACGAGAGCACTGCAGTAGACTCGGCCGCTCTCTCCTCATTCATTTCATCTCTGCCAGATATCACAAGGTATCACCTGTGACCACGTTCGTTCCTGCTCATCTCGGGCCTATACAACCTCTTTCTGACCACCAAACCGCCATCAAAACTGTCGCCAACTGTCACCAACCATCTCCAACCGCAACACCCTTGCGCCACGTTCCGCGCTTACCCTGGCCATTTGTCTGTTACTCAGCCAGGCTGCATTACCTCACCGTAGCTGCAGAGTAGTACAGATAGTACAGAACAGAAACCCTGAGTGGCGAAGGGTGCCGAAGAAACCGCTGGTCTTTTTTCCCGCTTTCTAAACAGTTGTACCTTGCGGTCCCTGGACGGCAGTAAGACCGCCGTCGAAAGTCCACCATAGAACAAATACTGGGGGAGACGCGATCATACCTCCCACAGCATATTTTCGCCTCATCCGTCACTCATCCCGTCACCTCATCTCATCCTACGACTCTGTTCCTCGCTGCACAACCAACCCGTCTGTCGTTACATTCCCACGCATCTAACTTCGTCGTAAAGTGCATATCATCTCCTGCTACGTTTCGTCGTGCCTGAACCCCACACAAAGGCACTTACTTCTCCGCGCCTGTCGTCTTACCCAACTGTCACTCTCACCGGCTCCACCTAGCTCAAACTCCATCTCCACCGCCCATCCGCTCAACTCCGAACACTAACGACTTGCCTTCCATCATCAAACGCGTTGTTATCCCTTGGTCTCTTGTAGCCAAGGTGACCGGACTACCGCCTGCTTTGGCCGCCGCTCTCCGAGCTAAGCCTTATCACCACGCTCGTTAAATTTAACCTTCGTTCCCAATCCTGACTCTACATATACCCCTCCAAGGTATCTTGTGATCAGCTTTGACTTTATATTTCTCTTTCAATAACCTTTCACCTTTTTGTCTTTCTGTTTGGATCCATCGACGATCCATAAGTTTTAACCAGGCTTTGGCCTAATCACGCTCGTTAACTGCTCGAACAACAACTCCTCTCTCGTGTGGACACACCGTCTTCACTCTTAATTATTCACAATGGCTGGACCCGGTGGTGGCCCTCCCAGACGGAGGTATGTGGCTTCACACTCTTGTTCTTGATTAATATACTGACACACACACAGTCATACCAAGTCTCGCAAAGGCTGTGATACTTGCAAACGTAGACACATCCGCTGTGATGAAAACTTCCCTCAGTGCAAGAACTGCACCAAACACAATGTCCGCTGTCCATACATGGACATGCCTCCCCCAGAAGAGCGCGTGCCTACTCCTGAAAGGCCAGATCTTGCGTGGACCCCCGCGATCGAGGATGAGATCAACCGCTGGCAACAGACGGGCGTCTTCCCCTTCCCCGAGCTTGCCATCTACCCTCAGCCAAACCCGCAAGCCTTCTCGATCGAGGATTTGCGCCTCATGCACCATGTTGCCGCTATCTCGACGGAGCTGGGCATGCTCGATGCTGGATCGTTCACTATCTGGGCGAACCAGATTCCTCTTTTCCTGAAAATTGGCTCAACATATGGCTTCGTTATGCATGCCCTCTTGGCATTCTCTGCAACTCACATCGCCTGGCTCACTGAATGCCCTATTGTCAGACAAATGGCATATGAGCACCGAGGCATCGCTTTGAAGGGACTCCACGAGGACATCGGTACCTTCTCCCGGAACAACTCGGATGCAGTCCTCGCCGCCTCCCTCCTCTTATCTTGGCAAGCAACTGAATGGTAAGCTTGATTATGTGACAGGCTAGAACCCGACTAATCATTACTGTGTAGGCGCGGATGGACCCAACTTATGCACGGAACGTCATCGGTATGCATTCAAATCTAGTCACAGGTTATGAATGAAAGCTCATATGTTACAGGTTATCGACGCCATGCAGCCATGGAAGAACGAATCCCAATTCGGTGCCTTCATTGCCGAGCAATCCACATTCCCAACAGCTCCGCCATCTCCAATTCCGAACAGGAAGCTCAGTCAACCCCTCAAGCAAGACATCGAGGCCCTTGGTGAGGCCCACGCCCAACTTCAGATGGCCGAGAAGTTCTTGGTCGAGAGTGGCGAAGATACTCAAGCAATTGTTCAACTTGCTAGCTTTGTTTGTGGCATCCGCAAGGTTACACTAGCTCACACTGCTGCACAACGCTTCGAGATGTTGAATCCACTCCGAACTTGGCTCTTTTGGCTACCAGCTATGTACCTCCAACAGCCACATGTCAGCCCATACGCTTTGGTTGTCCTGGCATATTACTACACTGTTGCATTGGTTGTCGAGCCTATCTTCCCTGAAGTTGGAGCTGCCTACTTCGGCAGTCTTTCACTTGGGCCAATTGAGCAAATTGCGCGCCGCCTATTCTCATCCAACCTCTCACAATCCGCCGACGAGCTCCAGACACCGCTTGCGCTGATGGAGTACCCCATTGATATGGTTACCAACTTCCGTCGTCGGATGGGGTGGGAACAGCCTGAGCGGACTGCATCGTTCCCAACATTTGAGAACAACATGTTCTACGATATCCACGACAGCTTTGAGCCTAGCCAATTCAGCCTCGGTAGCAACCCGGCTTTCAGCTACAGCCAGGAGCCACTGGCACCATTCATCAAATCGGAACCTGGCTCAGCCATCAGCCCTCTGGGCATGGAACCATTTGCTGGCTCTTCGGGTCAGTATCTTGGAATCCCATCTCCGATTGGATTTGGTGGCTACAACAGCCCAGGAGGATCATCATATGGAGATGTGGCATACAGCGATCAGGCAGAAGGCTTTTACTATGACATCCAAGGAAGGGGACCCGGTGCGTTTGGCGGGTTCGTGCCTCATACAGTGTGGACTTAAGTTTGGCGGATCAGGAAATAACATCGCCCAGGACGTTCAATGCAAGCTTAGGGGCCAGGAACGATGACCCCCACTCCTCACCAACTCCGAATACTGCTATAGTCCCGTCACAAACAATGGACAACTACAACTCCTCACCATCAACACAATCTCAACGATACTCACCACTCCTTTCACCACGCTATCCTCGCGTGCACTCTCAATCTCCACAACACCGCTACAGCCCTTACACCACTCAACCACCTCCTTCTCCGAAAGGAAAAGGCCGCCAGCAACAATAGAAACACAATTTTACGACTTTTTACGACTCTCCTCTACTTACAGAATACGGGAAACACGATGATTCTCATGTAATAACCAGCTTAATGAAGCCGCAGCGAAATCATTGGGTATCTTTCTAAACGCCGTTCCCAAAAAGCTAAGGATAGGAGGGCTTGACAGAGCTAGAACGATAGCACGTCACGGTCCTTAAGATACCCAACAACACATCTGCATTGGTTTGGCGCAACACTTGCTTTTTTGATTTTAGAACAACTTCGGAATTTTTGATATTTGGTTTGCGATTTGGGATGCGATTTGGGACGCGGGAATAGACGCAATTGGGCAAAAGAGGAAACAAGCATGTATGGCTTTTGGAATTTGCTCGCTGTTTTGCGATTTTTTTGTAGCAACTGCAGGCGGAGAAGCAGTTTGCGCGCGCGGCTGCGGACGATGGATGAGTCCGGGCAAACTCTGTATACTGGTAGCTAGCTTTCTGATATTTTTTGATATTGCTTGGAGGGCTGGAACAGGACTGGGAATGAAGGACGTTTCAATTACTGCCATTTAATATCGACTGCTTTTGCATGTGATTCCGCTTTGAAGTGACCAGTAAGATAACTCGCCAAGTACACAGTTACCATGCCTTAAGACACCATGTTTCATTCCCCATCTGCAACCCCCCCAGCGATCGCCAGATATGCATCGATGCGGCTAATTCCCCAGCCTTGCCGCTAATGTGCGATCCTCCCGCACTTTTTTGGGCATGCAAGTACGTAGCTCGCTTAGCGCACCCGCCGCGATTATGATGAGCTACTCGTCGCTGGTTGATTGACGACCCTCCACTTACTTAGTTCGTGAATCCAAACGACAACAACAAGCTTTGAGGATTGTTATTTCTGCGCTTTTACGTGTAGAGTCTGGATACAGAAAAGACAGAGAACTGGGAAATTTGCAAAGATGAGTGGGGGCTGGAATACTAGTAAGCTATCCCTCCCTTCCTGGTTGCTGTCTTAAGGACACACAAAAATCACCGAGCTCTCAATCTCACCACCACGACCACCTAGCTAACTCTACTTCCCCCCACAGTCGAATCCGACGCCGGAGTCTTCACCTTCCTCCTCGACAACCTCGGCGTAACAGGCGTCCAATTCGAAGAGCTCCTCTCCCTCGACCCCACCGCCCTCACCTCCCTCTCCCCCGTCTACGGCGTAATCTTCCTCTTCAAATACCCCACCACCGCGCTCCCCTCCCCCGCCCCCGGCACCCCACTCCCCGCCGCAGCAGAATCCCTCTTCTTCGCCAAACAAACGATCCAGAATGCGTGCGGCACGCAAGCCCTCCTCTCCGTCCTCTTGAATGTCGACACAACTGCGCCGTCTGGGAAGTGCGTAGCGCTAGGAGGGGAACTGGAGGGGTTTAAGGAGTTTACAAGGCAGTTCCCGGCGGAGTTTAGAGGGGAGGCGTTGAGTAATAGTGATCGCATCCGCGAGGTGCACAATTCGTTCGCGAAGTCGTCGCCGTTTTCGATAGAGGAGCAGCATAGGGCTGCGGGGGAGGATGATGAGTTATACCACTTCATCGCATACACCCCCATCGACGGGATTCTCTACGAGCTTGACGGCCTCCAAGACGCGCCGCTGAGCCATGGTAGCTGCACGTTTGAGGAGTTCCCAGAGAAAGTGGTGCCGGTGCTACAGGCGCGGATTGCGCGGTACCCGGCGTCGGAGATCCGGTTCAATTTGTTGGCGATGGTGAGGGATCTTAGGATCAGAGCGAGGGAGACGGGGGATGAGGGGTTGTTGGCGCAGGAGGAGGGCAAGAGGCAGGAGTGGGTGTTTGAGAATGCGTTGAGGAGGCATAATTTTGTGGGGTTTGGGGCGGAGATGTTGAAGGCGGTTATGAGGGAAAAGGTGAGGGAGGGGAAGTATGAGGAGTGGGTGGAGGGAGCGAAGAAGGCGTATAAGGGGAGGGTGGGGGAGAGGAGGAAGGGGGGGAGGATGAGGAGATGGCGGGGTAGGGGGGGGAGGGGGTTCTTTGATGGGCGATGGGGGAGGGAAGCTGTCTGCGTCGGGGACTAGGAGGGTGATCCTCATTGTCGGTCAGGTCTGCGGGAGGATTTATCAAATAGAAGCAGCAGGGAGAAGCCGAGAGGGTTGGCTATCGTTGGTGTTCATCATGCATTTGCCATGGCGTTCTATACCATGTTGCTATAGACATGTTTCTATAGACGGGCTACGTATAAGACGAGGAGCTCGTTATGGATGAAAAATGGCAACTAGATTTCAAGTTCTCGTTATAAGACATTTCGTCAGCTATTTTGAGAATCATCGAGCTTGCCGTCTGGAAATGCCATGGTTTCTTGGTTCCAACAGCTTTCTCACCTACTTAGTAACACATCAACCCTGAAGACCAACCACTTCCATGACTATACTATCGGATGTTGTCTAATCTTCGAAATCCAAAGTATGAACTTACACCCTTACAGAGCGGTATCAAGTGAATTTCACAGCCTCGCAACTGAAAACATGGCAACCGATAGCCTCACAACAACTGAAAACATATCAACCAACTTCCTCCCGCTGCCCCGCGAGCTTCGGGATAAGATATACGAGCTATGCCTGACGCATAAAAAACAGCTCGCATCCAGACTCCTTGGCGTGAACAGATCTGTCAACCATGAAGCTAGCTTAGTGCTATACAGCAATCATTTCAATTTCACCACGACTTCAAACAACCACGTCACACCATTCCTCGAGACCATTGGCACAAATAATGCTGGAAACATCCAGCATATTAAAATCAACTTCCCAAACTTCCGCAACCTAGAGTTAGGTAATGTCACTATTGATGAGGATGACACCCGCGTCCTTGAGAGCATTCAGCGCAGGTGCACAAGTCTGAAAAGTCTCACGTCATTCCGATGCAGTACATACGATATGGAATATAAGTTGCGCGCGCTCCACAACCCTAACATCGTTATTGAGGCGTTAGGGCTAGTTAATAGTCGTCTTAGAGCCATGCCATCCCTCCAGGATATTATCGTCGAGGTCTTCGAGGACCCCCCCAGCGATGAAATATGGGAGATTATGTGGAATCAAGGATGGACGATTGTCGAAATGGAGTATGAGGAGGATTGGGGAGACTCGGATGATAGTTGGTTGGGGGGGATTGATGACCTAAGTATAGCCTTGGCGGGTCAGACGGCGGTCATCGACTACCTCAACTGACGACAACCCGATATAACCAACATCCCCATCCACTCCACTCCCCAACCAACCACCACCCGCCACGACCGACATCATCACCGACCTCACCTACACGCCGAACACCTACATCTCTCGTGCAACCTACCATCCTCCTCACAGCCACCCACCCACTGCCGCCCACCCGTCCTGGCCAGGCCACACACCGACCATGAAGCCCGCCCGCGTCCGCACCGCGCGGCATGTCGACTCCGGCCCCGACCTCTTCGCCAACATCTACATCCAGTCCTCCTCTGGCGCCTCACACAGCCGTCCCGAGCCCTACACCGCCGGCGCCGGTGGCGTTGCCAGCAGCAGCAGCGTGATGATGGAGAGCTCGACGGCGAACGGGCTGCTGATCGGGCTGCTGTCGTCGTTTGGGTCGGCGCTGTTCATCGCGCTGGTGTTTCTGGTGGTGTACTTCTTTAGGTATACCCAGGGAGGCCGCATTCTGCTGGATCGGATTGGGAGGCCCGGGGAGTATGATGACGAGCAGAGATTTTTGAGGGAGGAGGCTGAGGCGCTGGAGACGATGGAGGAGGGGCAGAGGATTGATTATTTGAGGGCTAAAGGTAGGTCTTCTGCTGTTCTTGGGGGAATGGTTGGGGGTTGTTTGTGGCAATTGCTGACAATGTCGTTTACAGCCTTTATCGAATCGAATCCGCCGGATTCATTACCTACCGACATCTCGCTTTCACAATACCTGGCTATCCAAGAGAAGGGCGTATCAGCGTGGGAGTTTGAGCCAGAACTGGAAATAGCGAATTGTTTCGTCGAAGCCAGGACGGAGATTGAGTTCTTCGACAGCGAATGCTGCGTCTTGAGCAACCTTCCCGTCCCGAAACAGAACGAAGTGTATTATTGGGAGAGCAAGATCTACGATAAGCCCGAGCAGACTATGATCAGCATTGGCATGGCTACTAAACCCTATCCTCTATTCCGTCTACCTGGTAAGCTCCCCCGCCTCTCCTTCATCCAACAACACCGCCCACCTCCTCTCCCCCCACCCAACTAACAACCCCCTAGGCTGGCACAAATACTCCGTAGCCTATACCTCCACCGGCCAACGCCGCTACAACCAACCCTTCACCCCCACCTCCTACGGCCCCCCCTACGTACAAGGCGACGTCATCGGCGTCGGCTACCGCCCCCGCACCGGCACCCTCTTCTTCACCCGCAACGGCAAGAAGCTCGACGACGTCGCCCACGGCCTCAAATCGCAGAACCTCTTCCCCGCCGTCGGCGCAAACGGGCCTTGCACCGTGCACGTCAACTTCGGGCAATCGGGGTTCGTGTTTATCGAGGCGAATGTCAAGAAATGGGGACTTGCGCCCATGACGGGGTCGCTGGCGCCGCCGCCGCCGTATGGGAGTGAGCAGGGGAGTATTCTTTTGGAAGCTGGTGGTGCGGGGGGTGGCGCGACGGAGACGGCGCATAATCATCAACCGAGTCGTCATGGGCGCACGAGGAGCGGGGATATATTCCGCGGTCACACGACCAGTCCGGGGCCGGTGAGAAGCCCAACGGATATCTCCCTCGCGCATCTCGTGCATATACCTCCCCCGACTGATTATGGGGGAGAGGGGAGCGCGGGACGGGTGGCGGGGTTACATCCTAATGCTGTTTTACACGCGGCGGGGCTGGGTATACAACTCCCGCTCCCAGCACCCTCGACACAGGTGGTGCAGGGGGTCGTGGAGGATCATACGGCGCATCCGCCGCCGGAGTACTCGAGTCCGCCGACGAGTAGGAGGGGGAGTGATAGTGATGGGGAGGGGGAGAGGAGGAGGTTGCTTGGTGGAAGTGGAAGTGGAAGCGGAAGTGGGAGGAGGGGGGGGAGGAGCCCGCCGATCCCGAGTTATAGTGATGCTGTTGCTGAGGGAAGGAGGGGGGAGGAGAGGGGGAGGTCGGGGACTGTGTGATTCCACCCCCCCGGTTTTCCGTTCCCGTTTCCGATGCTGGATACGTGGTGTGGTATGCTGTTTTGATGAGAGGGGAGGGTTTTTGGTTTTAGTGGGGGTTAAAATGCTACCGAGGCGTTCATACAGTGGTGCTCCCTGCATCCCTTTCTTTTCGTTTGTCTTTTCATCGTTTGGTTTCGGTCTGGTCTGGGTTTGGGGCAGGGGGGTATAGCGATCATTGATTTGGGTGGTTGGGAGAGGGACATTGTCGAATATTTAAGCTTTGTTTTTTGTTATTGGAGGGGAGTTCTATTATTTTTGGGGAGGGGGGGAGGATGGGATGGTACGGGGGGTGGGGAGGGGGTTGTTGATATGGAGTTTTTCGATTGAATATGGAGGGGTGGTGGGGGTTATATAGTTTACCTCGTAAATGGAGGGAGATACACTGCTCAGTTATTTATATGAAGTGTATTGCCGTATGGTTTCCGTGCTTGCTGTTGCGATGTGCTGTGGTCATGCTTGAACACGACGGCCGAATAAAAGCTACGGATGGCATGAACTCACAGCCCAGTTTCAAACAGCGCGAGTATATACGTATAGTTGGTATATATTCATCCTCATATTCATTATATCCTTACCACCTCATTTACGTTATGTTTTATATACCCATACCATATACCATATTCATACACCCAGCCATAAATCCAACCCAATCTACAACAACCCAAAACACGAGCCAAATTAACCCTCCCAATGCAAACAAAAACCGTCTAAAAAGCCATCCCATCCTCACCACCTACACCCCTCTCCCCACCATACCCCCCATTACCACCACCCCCACCCCCCCAATTCTCCCCATACTCCCCCTCGTACCCCCCCATCCCCCCATCCCCCCAAAATTCCCCATCCCCCCACTCATCCCCAACCCCACCATCCCAACCTGCTGCACCACCCCCTGCCCCGCCGTCCCCCCCATCCCATCGCCCCCAAACCCATTCATACCCATCCCCATCCCCATCCCCCCCATCCCGCCCTCCATCAGAAACCCCGGCAGCGGGCCAAATATCTGACCTTCCAGATCACCGTACATCCCCAACGAGGGGTCAGAGAAGAGGCCGCTGTTACCCGTCATGCTGGGGTCGAGGTACGTCGTCCTTGCTGGCACATCCCCGCCCTCTCCACCGGTATTATCATCCATCTTTGTCTCGCCGCTACTATCCATCCCCCCCCCCTTGCCGGTGGTAGTGGGATACGTATTCAACATCGGCTGCGCCGGATACGCAAACGGATCACTACTCGAAAACATCACAGTCGACAAATCCGGCAAGTCCTCCCCCATCCCACCCCCACCCCCCAGCCCGCCATAATACTGCTGCCCCTGCTGCTGCCCCTGCTGCTGACCCTGCTGCTGACCCTGCTGCTGACCCTGCTGATGACCCTGCTGCTGTCCCTGCTGCTGTCCCAGCCCCAACCCTCCCATCCCCATCGACGTCATCGACGCTGGCGTATCGGGCGTCGATCCTCCACCTGCTGAGGTACCACCCGAGGGAATGGAGGCGCGCATATCGAATGAAGCGCGTAAGTTCGGATCGCTAGTCGAGGGAGCGAAGCGGCGGTGTGGGTTTAATGGGAATTGTGAAGGGGGGGTAGGGAAAGTGCGTGCGCGTTGTGGGGCGGCGAGGTCGGGCGTGCTGGAGGTTGTCGCTGTTGATTTGCTGGGTTTGCTGGTGGTGGTGGTGCTTGGGGTGGCGAGGTGGTGAGAGAGTTGGGAGCGTTTGTTTGATTTTGTCTGCCGGGGGGGGTTGAGGTTTAAGCGAAGATGAAGCTGTTCGAAGAGGACGGTGAGGGATTGACTGCACCTATCGGCTGCCATACTCCGTCTCGCCAACGCCTTGAGGGTGTCGCGGCCCACACTCGCATTCTCCATGATCTCCTCCGCCCCCGGCTTCCCTGGGTTCTCGAGCACGAAGAAGGCGAGCGAGAGGATCGCGAAGAAGGTCGTGTACATGGTGAACCAGTACGCGCCGATTAGGAAGCCGCGCCGTTTCATCTCAGCAGTGATGTGCACGATGTTGCGTGAGACGCTGACGCAGGCGGCGGCGCAGGCGTAGCTGCGCTCGTCGACGGGCTTGCTGCCGCGGGCAGGTGGGCGGGAGGATACGTAGTGGAGGAAGGGGCGGTAGAGCATCATTTGGACGTGTGCGTAGGCCATGCGGAGGAGTTGTTGGACGCTGAGGGGTGTTAGATGTGAAGCTCGTAAACAGGATAGGTGGGATACATACCGAACTACGTCCTCGGGGGCGTCGCCGCCGGGTCGGAGGCCCATGGGGAGCTTCTCGAGCCAGGCCTGAAGGTCATATTCGATAGCCTGGATCTTGGCGTGGCTGACAACGTAAGTTGGGCGCTCGGAGCCTGGCATGCACTGCTCGGCAGATTTGAGCGGGTAGACGTCGCGGATGACCTTTGCGAGGATGAACATGAGTTTCGTATGTGCATTGCTGGCCGCGAGGGTGGATAGCTTTCCCGGCGGCATCGGTAAGATGGCGTCGCGGGTGATATACTCGTCGTCGACCTCGACGGGCAGCTCTTGGTCGACGTCCTCGTCGTTGAGCATCTTGGGGAACCCGAGAAGTGCGCTCACGTATGTGTCCATCTTACGGATGATCCAGAAGGCGCGGCGGCGCGTCTCACGCTCAATCGGGTTGAAGCTGTACGTGAGGTTGCGGTGCAAGCCCATGCGAAGCGCTGAGCGCAATGCAATCCCAATGTACGAGTAGCACGTGCTCAGGTTGGCGGAGGACTGGAGGAAGAGGATCATGAAGAGGACGGCTTGTAGCGAGGGCATGTCGCGGCAGTCGGTGATTTCCATCATCTGGCGGGCGGCGGTGAAGTATTTTAGTCTGTTGAATGTTAGTGATATGTATGTCAGTAGTAGTAGTGTAGACCGGCTCACCCTTGATCAATGCCCTCCTTATACGACACATCTTGCCCCTTATGCGCGCCCGGGTGATCCATAAACATGCTTCCCAGAGCCAATATCGAATACAGCAACGGGAGGAATCTATTCTCCTCATCCCCAAAATTTTCCGGCGGTGTATCATAAATACGATCAAACATCTCATAAAACGACGGCGTATGCAGGATCCTCAGCAGCGCACACGCGCAATCCAGCGCATTCGAGCACAGATTCAGCGCCACCTCCCTATCCGGCAGATCAAGGGTATTCGGCAACCCCCCCTCAAACGGCGACTCGGCCATCGACCTCGGCGACTCGAGCTGCGCAAACGTCGACGGTCTCGGCGACAGCCGCGGCAGAAACGGCGCCTTCGTATCATTCCCCAGCAGCCCATCGAACTGCTCGCGCATCTGCTGCAGGAACACCGCTCCGGACGACCCGCCGTGGAAATCCCAGTGGCCGCGCTCATCTATCTCCAGCTGCCCCGTCGTCTCGATCATCGAGCTCAGCTGCGCGTCGTCCCCCTCTTCGCCGCCCGGCTCCGAGGTCCCGGGTCGCGAGGACTCGGACATCGCTCTCTCGGCTCCGAAATGCGCTTGTCCTGCTGTTCCTGCGCCCTTGCGCGCTGCCGACACCGCAGCTTCCAAGTTCGGGTCGCTGAGATCGATGTTCGGGACGAAAGAGCGTAGGAGCACTTCTGCGCGCTGGAGCCGCGTCTCCAGCGCTTCTATGTATTGTGGTGCCGGGTTACGGCGGCGGTTCGACGGCTGGTCGAATGTGCATTCTATAGGATGTTAGCTTAGCTCGTGTCTCTCGCAATTTTCCTGCTCTACCCCCCCCTCTTTGCTCCCGGGACTACGCACCATAGCTATAAACCGTGCAGTGCGTGCACGGCTGTTTCCCATCACATTTTATCTTCTTCCGCCTACACTCGTCGCAGGCGCGTGTGACGCGGCGGCGCTTCTGGAGCGGCGCGGTGGCGCGGGGCAGGGCGGCGGAGTCGGGCGACGTCTGGTCGTGCAGAGGGTGCCATTGGGGTGTCGCGGCGGCGTGGTGGCGGTCGTCGTCGTAGTGGTCGGGGGTCGCGGCGCCGGAGCCGCCGCGAGATGAGGTCGCGGCCGTGCTGGAGGGGTCGGGGTTGGGCATTGTGGTTTCGCGTGGGAGAGGATCTGCTGTGGGAACGGGCGGTGACAGTCACATCGCTCTGTGGAGCAGGGTGAGGGTGGGTGTGGGTGGTGGTGGTGATGGGTTGGAGGAGGGTGATGGGTTGGAGGGGGGTGATGTCACCGATAGTTCGACAGTGAGAAGGGGTGGTGGGTGTCGGAGACAATGGCAGGACAACGAGGGTCGTCGGTGGTGATTATGGAGGAGGAGAGGTAAAAGGTAAAAAGGGAGTAGAGGAGAGTAGTCAAGGTAGGCCAGCGAGTGGCGGAGTGAGTAAGCTGGGAGAAGGAGGAAGGAAGTGGGGAGTGCAGGACTGTGTTAGCTAAGGTGGGCGGCGGGAGGGGAGGGGCATCAGGGTTAAGGGTAAAGGGTAAAGGGTAAAGGTTGACTTGGTGGATAAGAGTGGCAAGGCTCTCTCCCAAAAGATTAACGTTAACTTAAGTTAGTCGAGGAGAATATAGAGAAGAATAGACAGGGAGTCATGATAGTATTGGAGAGTAGGGTTTAGTTCAGGGTGTATAAAGTAGTTGGTATCAGCCTCATAAGTCTATTATAGATTATAGACACTCTTCTAGTATCTCCATCCCATCCCATCCCATTCCATCCCATCCCATCCCACACATCCATCCATATCCATCCACATCCCACACATCCATCCCACACATCCATCCATATCCATCCCACACATCCATATCCATCCCACACATCCATCCATATCCATCCCACATATCCATCCACATCCATCCCACATCCCACACATCCATCCCACACATCCATCCATATCCATCCCACATATCCATCCACATCCATCCCACATCCCACACATCCATCCCACACATCCATCCATATCCATCCCATACATCCATCCACATCCATCCCACATCCCACACATCCATCCCACACATCCATCCATATCCATCCCATACATCCATCCCAACCCATCCCAACCCATCCCAACCCATCCCAACCCATCCCAACCCATCCCTCCCTCATGACTTAACCCTCATACATTGCCTCCTCTGACATCAACTCCTCCACCCCTCCGTCGCCCAATTCCGCTCTTTCGCCTCATTTAGCCTAGTCCGTACCTAGCAATACTACTAGATCGCCACTAGAACCACCGCAAACACGCACAGCTGCAGCAGCACTCGCTGCACAGCTGCACAGTTAAATCCGCGCCAATCCCGCTCCGCCACGCCAAGCCTGAGAGGCCAGTAGGGTCAGGAGAGTAATACTTTTGTAAAAAAGTACCAACTAGGAGGGAGTGGGAACGGATTATTCATCAAGACGGGAGGGCCCAGCCATCCACCTCCACCTCCATCTCCACCGTCTCCCTTCTTCCTCCCCTCCACCACCACTAACACCGGCACTTCCCACCACCGCCATATCCCCCATCACCCATCCCATCTCCCATCCCATCTCCCATCCCATCTCCCATCCCACCCGAAACTTCCTGGCCGCCCCACCCATACCACACACAACCACACCGCATGCCCCCCCAGCCCACGCGCCGCCACACCGCGTCATAGGCGGTCCGAGCTCGCTTGCACCCCTTCCGCCGCTACCTGCTCCGAGCGCCCTTCGGAGTTTGGCCAACGCACCACGATCGCACATGCCGCCCCCCTTTCTCCCCGTCGTCTACGTATGTAACTTGTTGCGATATGCTTTACATGAGCTAGTTGAGCCTAAGATTAGTATCCCGTCTACCGTACCTTGGTGTCTAGATGGTGGCGCCGAGGATGTACCAACTAATTAACTACGGAGTAGTAAGTTCTTGATGAGTGATATACCCTCCTCCTCCCTTCCGCCTGACCATATCCGGAATATCTTCACCGCTTTAATTCGTATCAAAAATCGGAGGACGCCATGTTGTTCCCCTCGTAACTCTCTTTTATTGACGATGTCGAACGATAAATTCTACGCAGCCGTGCAGAAGTTGTTAACCTTGAAAACATATGCTCCACCACCCCCCATGCCACTGTTCACATGACAAGATCCGAAATAACTTATTGATTTTGACGCGTATCAAAAATCCGAAGAAGCCATTTTGTTCCCCTGGCAATTATATTTTATTCACAGTATTGAACGTTAAATTTCGTCTGTCGCTGCAGAAGTTATTGCACATCAAAACACATGCCCCACCAGCATACCCTTCCACCTACCACTCGACAAAATCCGCAATAACTAAATCGTTTCTACTCGTATTAAGAATCCGAAGAAGCCATTTTGCTCCGCTTGCAAATCTCCTTCAATGACGATATCGAACGTTGAGTTTCGTCCGTCGCTGCCTAAGTGATTAACCTTTCAAACATAAGGCTCCACCAGCCCCTGCTACCCGACAAATCCGAAATAGCTCTCTCCCTTTAACTCGTATGAAAAATCGGAGGAAGCCATTTTGCTCCGCTCGTAATTCTCTTTCATTGACCATACCGAACGCTATGCTTCAACCATCGCTGCCAAAGTTATTCATGTCCAAAGCATAAGCTCCACCAGCCCCTACCACTCGACAAATCCGAAATAGCTCTCTCACTTTAACTCGTATCAAAAATCCGCTTGCAAATCTCCATCAATGGTGATGTCGAACGATGAACTCCGTCCACTCCTACAAGACATGTGACTCGTCTCATACCTAGCCCATCGGAATCTGGAATATCTCGGCCATTTCAAGTTGTATCAAAAATCGTAGGACGTCATTTGATTCCCCTCGTAATTCTCCTTCAATGACGATATCGAACGTTGGATTCTATCCATCGCTGCAGAAGCTATCGCCACTCACGTGCCATGCCCATACTGCACCCTTGCCACCCGGCGGAATCTGGGATATCTCCATCGTTTCAAACCGCATCGTAAATCGGAAGACGCCATTTTGTTCCCCTTGCAATTACCTCTCAATGACGCTATCGAACGTTAAGTTCTGCGCACTGCTGCCAAAGTTATACCACGTCTCATATGTAACCAACCCCCTTGCCCCCTACCCACTGCCACCCGTCTAAATCCGGAATATCTTCACCAGTTGAACTCGGATCAAAACTTGGGATACGCCATTCGATTCCCCTTGTAAATCTCTTCCATTGACGATACCGAACGTTAAGTTTCGGCGGTCACTGCAAAAGTTGCAATCCTTCTCACATGTTACCATAGGGCCCCTTAGGCCCGGCCCAACAAATCCGGAATAACTTCCTTGTTCAAAGTCGTATCAAAAATCGTAGGAGGCCATTCGATTCCTCTTGCAAATCTCTTTCAATTACAATCTCGAACGTTAGCTTTTGACTGTAGCTGCAAAAGTTATAATCCCTCAAAGTAGGCGCTCCACCACCCCCACCTGCCCCCCAGCGAAATCTGTAGTATCTCACCCGTCTCAACTCATATCACAAATCGGAGTACGCCGTTTGATTCGTCTTGCAAATCTCTTTCATTAACGCTATCGAACGCACCATCTGCATGCCGCGTCAGGATCTTACAATCCATCCTATAACATGCTCCCCCAATCACCCCTCCTATGCATCGCCCGACCAAAACCGGAATATCTCCACCATCGAAAGTCTGATCAACAATCGGAGTACGTCAATTTGTTTCCCTTGCAAAGCTGCACAAGAAAGTCAGCGAACGTTTGCGTCGGTTGCGAGACCGTCAACCTACTGCCCCTGCAAGAACGTGAGTCCGGAAATGGACCAGGGGGCAAGCCCGCTACTCCTCCTCACCTGGCTGCCAGTTGCTCTGCTTCGTGAAGAAGACGCACGAGTACCGCGTACCCTTGAAGGGCGTGATCCAGTGCTCGAGGACTGCAGAGCGGAACAGGACAACATCAGGGGGTCTTATATCCAAGGGCTGGCAGGCAGCTCCCCTCCCTCGAACTCTCCAAAGCAGGCCATCGCGACCCAGCCATCGAGCACATCATGGTTGTCCTTGTGAGGCCCAACCTGGGCGTTTATCAGGATCGCGAGGCAGTGCCAGCAGCTCCTGTTGCTGAACCTGAAGACCTCCAGCTCAGGCGTGGCTGCCCACTCGCGAAGGTAGTTCTGCCTGTACTGCTCGTAGGCCCTGGGATTGATCTCCTGGAAGAGCCTGCCTATGGTCTGCGCGAGGGGGGCCGTGGTCTTGTAGAGGGCCAGCGTGGCCCCGAAGCCCACCCCAGTCCTGCACATGTCTGAGCAGAGGGTGGGAGGCGTGTTTGGCTGTCCTGTGGCGTGCCACAGCCCAAGGTGGTAGACTCCCCACTTCTTTCCCTCGCGCTCAGCCTTCCTGGCCTGCTCCATCTCGTGTCTCTTGTCGCTGCTGGGCTTTGGGGGTGGCGCGAGTGTCGTGTACTTCTCAATGGCGTCAAGCATGAGGCGGCAGAGGTCCTTGTTCCTGTCTGGGAGGCTCAGCCCCCCCCTCATGTAGACGAGGAGCAGCTCTGGGTCCTCGTCTGCAGAGTGGAAGACGGTGACAGGCTGGACGTCGAGGCCATCCTTCCCACCATCCTTGGGGATGCTGTAATGGTGGGTGCACCAGATATGAGAATCTAGCCACCCAAGGAAGGGATGAATTTACTAAGACAACACACTGTCTTAGGAAACAGAGCCAAAGGGTTGTAGCTTAGACTATTCCACAACGCAGCAATCAGGTGTATGATGTGGTGAAGTGGTTTAGACAAGTTGCAACAAATGTTGAGTCTGAGAACTCAGGGGTAAGTCAGAGGTTAGCACCTCACTGACTTTTTCAAAAACAGAGAATAACAAGATCAATGCTTGGAAGCTTGGAAAAGACGTAGAAGTATGTGCTAGTCGATTTACTGTATTGCCTGCTTGCCCTTTCTTAAGGAAAGGGCAATCCTATTTATGCCAAAGGAGTGTAGTTCTCTCATTTTCCATGACTTTCCATGACTAACCAGGCTTGGTAAATGTATTAGAAATCAAGTGCGACCCACAACTAGCTTGCTAATCATGTAGTGAACGTAAGAGAATCCCATAGAACCATCTCTTGGGTTCCTAGCCTATAGGAAGTGAAAAGGAGGTCCAAGGTCAGAGTACCTATAGATAAATTATGTCATAACTTAACCAATCTTGTGGGTAACTAAGGAGCGATGACGTGTAATGAATCATAGAGGGTTGTAGAAGCTTCTAGAGCTATCGTTCATGTTCCTAGGCCTCTAGTTGGTAGATATATGCCATGTGGTAGTATTGGCCCACCCCCTTAAGGAGGAGATTTTCTTAATAACTTGTTCAATGAGTGTTCAAATGATATGCCGTGATGTATGTAGCATAAACAGATGTAGTAGAAGAGTTTGCAGCAATCGTTGAGTAGTATTGCTTCTGTTGTTGGTGTGATAAGCCAAGATATGTATGGTGACTTGTAGGTTTGAGGAGGAGATTTCTAAGTTTGCTCTTGAGTTTGATAGCAAACTGAGTGCAACGAATGTCAGTATGACAGATGCCCTGGAGCAGCGTGAGGTGCTTGCTGAGCTCGAGGCCCTCCTCTAGTGTAGTGGTGACCCTGGGGTTGGATGGCGTGATGAGGCTGGTCCAGGCGAGATCGGTGGTGATGACCTGGGCATTGCCGTGGAACTTGGCCTTCCAGTTATGGGAGAACTCCCTCCTCTCCTTCCACTCATATGGCGAGTGGGCTGTGTGGTGCTGGTGGCGCTTCTGGATGGAGGGTATCGGTGGCATGGTGTCGCGAGCTCAGGACTTGATGGTACCTCACTATAAGATGGTATAGTCTAGGATCCCCAAAGACAGATGACACAAGATGGTGTGCCCCTCTGCCACTGTGTAAAGGACTAAGTTTGGACTTGACGGTAGAAGTTCTGATATAGACCGAGACGAGCCACGCTCGCTAGCTGTGTGGCAACTCACATGACTGACCACCCCATCAAAATTGGGTTGAAAAAAAAAACGTCGAGATCTGAGGCCGGGAGGAGCATGGCTACGTTCGTCTGGCTGAGGGCTACGCAGTTACACGAAAAGGGGGATGGATTCGAAGGCATCTCGGTAAGGAAATGGCGATCTCGGTTAAAAGTCACCCCATCTTCGAACCCTGACCGGGGAGGCCACAGCAGTTGTATGGACACGGGAGTTGCGTGTTGGGATTCGTCCTTGCCAGTCTCACCTGGGTACATAATTATAAGATAATCGTCTGAGTATCAGAGCGAGAGTGTTGCCTCGAAATATTCCAAGGGCTAGTCTGGCATTCGAGCTAGGAGGGTCTATAAACACTCCCGATAACTAGGGGTGGTGCGGAGGGGGCAGCCCATTGTCATACTGACATTCGTTGCACTCAGTTTGCTATCAAACTCAAGAGCAACCTTAGAAATCTCCTCCTCAAACTTACAAGTCACTATACATATTTTGGCTTATCACACCAACAACAAGAGCAATACTACTCAACGATTGCTACAACCCTCTATGATTCATTACATGTCATCGCTCCTTAGTTACTGGGCCAATGTAATGGTGGGTGCACCAGATGTGAGAATCTAGCCACCCAAGGAAGGGATGAATTTACTAAGACAACACACTGTCTTAGAAAACAGAGCCAAAGGGTCGTAGCTTAGACTATTCCACAATGCAGCAATCAGGTGTGTGATGTAGTGAAGTGGTTCAGACAAGTTGCAACAAATGTTGAGTCTGGGAACTCAGGGGTAAGTCAGAGGTTAACACCTCACTGACTTTTCAGAAACAAGGAGTATCAAGATCAATGCTTGGAAGCTTGGAAAAGACGTGGAAGTATGAGTGATGTCATGTACTGAATCATAGAGGGTTGTAGAGATATGCTATGTGGTAATATCGGCCCAGTAACTAAGGAGCGATGACGTGTAATGAATCATAGATGGTTGTAGCAATCGTTGAGTAGTATTGCTCTTGTTGGTGTGATAAGCCAAAATATGTATAGTGACTTGTAGGTTTGAGGAGGAGATTCCAAGTTTGCTCTTGAGTTTGATAGCAAACTGAGTGCAACGAATGTCAGTATGACAGCCAATACTACCACATAGCATATCTCTACAACCCGCTATGATTCATTACACGTCATCACTCCTTAGTTACTGGGCTAATACTACCACATGACATATCTCTACCAACTAGAGGCCTAGGAACATGAACGATAGCTCCAAAAGCTTCTACAACCCTCTATGATTCATTACACGTCATCGCTCCTTAGTTACCCACAAGATTGGTTAAGTTATGACATAATTTGTCTATAGGGGTACTCTGACCTTGGACCTCCTTTCACTTCCTATAGGCTAGGAACCTAAGAGATGGTTCTATGGGATTCTCTTACGTTGACTACAGTAACCAAGCCTGGTTAGTCATGGAAAGTCTTGGAAAATGAGAGAACTACACTCCTTTAGCATAAATAGGATTGCCCTTTTCTTAAGAAAGGGCAAGCAGACATTCCACAATGCAGCAATCAGGTGTATGATGTTGTCACGATCAGGAGTCGACTGACCCCCTTCAGTGTCACGTGGGTCCGGGGGCCCCGCAAGGGGTCCACCAGGACTCCGCAACTCTCTGCCCTCGTCTAGCTCAGCTAGCGCACACAGAGAGTATAAGTAGGAATGAGCTGGCTTCAATAGCAAGCCAGCGGCTAGTTTGAATAGCTACCTACGAATGGAATACGATTCCCTGTTGAACTCCATGCTGCTTACCTGTCTTGAACACCGAGTGATATGATTCTCACAGATGTACACCATACACCTGATTGCTGCATTGTCATACATACCTGATTGCTGCATTGTGGAATAGTCTAAGCTACAACCCTTTGGCTCTGTTTCCTAAGACAGTGTGTTGTCTTAGTAAAATCACCCCTTCCCTTGGGTGGCTAGATTCTCACATCTGGTGCACCCACCATTACACCCATGTCCTAAACATAGCAACGATCCATGTTCAGGAGTGTCACAACCAAACGCGGTTAGGCAAAAACCTTAAAAAGATGCCAACCCTACATCTCGAGTTCAACATTTAATATACAGCTTATATTGCTGTAATTAGATTACCCGTATTCGAGCAGTGCTACTGCTGCAGACATTGCATGCCACATCATCCCTTGCATCACACTGCCGAAGCTCAGACGCATCATCGAGGTACTCGGACGCCGTGATTGTGAGGTGCACCTCGTCTATCACGATGCGGCCGAGCTGCTGTGTCGCGGCCAGCCTGTGCGCATACGCCCGGAACTGAGACGTGCTTGCGGCCTCGACTGTGACGAACACCAGTGATGCGTCCCGCTCCTTGCCTAGGGCCCACACGAGGTGGTCTATCCCAAGCTCCTGCACACGCCACAGCAGGTCACCATGCAGAGACAATGCCTGCATCGGGCAGGACGCAGGGCAGCATGAACAGCAGGCTCTTCCCCTCGCTGGTGCCTAGGATGATGACGACCTGCTCTGTCCATGACATGACGACCGTCATCGCCCGCTCCTGTGCGGCCGACTTCCACTGCAGCTTGTCGTCATGGTACAGCCCCCCTCGCGCCCTTCAGCTGGGCTGCAGCGGACCACCTCTTCCGTGGCTGGTACACGCCCACGGCAATCCTCTTAAGCATCCGTGGCCGGTCAGACTCTGCCGCCTCCGCCGCCTCACGATTCCTCTTCCTTACTGCTGCGACCGCATCCCCGAGCACCGTGTCGAGATCCCACAGCTCCCTCCACAGGGATGATGCGCGCTCGTTCCGACGGATGAGGCCGTCCCACACGTTCCCAAAGTTCAGGTTCAGCTGGTTCACGTAGCTGCGGTTCATCACCCGCGTGCTGTGGTTCCGCTGCCTCGTCATGGCCCGGATGTCGTCGTCAATCTCCTCTGCGTCCTCCTCGTTGTCGTTGGCCCCAACGACTTCGAAGCATGCAAGGTCTTTGCCCGCAAACTTGGTCTCTACAATGTTGACCATCATCTGGCGCCAGTTGGCAATATGCAGCCATGGCACCTTGGCCCGTACGCAGCCGGTTGTCAGCCAACACTGCCCCGTCCTTCCACCACAGGTACGCGGACATCATTGCGCGTGGGAAGGACTGGCGCAGGAAGGCCTGGCGGAGCGGCACGACATAGACTAGGTAGTCCAGCAGGAGGTCTCCGATGGTGGCTGGCAGGAAGCGGATGTTGTCGGCAACTTACTATACTCTTTTAGCTCTATAAAGTGCTATGGAGCTGTAGAGTACAGCTAACGCCATAGATGGCACTTTGCGTTGTATGTGCCTAGCTTGCATTTCTAGGGCGGTAGGTATCACTTGCTGATATATCCAGCTGCTCTATAGCCTCAACGCATTTTGCCCAATCCTTACCAGATCATCATTAAGCAGCGTATACTTCTCGATCCCGTTTACAGCCTGCTGTAGCAGTGTTGCCGCTATCTCGCTGACATCAAGTATGGGAAGACCGATGATAGCACGGCCGACGGACCCTAGGACACTCATCACCAGCCCCGTTCGTCCTGGCGCATCAATTATTCCAGGTTTCGCAACACACACTTCCACTACACCGCTTGGATTTTTGGCAAAGTCGAGGATGCGAGACTCTGTTTCCCCCTACGCCATATCTCAGCAATGCAGTCGAGGGATTAGAGAACGGGGATGGGATGGGTAAAGGCTTACCCGCATCAGCGTGTAATCACCTAGGATCCAAGGCTTCTGGCTCTGATCTCGCTGGGCTTTAGCACCGCTGGTGTAAATGAAGCGCAGGGGCTTGCTGGCAGAGCCGTGGGGTAGCTGTGCAATAGTTTCGATTCCTTGATGGTGTAGTCGAGGCATATCTTCTGCACGTCTTCCCATGGCATAGTCTTTGTCTCTGACGGAGTTACAGCAATGAGCCTATCGCACATTAGCACAGGAGCGGTTGTGACCATTCGATTATACGTGAAGAGGCAGAGGAAGGGAACAGGGAGCGAGGAGGATTGTATACCAGATACAAGCATCGGCTACAGCAAGATCCTTCTTCATGCTATCTGAATAGTTCTCGAAATCAGCACAGACGACGGGTTTAAGCTTGCTTGTATCGGCGCTTGGCCCTGCATTCTGCGGCACTGCTGTTGTCCGCCGTCCGAGGGCGACGGGTGGGAATAGAGAGGGCGGATGACCTCGGTCGCGACGAAACCCGTCGAGCCGACGACGATGATCTTCATGGTTTCTACTACTTGAACTCGCTAGTGGGACTGGCTCCGGCGAGAAGGGTCTTTGGGAAGGGGCTGGGAGATGTATGTTTACAAAGGCTGATGGCTTTCATCTTCCTTCGTCGTCGTCGTCAGATAGTGATTACTTCGGAAACCACCTTACCGGCCGGCGGAGGCCCATTTTTTTACACTATTGTGGCAGACTTTGATCGGGTGCCGAGCAAATGTTTTATGGGGCAGATGTGGACAGCAGAATAGGTCTCTCAAGCGAGCTTAATGACCACCAAATTTTACTGTAAATGAAACTAATAATAGAAATCTCAAGGAAATAGTAATAAAATAGTTTCAAGATAGATATGTCATAATAATGAATGCAGATTAGAATTGTTTCTGTATTAGACTCTTACAACACGATTATGTTGCTATTTTTACAGGTAACGTATTTTACAAGCAAGTTGCCCACATAAGCGAGTTGCCTACAAAACCACTAGAATTGACTATTACTACCTACTACCATAACACCACCCTACATAATGACCCTTAATTAATTGTAATTGAATCCTCGTGCCTCTCGCACGTATAGAAATTATGGCCTATAATACCATATAAGCTATAGCGCTTCTATTAGCCTTAGAGCCTACCTACTAACTACTCTTACTAGCCACCTCTATATGGACTTAAGCATTAACCTTAGCACTCTAAAGGATATCCTCTGCCTATCTATAAATGTCGTGTTTAGGCAGTACAGTCTAGGGGTTTAGGGCTAATAGCAACCCTAGTTAACTTATGGAAATTATGTGAAATAGGCACCCTATAGGTAACAGCCTAGATATTTTGATTTTACCCTAGAAAACCTACAAAAAGGCATTAGAAGGTTGGCTATTAAGGTTAAGTGACCCTATAGAGTCGATTACTGTCGCTAGAATGCACAAATTCCATGTTTTTTACTTTGCTAGGGTAAGAAGGTCAAGGTTGACATTAGGTTAGGTCACATGTGTAGAGATGAGGATCTATAGTTGCCATGTAAGAACAAGGAATGCAGGACGCATCTAGCACCCCGAAATTAACATAAGACAGGAGGTAAAGAAAACAAATTAAAATCATAAGCTAGAGGAAGAGTATAGAAGGTATATTAAAGGTAGGTTTAAGGAGAGTTAAAGTTAGAGTAGAACCTAAGGACTAGAAAGATGGACTAATTTTTAATTCATTTGCCTGAATTCCACATTATTATGTGTAAAAAGTGCTAATATGCCTTATTACCTAGTTAGATCGATGCCCATTTTGCACCCTAGATACCCTATAGAGAGAAGAAGGCGACTAAGAAACCCTATAGGTTAAGTAGAGCAACACGTAAGAGAATTCAACAGGATGTAGCCTAGATTAAGGGGTTGATCTCTAACCTAAGAGCATTACAGCAGAGCAAGTTCCCATTCCTACATTAGGTTCACCTAAGACTAACGTGATGTGATGTACATTCAAGATAGGCAAGGAAGAATGCCGATATATATGTTGTTCGTTATAGCAGTGTTACGGCTATGGTAACGTGACATCAGTTATAGGGCTAGCAGAGCTAGGCTTAGTAATGTGACCTAAGAAGTCACGAGGCTAGCGGGGCTAGGCTGTAGCATGACTAGGCTAGTGGATAGTTGTAGAAACTAGTGGATATTAGATAGTTGAGCTATCTATCAACTATCTAGATTATCCATAAGGTATGATGCCACTATATAAGTAGATAGTATTCCCTTAGATAGGAGCTTTATGCTCAACTTAATATAGTATTCTTTACAATACTATAACGTGTTACTTAGAAAGCCTTTGTGTTTAATTCCCTGCCTCCTCTATCAACTCAACCTTATGTAAGAAACCTCTGTGTCTTCTATCGAATAGAAGTTAGCGTTACAAGCAGATGCAAGAGCATGCAGGGTTAGGAGAAACCCCATTTAGCTATAATGTGCACGGCATTTAAACGGTTGATCCAAGACGCATAGCACCATGCTATACAAGATGTAGTTAGGATACATACGTTGTTTGAGGCTAACAAGAAGGAGGTGGAGAAAGAGACAAACATGCCGTTTGATAGTTAGATGGACATCACAACTGTCGAGCGGTATCTTCTACACCAGCCAGCCGGGGTGCGAATCCTCTTGTATCAAGATCAAGGATATATCGAATAATCACGTCCTCTCGTACTTCAGTCAACTTGTGGCAATTGGCCTTAAGTTCGCGACGAGATGTTCGGCCAGTCATTCTATAAGAAAGCGTAGTATAAGGGACATTGTAGAGTTTTGCAGCAGAGCGACGACCAAGTTTCTTAGATGATCGGATAGCCTCGATAGCTAAGATGATTCGTGCTTCTTGGGATTGGATTTCCATTGGTGGTTGTTAAGAAAACTCGCGTTAAATTTGGTAGGTAGTAAACTCGGGAAAAGTGATCCGCTCGGTGATAAACCACGTTATAGATATTACATCTCCTCCGCTTCGATTCGGACGACTGTCCACGTCATGGAACGCGGGATTCACTGCTGGCTTCACCTCCACGAGGCAGCGTCCATCCCTACCTCACGATCTCACTCCTCACTCTCCTCTCCTCGCTCTTTTCTCCTCAGTTAACAGCACCATTAATCGGCGCCCTAACACTCTCCCCCTCCTTCAACGCACACTCCTCCCCTCCCTTCCCCCCCGCACACCCCAGCGTAATATTGACCGTAGCAAACAACCCAACCACTTCCCAGGGCGGCGGGTAGTTCACCGGGTCACTATACGCATGAGCCAGTTGCAGCGAGAACTCGCCTAGACTGGTGTAGCTGTCGAAGAACCACCTGTAGCTCTCCTTCACGCCGGCATTCGCTTTGCAGGGGATGTAGGACCCGGGACGTGTGGTGGATGTGTTGGAGGTTTCGTGCCAGGTTTTGGTGCAGGTGGTGGCGGTGTTGAAGTTGGCGTCTGCGAGGTGGACTGCTGGAGTATTAGCTAGGAGTTCAAAATTCGCGATGATATATATATAGACAGGAGGCGGGATGTATGAGGAGGGGGCGGGAGTGTGCAATCGGTGATCAGAGAGGTCAATTGGGGAATTGATGGGGACGAAGACGCACAAGAGATCTGACGATTATCATCCATCGCATTCGAAGTCGCGAGCGTATTGGTACGGATCTCAGTCAAGATCATATCCTTAAACCCGCCGCTATTCTGGACCGCCACGGCATTAACGCGAGGCGCCCATGTCACCGGCACCGCGGCTGCGAAGGGCGCGAGCGCGGCGGCGGCGAGGAGGGTGGTGGTGGGGAAGTGCATTGTATTGTTGTAGTTGGCGTAGTGTGTGGCGTCGACTTCAATAGATGGGATGGATTATACAATTGAACCAGCACGTCCAGACACGGAATGTATGTATAGAAGCAAGTAGGAAGTCCAAATAAAAGAGACAAGACAAGTTTACTTATACCAACCACACCGTTAATCTTCGCGGTTGCACATCTCCATTCTCCCTTGCTCAGGGCACCAGTTACAGCGGAACCTGACGGCATCGGCGATCGTTGCGTTGTCTATCTTTGCGCTTTGGAGACAGTGTCTGTAAGGGGTGTGGGCGAGCCAAGACTATACGTATAGGGGGGTAGGTTGTACCGTCTTGGACTAGAATGATTAAGGGCTTGGAAAGGGATTATATCGTTTCGTGACGAGGGTTTGGGGAACGGATGCGAACACGAGATGTGTGGTACGGTGCCTGGATAGTTGGATCGATCGTACAGAGACGGCATGGAAGCGTGGGACAGCGGCTGGGAGATGGCTGTGGTGCGTCCTTGTGGAGATAGAGAGGCGGGAGATGGGGATGTGCATGGCTGTACATACAGTTGAGTACGGCGTACGGCGGATGAGATGATGGGAGATGTTCAGGGGTTATGCATTTATGCCATATAAATGCAAAGTTTGGGTTTCCGATAGCTTAGAAGGGGTCCGTACTATAGCTTAGGATGTTCATGTTATGATAGCTTAGAAGGGGTCCGTACTACTGTATAGCTTAGGATGTTCACGTCACAATCAATAATGTACAGTAACAATGGAGGATTGTTCACCCATTTAATGGAGACTTATGCAGTCAGCGACGGCGCACGGTTTGCCTTGTTCGGTGCTTACTCTCTTTCTGGCAGCCTTCTACGCCACTAGGCCAATTTAGAAGCTGCTTTGCTCCGTTTTGTAGCAGCAAGGGACCCCTGTATAACGTAGTACAGTACGGCGCCAAAAGGATTCGTACGGGTCCGAGCGTCTTCCCATCCATACAAATAAGAGTAAAAGATTTATGGGCAAAAGATCTAATACCCTGTTTGACCCCCGTAAAGATCTATATGCCCTGTTTCCGCAGAAAAGATCTATCTATCCAACACGTGACCCCCGAAACCCTCCGAAACCCCCCCCGAGAGCCACCTCGCTGTCACTACCTCGTTGTCGCCCCCCCCCCCCAACCTATATCCTCTTCTTGTCCCGCCGAAAAAGCCGGAAGCAGAACTTGTGCTTGACGGCCCAATCATCCAGAGCGTGGATGAGGGTGTCGATGTCGGCAAACTCAGTGCCATCAATGGGCACTGAGAGCTCCACAAGGGAGGCCATTGGGGGGCCCTTGTCGGGAGGGGCTTTTTGGGGGGACGCAGCGAGCTGGGGGCCACAATGCGGACGGAAATGGTGGGGGTTGGCGACAGCGAGGTGGCGCCAGCGATGTGGAGGCGGTGAGCCGGCTTGGCGGAGGAAATCTATTAATAGTTAGCGCGTGGTAGATGGATCTTTTCGGGGGTCAAACAGGGTATTTAGATCTTTTGCCCAAGATTTATATACCCTACATCTACCCAAACAAGATTTATATACCCTACATCTACCCAAACAAGATTTATCTACCCCACCGCCTTCCGTAACCCCTGCAATTCCCGTGCCTCGCTCTGTGACCTTGCTGCCGTGACGTTGCTGTTGTGTGTGACGTTGCTGCTGTGACGTTGCTGTCGTGACCTTGCTACCGTGACCTCGCTAGGGGCAGCTTTCCTCCGCACAAATCCAGGAAGCTCGGCGTCTCGACACTCAGTTCGGAAGACGAACTTCTCCTTTACGGCCCAGTCGTCAAGGGCATGGGCGACGTCGTCCATTTCGTAGAACTCGGTGCCATGGTCAGGCACCGAGAGAAGAGGTGCGAAGCTATGGCCACAATGAGGGCGGAAGCTGGCGAATTAGCGGTATCTTCGTCATCGTCAAGATTGCGGTTGGAGCGGCCGAATTGGTGGTGGTGTGGTGATGATGGTAGTAGGCCAAATTTGAAGCTGCTTTGCTCCGTTTTCTAGCAGCAAGGGACCCAGTATATATGTCGTTAGTATAATAGCTTGGCATTCAATCTAACTAAATATAGTAATATAAAAATTGATTCTTATCATACGATTTGAAGCCTAGAACTGGTGATTTGGTGATTTGGTGATTTGGTGATTTGACTATTGTATAACGTAAGTCGTGGCGTAACGCGGGGGATGGCGTAACCAGTGTTCGGCAGATACTACCCAGGTAGTATCTGGGTCCTCGCCAGGTAAGGTAAGTATCTGAGCGACTTTGCTCAGGTAAGGTAGGTATTTACAGATACTTTAGCAGGTAGTTGAGCCTCAATTCCGTATACAAAAATGACGCTTTTGATATTTGAAATAGATAATGATATGTAACTAGAATATGTAACTAGAAAAGTGAAACTCGTGACAAATATAATAATAAAATAGACAGCCCCTATTCCTATTCTTCTGCCTCATCATCTGCATCATCACCGTCGCTGTCGGCATCTGGTAAATAACCCCAATTCCGTAAGCAAAGCAGATATCTAATTGTCGATGGCGACAATCTATTCCTTTTCTTAGTAATGATATCGCTACCATTGCTAAATACCCGTTCTGATGGTGCTGATGTCGCAGGAATTGCAAGATGGTCTCGAGCAACTTGAGCAATTATTGGATATTGATATTGCTTTGCAGACCAATATTTGAGAATATCAGTATGCTCACCAGGCCGTGGTTCAAGCATCCATCGTTTCCATTCTGGTTCTTCAAATGATATACCCTCTGATGCAAATAAATCTTCATCAGAATCTGGTTCTTGCACTCTAGTATTTGCATTTCCTAATGCATCTGCAAGAGCTGTTTCACGTTCAATACGCTCTGTATCAAGATGATATTGCCGTGTCTTATATGTTCTACAAACATCTTCAAACTGTGCTCTTGCCCGTGTGATTCGTACATGATCTGTACTATCTGGATATATCTTTTTAAACACTGTATGGTTCATCCGTGGATCGCAAATTGTAGCTACAGCTGAGTGCTTACATTGCTGATTTGTTGCAAGAGTATAATACGCGTGAAGCCTTTGATAAGCTACTGTGCATGCAATACCAATTGCTGAGTGCTCACCAACTTCTTGTTGCATCTTCTTAACTTTATTTATCATTTTAAGATAAAGTGGAATAGCAAAGTTAAGTGACGGATATGTATCACTTTGTAGCCGTCTTGATGGTTTGAGAAATATTAAGAACAGTCGTTCAAGATCTTTAATAACAGCCCAATCTCCTGTAGTTAATGCAATATCTTTCATACTAATATCAAGCTGTTGTGTTATGCATACTGCTGTGATTGGTATTTGGAGTTTTAATGCTGTATCAAGCATACGATGTGTTGAATTCCATCGTACTGGCATACCAAGTGATAGTTGCTGTGGTTTTAAACCTATAGCTTTGACTTGTCGTTGTAAAGCATCCTTCCATGCTCGTCGATTACGAAAGACATAGATATGTCTTCGTAGCTTTGCAAGAGCATTCATGACTTCCACATGACTATCTCTACTAAATGGAATCCGAGCTGCACCTTGCTCACACCGGTATGTCTCTGTCTCTACATCTGGTTCTGCTTTTAAACTCGTAAGAGCGGCTTGAACTGCGAGATTTATGATATGTGCAATACACCGGACATCGCCTTCTTTGACAGTAAATGTCCAAGGTTGTTGAGTTGATGTTTGGGCGTTGCTAGCCAATTTCTCATATTCTGAGAGCATCACAGTATTTGATGATGCGTTGTCTCGGGTGCATGTAAAGATAGCGCCTGTAATAGCTATACTATCTGTTACAGCTGCTAATTGCTGAGCTAAGTATTCACCGCTATGAATAGGCTCTTGAAGATGTATCACATCAAGCAATTTTGATTTCTGCTGCCATTTATCATTAATCCAATGAGCGGTAACAGCAGCATACTCTGTATAGTTCCGTGCAGACCATGCATCTGTCGTTATGGATATCCGGCCTCCATGTATAATATGAGAATGGAGTTCAAGCTGTAGTATGCCTCGGTGATATGAGAATTGGCGTTGTAGTTCTCGGTGCAATGTTCTTGACGAAAGTGATAACACAGATGGACTTAAGAACCGTACTAATTGACGATATGAATAGCTTTCGATAATGCGTAAAGACAGGTTATTAGATACTATAAACGATAGCACTAACTCTCTATATTTGGCTGGATTGTTTGTTGGTCTTGATTCATGGGTCGCTGGTCTCCGAGGCTCAAAAAATGATGATGTGCTGCTAGATTGACTTGAAGGCGCTGTATTCTTGTGTTTAAGAGCATCATAGATTCCTTTATGCTTAAGACTATAGTGTTTCCAAAGATTGCCAGTTGAAGCAGCAGCTTGAGCATGGGTTTGAGCTGCGGGCGAGTATCCGCAATTAGGCTGCATACAGCATACTTTGATAGTTGGCGGGTTGCTCTCAAGTAGTATTCTTGAATATAGTTCCTTCGTGAACAGCAGCGACTGCGTTGGCGGTAGCATTTGGCTAGGCGGGTGTAGACGGACAGGAATTGGATTTGATTGCTGAAAAGGGGTAAAAAGCCCTGGTAGGGCTGGCTCATCGTGAGGATTATAGCCATCAAGGTCCGTCGGCACGTCTGACAACGGAGAGTCACTCATTTTCACGGCAATTATCACCATATCAAGCATGAAGACGAGTATTTCAACGTTAGCATTTGTGCGGCTTGGCTACACTTGGCAATACTTGGCATGTATCTGGGTAAGTATCTGAAAATACCGGGATACTCAGGTATTTTGAGAATGAGCCCAGGTAGGTAATTACCCAGGTAATTACCTGAACACCACAGGTAATCAGGTATCTGTGCCGCACACTGGGCGTAACGCGGTGAATTTACTTGCGCCGACTTTTGAAACTGAAAATAATTTAACAATGGTTCGCTGTAAAAGCCTAGGGGTTGCTAAGCGTGGAACTTTAATAGCCTAGGCAGTATTAGACGTCTAATGTAAGAAGTACAAGAGCAGGGTTAGCACAAATAATCATAATACAGTAGAGTCCCGTTAGTACGATGGAATCTAGCCATCAATTTAATATCGCCTTAATGTATTGAGCGATATGATGCAGATTTGGAGGCATTGGATGTTAATGGCAGAGTTCAAAGCAATCTAGATAGTTGGATTATATAAGCATTCAGTTGTGCAATATATAGCTCTTAATTGTGCTGTTGAGATATCATCTCGACTTTCTGTAAACTCAATTAGAATTTGAACAGCCTGTCGAGTAGCCTGTATTGAAGGTACAGGCCGCTCTAAGGCTTCTTCTTCTTCTTCATTTTGAGCATCATCACATTGACTTAAATGACTTGATATAATATCTTGTAATACCTCCTCCTCTGTTAGTGTCTCACCATCATTATTCTGGGCTTGTGTTTCCTCATCTGGATTTAAGAAATTGTGTAATGCCATCGCATCTTGTATATTTCCAGCTCTTGTAACATTATCATATAATTCAGATAGATTTGGAGGATTAATTGGTGTTGAAAGAGCAAGTGGTGTAGTTAAAAGTGTGCTTTGTAAGTTCAGCTTCGCAAAGTCCATCGAATAGCAAGATGAAGGTTCATTGATTGAACTGGATCAATGTTGGAATCAAAACATTGTAACATAAATGAGAGCCATTGTCGACGATAATGAGCTTTGAATGACTGTATGATTCCTTGATCAAGAGGTTGAAATCGACTTGTTGAATTAGGAGGAAGCCAGCAGATTCGAATATTTGGAGGCGGAGGATTGAGTTCAAGACCACAATAATGCAGAGAAGTTGTCCATAGAGAGAAGGACAGTTCGAGATGTTCCAATATGTCGATAGAAGGCTTGTAACCACTCCTTCATTAAAGTTGTGTTCATCCAAGCTTTCTTGTTCCAACGCCACTCTCCACCCATTGTTGAGACATTGATATTCCGAAGTGCACGAGGTTGCTTTGCTTTGCCAATTATCCAAACAGGAAAGCGATCAGTACCAGTTGCATTAACACAGAAAACAAGAGTTATTCAATCTTTATTCTTCTTGATTCCTGGCTGTGATTGAGTTGGAAGACCTTTAGATGGAACCATTCACCAAAACAATGCTGTTTCATCCATATTGTATATATCCTCCTCTTGATATTCTCCAGCGAGAGTTTGTAAAGCCTTCATATCCTCTTCTGTAGACTTGCTAACAGATCCTGCCTCGCCGTGATTTGTATGCTGTCGGATGTTGTGTCGCTTCTTGAATCGAGACAGCCAACCAACTGAGAAATCAGGTATAGGCAGCGTTGAATACTGTAGAAGTTGCTGCCAAATCTGCCTTGCCCTTTCCTTCAAAGCCTCTCCACTTGTGTTTCCACCTCAGCCTTCAATCTGCTTTTGCCCAGCGAAAAGGATCTCCTCAAGGTCAGGCCATGTTCCAGTGCGGGGTCGAGCAGCTGTTGAGATAGCTGAGGAGTCGTCGACACTGTCAAAATGCTTGCTGAGTGACTCTGAGACTGTTGATTGACTGAGGGAATGGTTGTATTTGTCCTTAAACCACCGCTGACAGGCCTTTTGTGAGGGTCGAGGGTATTGTCGAGAATGCACTCTCTGAGTGCACGACGCTGCTCAATAGTGATGGGTTTATTTTGAGGCATAGCCAAATGGTCCACTAGAATATCGGATAAGGCGATATTTAGGTGGTAACAGAGCAATATCATGGATATTGGTTGTTGTACGTGTTTTGAATCTGGACGAGAAAAAATATCGCACTATCGCGAACATCGCCTTACTGAGCATCAGCTTAGCGGGACTCTACTGTAATCATGACTATTACATAAGTTAAGCATGATTATCAAATAATGTTAGAATCACATGGCCTAAGTAATTACCTAGTATAGTAGAAAAGGAAACCAAATATATATTAATCTATCTAAATACTACTTAAAGTATTAATTTAGCTATAAATTCCTCTTCTAGATCCTCTTCTTCTTCCTTTATAAAATCCCAACTCTTTAAACAAGCTATTACTCTAAAACGTCTTTAAAAGCCTATTTCTAATCTTTGAAATAATAAGACTACCTATACTAAAGAGCTCTCTATAGGAGCACTAGTATTAGGGATTTGTAAATAGCGCCTAGCTATAGTAGCTAGAATTGGAAATCGAGATTGATTTATTTTCTAGTAGTCTAAAGGATTAATCTATATAATATTAGTAAGTTAATTATTAAAGAGTGTTAATTCACAGGATGGTGATTTACCTGTACATGAACAACTCGGCCCTTATGAGGGAGAATCCCTTTACTTAAATACATCCAGCGATATGTCTGCACCCGTAAACCACCAGAATTTTCCAGTACACCCTGTGGATATGTGTAATAATGTACGGTTACGCTCGCGCTACATCCCACTGAGCCAAAAAGACTACAGTATTCCGGCTCGCCTGGAATATGTGTAACACGCTTTATATACCACATGTACTGTAACTGCGGCACCCGTTACAATATGCCACAAGAAATGGGATGGACTGGCAACGACCAAGATACCAGAACAGTTACCCCAAAGGATCTACTATTGCGAGCACCTGTGTAGGACTCAGTGCAAACAATAATTATAACACCTTTGAACCACTAATAGAACTGCAAAAAGAAGATGGTGATGTTTGTATTGATTACTTACACGAACTGGCAGGAAATTGGGGACTGATGTAATAAAATCTTTAGGCACTATGCTACAGTATGATCAAGACACTTGGCATTTGAAACCTTCTCTCAATTCCTATGGATAAATTAAAGGTGCTCATCTGAAGCCAGTCTGCGGTCCGTATATAACATAACTATGGGTGTTACAGTAAGAGAAAAACAAAACTTTGCAAACCTCATATTTTGACTTTGACCATCATAGAATGCTGTGGTTCTAAACCACGACCCTGCCACACCTAACCTAGGCGGCTCAAGAGTAGCATTCATTATGCTCGAAGATTGATCTTGTGAACGGACTGTATGTGGTTTTTAAAATGCTGCAAATGCTCAAGAACAAGCCCTTGAGACTTGCATGTTGGGTGACAATGTCATACTGACCTGACATGTCATACTGACATTCATTGCACTCAGTTTGCTATCAAACTCAAGAGCAAACTTAGAAATCTCCTCCTCAAACCTACAAGTCACCATACATATCTTGGCTTATCACACCAACAACAGAAGCAATACTACTCAACGATTGCTGCAAACTCTTCTACTACATCTGTTTATGCTACATACATCACGGCATATCATTTGGACACTCATTGAACAAGTTATTAAGAAAATCTCCTCCTTAAGGGGGTGGGCCAATACTACCACATGGCATATCTCTACCAACTAGAGGCCTAGGAAGATGAACGATAGCTCTAGAAGCTTCTACAACCCTCTATGATTCATTACACGTCATCGCTCCTTAGTTACCCACAAGATTGGTTAAGTTATGACATAATTTATCTATAGGTACTCTGACCTTGGACCTCCTTTTAACTTCCTATAGGCTAGGAACCCAACAGATGGTTCTATGGGATTCTCTTACGTTCACTACATGATTAGCAAGCTAGTTGTGGGTCGCACTTGATTTCTAATACATTTACCAAGCCTGGTTAGTCATGGAAAGTCATGGAAAATGAGAGAACTACACTCCTTTGGCATAAATAGGATTGCCCTTTCCTTAAGAAAGGGCAAGCAGGCAATACAGTAAATCGACTATCACATACTTCCCCGTCTTTTCCAAGCTTCCAAGCATTCATCTTGTTACTCCTTGTTTCTGAAAAGTCAGTGAGGTGTTAACCTCTGACTTACCCCTGAGTTCCCAGACTCAACATTTGTTGCAACTTGTCTGAACCACTTCACTACATCACACACCTGATTGCTGCGTTGTGGAATAGTCTAAGCTACAACCCTTTGGCTCTGTTTCCTAAGACAGTGTGTTGTCTTAGTAAAATCATCCCTTCCTTGGGTGGCTAGATTCTCACATCTGGTGCACCCACCATTACATGACATTTGTTGCACTCAGTTTGCTATCAAACTCAAGAGCAAACTTAGAAATCTCCTCCTCAAATCTACAAGTCACTATACATATTTTGGCTTATCACACCAACAACAAGAGCAATACTACTCAACGATTGCTACAACCCACCATGATTCATTACACGTCATTGCTCCTTAGTTACTGGGCTGATATGACCACATAGCATATCTCTACAACCCTCTATGATTCATTACATGACATCACTCCTTAGTTACTGGGCTAATACTACACATGACATATCTCTATCAACTAGAGGCCTAGGAACATGAACGATAGCTCTAGAAGCTTCTACAACCCTCTATGATTCATTACATGTCATCGCTCCTTAGTTACCTACAAGATTGGTTAAGTTATGACATAATCTGTCTATAGGGGTACTCTGACCTTGGACCTCCTTTCATTTCCTATAGGCTAGGAACCTAGGAGATGGTTCTATGGGATTCTCTTATGTCGACTACAGTTACCAAGCCTGGTTAGTCATGGAAAGTCTTGGAAAATGAGAGAACTACACTCCTTTAGCATAAATAGGATTGCCCTTTCCTTAAGAAAGGGCAAGCAGACAATACAGTAAATCAACTATCACATACTTCCACGTCTTTTCCAAGCTTCCAAGCATTGATCTTGTTATTCTCTGTTTTTGAAAAGTCAGTGAGGTGCTAACCTCTGACTTACCCCTGAGTTCTCAGACTCAACATTTGTTGCAACTTGTCTAAACCACTTCATCACATCATACACCTGATTGCTGCATTGTGGAATAGTCTAAGCTACGACCCTTTGGCTCTTTTTCCTAAGACAGTGTGTTGTCTTAGTAAAATCATCCCTTCCTTGGGTGGCTAGATTCTCACATCTGGTGCACCCACCATTACAGGTTGTACAGGCGGTCGGTGCTTGTTCAACATGGACCTCATCGGCTGAGTGTATGAGGCCTTTAATGTGGGTTTGGCGCAATAGAATTCAACATGGTTCATGTTCACGGTAGCCATGCTGAGACAGGGTAGGACACTGAGTGGGAGAATGGTCTTTGGAACTAGTCTCTTGAGCGGAATGAAGGACCTTATATAGAGATGCAGACAGTCGCCCTTCACGCTCCGTGTCGCCTCACCCTTTTCGGTGCTCTGCAGCCAGGCAGTGAATTTTCCACCACATGCTTAACCCTGATTCCACCAACCAAACATTTGAGTCAAAGAGGGGAAACACACATCGAATTCCGAGGCACTCTGGTGACTGCGCTGCTGCAACTTGAGTGGTCGCAAGAGCGGAGTCTCACTCTCAGCTGAACGTTTAGCGCTGCAGTCGGCCTCTTTGCTGCCAAAAGTAGGAATATATCCGGACTACGCCTGCTGTGAAGGCGATCGCTTTGAAAGCCTCAACCAACCAGTAGTGGCCGGATGGAGCGGCATCCGAGGTCAGACGACTCTACCAGCAATAACCGTCCACTCTCCGTATCCATTTGTCTGCAATTCCGGTAGGATTCCTGTATCAGCGCCTCGAAATGAAGGTGAACTGCAGCCTTCAATGCATAGATGGTTGTGGCCGTGATGGCCTTCAAGGGATCTCCACCTTCAATCTCCAGGATGTGAGTACAGGCCCCTAAGAAGCTGGCTCGCAAACAGAAATCGGCCCTTCTCTCGAAGATCAGCTAAGGCTGAGGGAGACGTTGCTGCTCAGCACCTGTAACTCATAGTGTCGCAAAAGGTGCTGCGCGTCGGTGTACGCAAGGGCCGGCCATGTCACCACGAGGCATTTTTGCGATTGGCTAGGTCATAGCGCAAGGCACTCTCAAGGCAGATTGTGCATGCCACAGTCGCAAGAGGCTTCAGATGTGTGCGGCAATGAAGAAGGGCGCAAGAGGTGCAATCATAACGCAGCTCTCAATCTTGCATCTTGACCAATCTGACGACCAGTCGTCGATACTCAAAGGGCTCGCTGCCATCGCAAAGAGCTCCGGGTGTGGAAGGCGTCGCCAATGAAGGGCAGGAATTGAGGTTGTACCTGGGAAGCATTCATGTGCCACTGTGGGTTTTCAGCTGCGGCGAGGTCGAGCCGGGGGATCTGTTGGGCGGTGCCATGCAATATGGAGGGGGCGGAGGGGGCCAAGCGTCACACGATGAGCGCAGCAGCCGTGAAACTGTTGGGAGGAATGACGGAGAGTGAAAGTCGGGGAGGGGGAGCTGCCCTTTTATAGAGCTTGAAAGCGGCGGCAGGCATGTGCACTGTATTGCCCGATTAGGCAGGTGCCAAACCCTGCAGGTCGAACACCACGATCCAGATTATATAACTAAATAAGGATATAGATATTAGCTTACCTAGTTGTATTTTTTTTAGGCCCTTGTATATCTTTAGTATGCTTTGCTAATAGCCTTATATTCTCTTGATTATATTTAGGGCAAAAACTCCATATAACGTTCGCAATGGCGTAATGAGCACCATGGCGTAATGAGCACCAAAACCCCCACCTTGCAACTTCAAACTTTGTAAACTACAACAATGGCGAGACGCAAGAGCGTCCGGGTTCAAGAGAATGAAGCTTGTATAGCTGAAGCTATAATAGCTTACCAGAATCGACAGTTTACAAGCTTAAACACTACTGCAGAACACTTTCAAGTTAATCGGATGACTTTGACACGTCGCGTGTCAGGAGGCTATTCTCGAGCGCAAGCACGACAAGACCAACAACTTTTATCTACAGTTGAAGAGAGTACCTTGGTTAAGTGGATTTGCCAATTCTCATCGATAGGACGCCCTATTAGACACCAGCTAATAAAGGAATTGGCGGAAGAAATCAGGATTCAAAGAGTTCAATGCGTTAATGACACGTCATCTCAAATTGTATGATACCCACCAATTGGCAAAGAATGGATCCAACGCTTTATTCAACGTCATATAGAGCTTGCTACAATTACCACTCGACAAATCGAGTCTGCAAGACATCAAGAAGCAATGTTCGAAGCACTTGAACATTGGTTTGCAGTGTTGCAAGCGAAGTCGCAAGAACAGAACTACGCGTTATGTAACATCTATAACATGGATGAATCGGGTTTTGGGATTGGTACAAGCCAAACGAACCATGTAGTAGTTGATGCTACTATACGTACGCATTGGAAAGTTGTTCCTTTGGTGCTCATTACGCCATGGTGCTCATTACGCCATTGCAAACGTTACCCAGTAAAACAATAAATAAATTTTATATACCCAGTTCTATCCCACGTGACCTGCCCAAGCCCAATCTAGAAACTCCCCCCGTTCTCATATGTGCCTGGCATGTCTGAGCCAGCCCCGATGACAAGCAATGGAAGCTCGTCGTCAGGGCTGGCTCGGACACACCAGGCACAGCCCTCCTCAGGACAAACGGCAGTTGCCCCGTCTTTGTCCCTTCTCTGGAGCCGCCAGGAGAACTTCTCCTTGATGGCCCAGTCGTCCAGGGCGTGGGACCAAGCGTCCAAGTCGAGGAACTTGCTACCGTCAACAGGGGCAGCGAGTTCGGCTAGGAGGCAGGGGCGGGGGAGGCGGGGGAGTTTGTGCCTCGCGCGAGGGCTTCCGAGGGTGGTTTCGAGGGGGTCGGAGGAGGGAGGGAGCCTGGGAGGTGTCAGTGGGGTTGTGTGGTGGAGAGGAGGAAGGGAAGGGGGAGGAGGTTTGGGGGTCTCAATTGACCCCTGACTTACCATGCAATTGAGCTGGTATATTGCCAGCTCAATTGCTTCAAAAAGGCCATATGAGAGCACGTACTCTCAAATGAGAGTACGCCTCTCATTGGCTCATTAACCTTTCCAAAGGAGGGTTAGCGGCCGACTGGGTAGATGGAGTTTTCTTACCAGTTTACTGGGTATATCGAGTTTTTGCCCTTATATTTAAGGCTATTAATAATCTTCCTCTTATTGCTTATATAAACTATACCTAATTAGGTAATAACTAAGCCTAATAAGGTATAAATTATAGTCATGATTATGATTATGACTAAATAATCATGATTATAATTGATTTTCTAACCCTAGTTAAGAGGCATTTAGCTAACCCCTAAGTTAGCCTTATATATCCTTTATACACAGCTTGCCTTTCCTAGGAGATGGTCAACTCTTAAGAGGCTCTTTAGTCAGTTAAGGCCTTAGTTGAGTATTGTCTTTATAGATATATTACTCTTCCTTTATGAGACCTTTTCTAGAATACTTAGGTGGCATCTATAGCTTATGTGCAAGCATATAGAAGCCTTCTTAACAGCTGTTAAGGAAATAGGAGGAGTAGAGGGGATCTAGGGCTTCGTTAATTAAACACAAATAGTATTGTAAAGAATACATATTAAGTTGAGCACAAAGCTCCTATCTAAGGGAATACTATCTACTTATATAGTGGCGTTGTGCCTTATAGATAGTTCAGATAGTTAGGGATAGTTAGATAGTTGGGATAGTTCTAGTTTTCTTAACTATCTATGTCATAGGTAGGGCAATCGGAGGAGAAGTCGGCCACAGCCTAGGTCAGGGGTGGTCTACTATAGCACCCCTATAGTGGCCTAAGTGCCTTAGGCAGCTATAGGCATAGAAGGGGGTGTAGGCCTAACCTATAACTAAGTCAGTAGCAGCCTAACCCTAACTAGGTACATAAGGTAGCTAAGCCCCCATTTAGGGGGGGCTTAGAGATTAGTCTGTTAAATACTATACTGCTTGCTAGAAACTACAGTCTTAGCACGTTGCCTACCTACAACTCTTACAATCTAACTATCTACTAGTTTTCCAACTATCTACTAGCTAGGTCACTGTTACAGCTATGGTAACGTGACATCAGTTATAGGGCTAGTAGGGCTAGGCCCTTGTTGTTATGATTACAGCTCACAGCTTGTCACAGCTTGTTATGGTTGTTATGGTTGTTATGGTTGTTACAGTTGTTACAGTTATTACAGTTATTACGGTTGTTATGGGGATTACGGGTGTAGCCTTAGCCACCAAGGTTACAACCGCTAAGCAGACAACTGTATGTTATGAGGAATAGCCTCACCTTCCTTCCTTCTTCTTCTTCTTCTCTCTTTAGATTCAATCTAGATTACTTTTCCTGGACTGGCATCATGACCTCTATGACCATCGTAACATTTGTAACGTGACCTAAGAAGTCATGAGGCTAGTAGGGCTAGGCTGTAGCATGACTAGGCTAGTGGATAGTTACAGAAACTAGTGGATATTAGATAGTTAAGCTATCTATAAACTATCTAGGTTATCTAGCTATCCATCAACTATCTAGACTATCCATAAGGCATGACGCCACTATAGAAGTAGATAGTATTCCCTTAGATAGGAGCTTTCTGCTCAACTTAATATGTATTCTTTACAATACTATAACATGTTACTTAGAAAGCCTTTGTGTTTAATTCCCTGCCTTCTCTGTTAAGTCAACCTTATGTAAGAAACCTCTATGCATCCTATTAGATAGGAAGCAGCATTATAATTTATTATTATAACTAATCTATAGGGAAGTTTAGACTACTCTCCTACACTCTTCCTCTCTTGTCTCTTGTCTAGACTTAGCTTTGTAATAAGCTAAGGATCTTACTAACCTCCTTTTGTAGGTTATAGAGGCCTTCCTCTATAGCTATAATCCTTAAGGGGGCACCCCCCTTAAGTATAATCATAAGACAGTTAGCAATTGATACTAACTTAGTCAACATAGATAGAGGAGGTAATAGAGAGTAGTTTCTTGTCTTTGTTTATGCTTTTAGGAAGGCACTAAAGATATTAAAGGCAATGGTGATGTGGGCATTTATGTCATACTGACATTCATTGTACTCAGTTTGCTATCAAACTCAAGAGCAAACTTAGAAATCTCCTCCTCAAACCTACAAGTTGTCATACTGACATTCGTTGCACTCGTAGGCCCATTAGATAGCATAATTAATTCAATTTGATCAATTTACTCTACATACTGCCCTTTATTGTGATACTCGCTGGCGCTGCCCAGAAGTGAGCATTTCGGGTACCAGAGAACCCTTACAATTTGGGTGTGATCCCCGGTCACCGTAATACACTCCAACAGGTTATGAGCCCGGTCGTGCCTGCTGTCGATATCACATTTTGAACGATTGATTCCGAGTTCTCACATCCATATAGTGAGAATACTAAGCTGCTTTCGAAGCTCAGTCCTGCCGTCAGGAAAGCTGATCAATCAGCAATGGTGACCTGACCAGGCACCAAAGTGAGGACTCGTCCAAAGCATGGATCCAGATCTCGGCGGTGACAAGCCCCGTCTGGCCAGACTGACGGGAAGGATATGGAGTATCCAAGTGACGAACTACCTCAAGCGTTGGGACTTATATGGGGTGGTTGACTCTGGATATGAGTTGAACGCTAATACTGACGAGGAGGATTTCGAGAACCGGACTGACGCCGCCAAAGAGACCCACGAAGGGAAGGCGGCCAAGAGGAAGATCGACAGAAAAAGAGACCAGAGAGTAACGAAGTGTGAGGAAGGGGCAATAGAGACCATCACCGGTTTCTGCGCTCCTGAACCGCTCTCGAATATCGCAGAGCTTGGAACGGTGAAGGAGATGTGGGGTACCCTCAAGAGGATATATGCCCCTATTGGGCGACAACAGTTGACGGACCGCATCAATGCCTACAGCCACTACTCTCCTCAGTCTCGGTTTATAAAGTATCACTTGAGCTCAGTCGGCTTCAGAAAGAGCTTGCGGAGCATGATATAACGGAGCGCCCGACTGATCAGAATAAGACGACAAAGCTCATATCGATTATAAGAGCCCGCGGCTCTCGATACGATCAAACAGCTGCTACAATTAGCGTTATGGAATCACCAACTTACGCAGTGGTGACGAAAGCCTTCGCTGATTTCGATCAGTTTCTCGACGGAGGCAAGAAGCTGAACGAGAACGCCCTCCAAACCAACACCAATGCGAATACCGGTGGTGGAAGAGGAAGAGGCAGTGGGAGAGGCGGCCATGGTGCAAGCCGTGGCCGCGGACGAGGAGGACGTCAAGGAGGAGGTGGTCAAGCACCACTGCTTGAGGACATCACCTGTTATCATTGCGGTAAGAAGGGTCACTATCGAAGTGACTGCCGGTCAAGAAGAAACGGTGAACCTAAAAGGAACCCGTCAACCGGACCACTCCCCGCTCCTGGTGGGAGAGGTTTATCACCACCCCCTGAAGAAGCAAGAATGGCGGCGGCATCAACCACAGCTTGGATCGCCATCGCCGCCGAAGAAAAAAGCAATTGGCTTGAGGGTGGCGGCTCTCAGGGGCACTCATGGATCGTGGATTCTAGGTGCTCTCGCCATATGACATACGACCGGGATTCTTTTGTCAGTTATAAGCTGCTGAGCATGTCAATACCGGTTAATATCGCAAACAGTGCATCAATCGAGGCCATTGGCGAAGGGACCGTTGCTTTCAACACCCTTGTGAAGGGTGAGAAACTCAGGATATTGATGCACGATGTGCTTCATGTCCCACGCCTCGCCGGAAACCTCATCTCGGTGTCCCATCTCCAGGATAGGGGCATCATGACAAGGACGACCAATGGAGGCAAGTTACTTCTTGAGCTCGATGGCCAAGTTGCTGGCGTTGCTGTGCGTGTTGACAAGTCATACGTACTTGACGGCACACAGGAAACAGCTTTCTGTACGGTGGTCAACCCACCAAGAAAGCAGGACAAGACACTAGCATTGTCATCGAAGGATGCGATGCTTTGGCATCAACGTTTTGGACACTCAAGCTCGAAGAACTTGAGGCTTGTCCACATTGCTGTCCATGGGATGGCTGGCGCCATTAAGGGGATCGAAGACCCATGCGAAGCATGCTTGCTCAACAAGAGCACCAGGGTGATCAATCGACAAGCCCCTGAGCATGCAAAGGAAGTCCTCGGCCGCATCCATACTGATATATGGGTCCCATATAGGAGGCCGAACATCGATGGAGAGGTGTATTTTATCACCTTCACTGATGATGCCTCAAGGAAATCGTGGGTTTACCTAGCAACGACTAAAGACCAGTTCAGGAAGATCTTCACCGAATTCAAGGTGATGATCGAGATAGAGACTGGCCTGACGATAAAGGTAGTCCAATATGACAACACAAAGGAATACAGGAGGTTACAGACCCTGTATACGCCTACCTACAGCATTCTATTTGAGTTTACGATGGCGTACACATCACACCAGAATGGTGCTGCGGAACGCCTAAATCATTCCTTACTGAGTTCCCCAGAGTGATGATAGTGTAATGGTGGGTGCACCAGATGTGAGAATCTAGCCACCCAAGGAAGGGATGATTTTACTAAGACAACACACTGTCTTAGGAAAAAGAGCCAAAGGGTCGTAGCTTAGACTATTCCACAATGCAGCAATCAGGTGTATGATGTAGTGGAGTGGTTTAGACAAGTTGCAACAAATGTTGAGTCTGAGAACTCAGGGATAAGTCAGAGGTTAGCACCTCACAGACTTTTCAGAAACAAGGAGTAACAAGATCAATGCTTGGAAGCTTGTAAAAGACGTGGAAGTATGTGATAGTTGATTTACTGTATTGTCTGCTTGCCCTTTCTTAAGGAAAGGGCAATCCTATTTATGCTAAAGGAGTGTAGTTCTCTCATTTTCCAAGACTTTCCATGACTAACCAGGCTTGGTAACTGTAGTCGACGTAAGAGAATCCCATAGAACCATCTCCTAGGTTCCTAGCCTATAGGAAGTGAAAGGAGGTCCAAGATCAGAGTACCCCTATAGACAGATTATGTCATAACTTAACCAATCTTGTAGGTAACTAAGGAGCGATGACGTGTAATGAATCATAGAGGGTTGTAGAAGCTTCTAGAGCTATCGTTCATGTTCCTAGGCCTCTAGTTGATAGAGATATGTCATGTGTAGTATTAGCCCAGTAACTAAGGAATGATGTCATGTAATGAATCATAGAGGGTTGTAGAGATATGCTATGTGGTCATATCAGCCCAGTAACTAAGGAGCAATGACATATAATGAATCATGGTGGGTTGTAGCAATCGTTGAGTAGTATTGCTCTTGTTGTTGGTGTGACAAGCCAAAATATGTATAGTGACTTGTAGGTTTGAGGAGGAGATTTCTAAGTTTGCTCTTGAGTTTGATAGCAAACTGAGTGCAACGAGTGTCAGTATGACACAAATGAGAAATACTATACTTGACGTTATACAACAATCCACTCTGGCGAATACCTTGCAACAGATGATACATGCAACGGACGATTATAGTATTACGCCTGCGATCTTTACAATTACAAGAGATAATGCGTCTACGAATACAACTATGCTATTAGAATATGAGAAACTGGCATCGGCGCAACCTATTACCCTGAAACAACCATGGGCTTTTACAGCGAAAGCAGGAGACATACGCTGTATTGGGCATATTATCAACATTGCTGTTCAAGCTACTTTAGCTTACTTAAAGGCAATGCCTGATGAAAGGGTAGAGGCATACCGGCTTGAGGTTGGGGCTGCACGAATACCAACTACTATTGAAAACGAAATCGTGACTGTTCTTGCCAAGCTCCAGCATCATATATATGTATTTCGGAACTGCTGTGGATGGAAAGATGCCTTGAAGAATCAGTGTAAAGCTGCAGGTATTAAAGTCTGTCAGTTGACACTTGATATGCCAGTCCGCTGGAGCTCAACTTATCAAATGATCAATATGGCTTTAAAGCTTCATGTAAGGATGCCTCTGCCCTCAGTGACAGAAAGGATTGGAGTCGGGCAGGTTACGGTCACGTGGGGAGAGTTAGGGCAGGTTAGCCGAGTCGGACCCGTTTCGGGTACCTAAGGGGATTGACTGTAAGGACACAGGGCACCCAGCTCACAGTAATAGCATATGAGAGTGCGAGTCGGAGGCTAAACGGATGCTATCCTATAGGTCTACTACGAAGGATACAAAAAAGATGAAGGGGGAACCCCGTTGAGTCTGTTTCCTTAAGTACCCGAAACGGGCCTGACTCGGTTATCCCAACCCTAGCCCTGAACCTTCTACCGCAACAGGTCTGCATCAGCCCTGAACCCTATACACTTACCGTCCCCCACTATAGTGTAACTTGCTATATGCTCCTCTACTGGTTCGAAACCCCACCGAGTCGGATTCCATGCTTGTAGTGACCGTAACAGTTCTGAGACAGGTTCTTCGAGTATCTAGGTACGGAGGCATCCTTACACTTCTGAGACAGGTTCTTCGAGTATTTTAGGTACGGAGGCATCCTTACATTGACCCAACGGGGTTCCTCATCATCCTTTTTGTATCCTTCGTAGTAGACCTATAGGATAGCATCCGTTTAGCCTCCGACTTGCACTATTACTGTGAGCTGGGTGCCCTGTGTCCTTACATTATACAAAAAAGATCATGCCTGCCGGGGACGGCCGTACTTCAATAATATCCCACACTGGAACGACTCAGGAGAACTACCATTACGACATCGACCGCGACTCGGTGACATTTCGGAGGAGAGACCTGACGACTTCAAATAGCCGTGATTCCAGAGATCTCACAGACAGCCAGTGGATCAGGGTTTGATTCTTCAGAATAAGATGGTAAAGTCACCGACGCATTGGCGCCAAATAGGATATGAGATCCTTAAGAACCCCCTCCTAGCACAGAGAAAATTGTGGACAAGAGCATTGATAGCTACAAGCTACTGGAAGTCAAGCTCTTTCGTATCGGTACTGATACACACCCGAGGCAATATGTTGAAAAAGCTGACATCAAACATACCCCAAGACAACGACGGTCAACTGCCCAGAATGACTACCAGACAAACCACCACTGCAGCTATGACCGCTGTGCCATCCGAAGATATCCTGAGTCGAATGGCCCACCTCGAAGCACAGATACAGGAGGTCAAGGATCTACTAGTTACCCTGACAGCAGCCCAGACCAGAATCCTGTCCACACCACCAGTGGACGCCCCTATACCCACAGTTGAAGCTGCGGAGCAATGAACTCCTCACACACGAAACACCCCTGAGACAGTTCAATTGCCGCCTCTTCAGGACTTTCATTCTCCATCGATCCCAAGCACGTCACGAATGCACACCGAGGACCCACCGACTTGCTATAAGAAATCTACCATCTCAGAGAGAATCACTCCGCTCAGCGATGGGATAGAACATACCTTCCTACAATGGAGCGCTTCAATTCGGGACTGACTCGTAGTCAATGAGGACCACTACCTTACCGACGTCTCAAGAAGAGCGTTGATATGGGGAACTACGACCGGCGTGGCTAAGACCTACCTAGAGCCCCAATACCTGTCAGCTATGCATGGGTTCCACAGTGCTGACAAGATGATGGACCTACTAGGTTCATACTACCTCACAGGCAACGAGACGGAACAGGCCAGGAACCTCTTCGACGACCTGCAAATGGGAGAGAAGGGGCATGCTAGCGAAACCTTCCCAGAGTTCAAGGCTCGTTTCCAAAGTGCAGCTATCATAGGACAAGTCTCCGAGTCAGAATGGTTTCAGTACATGTGGAACAAGTTGACTCCCCAATTCCGCAGCTGCGTCGCGATCATTAAAAACCAATGGAATGGAGACTACCAGACCATGGTATGAGAACTTACTACCTTCGATCAGGAACAGCACCAGAACAACGAATTGAATCTGCTACCCGCTCTCGCAAGGACGTCCACACGTACCACGGGTACAGCAAAGGTGTGCGTCGAAGCCAACTCGAGCCACACCCGCTCTGTTCACCCAAACCATGTTCGGACGGAGCAGGGAAGCATGCCGGCTCTTTTGGGGGAAGTGGTGGCTGCCGTGGGCAGGCTTCCTGCCATCGCTGTCACTGCCAGACTGCGCTGGGGGGAGGAAGAAGGGGGGTGGTGGGGGTGGTGAGGTTGAGGGGGATGTGTTTGGGGCCCAGTATGGGGCAGAGGAGGATGGGGCATAGGATGGAGGGAGGACCTGTGTCGGAGGGGACTCGGACCTGAAATCTTCACGTGGGGTCGCTTTGACCCTTCGTCTCCCTCGGTGGTAGCCGCTTGTTGCGACGCCGGTGAGACGTTTGGAAAGGGTGACTCCCACAAGAGTTACAGTGGTGAGTGCCCCCTGGCTCAGAGGGTATTTTAGTTTAGAGTCGTAGATAGCAAGACTCTGTTTCTTCCACTTTGTCTTCCCTCCCGTGATCATAGTTTTGTTCCTCGCGCGTCTCCCATGCCATAACCCATCCGAGTAGTTCTCGAGGTGGACCTGGTAAATCTGGGTATTCCGTGTGAAACTCTCTGAGTTTATGGGGAGAGTTCATGAAGTTTGATGCTGGGTACCACTCCGGGTCCGGATCGTATCTGACCCAACTAACCCGGCATTGTAGTTGCTTCCGTCGGAGCCTCACGGCGAGGATCTTTTCCACTTGCCATTCCTCTACGCCATCTATCACTTCGCTGCTAGGCTCAGGCGGATCCTGACCAGGTAGGGGGTTGTTCGGATCCTTCATGAGGATGTCTGGTGAGAACACATTGTGTATTTGAGAACCGGTAGGTAATTCCAATCGAAACACGTGCCCAATCCGTTCAAACACCATATATGGTCCGACCCATTGTTGGCCCAACTTGCGGCTAGGGTGGGAGTTCTTCAAATTTTTGGTCGATAGGTACACTCTATCTCCTATGTCCCAGTCGATGGCCCTTCGGCGTTGATTCGCGTGCTTAGACATTTCCTCTTGTGCCTTTGACATGTTTTCCTTTGCATGGACCCATGCGGTATGCATTCGGTCTGCAACCGCCTTGGCTTCATCCCAGTTTAGGGTCTCCTGGGGGTTGGTGCTTTTTGGGGTGTTCCAATCCCAACTCGTACACAGATCGGTTCCATACTTGAGTTGGTAGGGGGTCATGCCAATGGAGGCATAGGGGAGTGTCATTTGCGCGCGGTCCATTATGGGGATGAGTTCGCTCCAGTTATCCTGGTAATGGGATACGAAAGGCCTCAGTCTCTGATCGATGTATCGGTTCATGATTTCCGTCTGCCTGTCGGTCTGCTTATGATAGGCAGTCGACAGTTTAACCTTAATGCTGATAATTCGGCAGAACTCCTGCCAAAAGGATGATACGAATTGGGGTCCGCGGTCGCTTACAATTGACTCCGGAGTGTATCCGAATCGGTATATCCATTTGATGAACAATTGTGCCATTTGCCGGGCAGTTGTGGTTTTGTAGCAAGGTATGGTCACTAAACTCTTTCCGAGTCGGTCCATAAACACTAAGATGCTGTCGTATCCATGCTTGTCCCTTGGGAACTCCTTGAAGTCCATGGTGAGGTGTTGCATAGGATATTCGGGTACGGGCAGCGGGTGTAGGAATCCTTGTTGCTTGGTGACATTGGTATGAGAAAGCCGACATGTCACACAATTCCTCACATAGCGCAAACAATCCGCTTCCATCCTGACCCAGTGGTACTTCGGGGCAATCAATTGATAGGTTTTCTGGCCGCTAGGATGTGCCACTGACACCTGGTCATGCGCTTCTCGGATTAGTTTCGTACATAGCTCGGTGTGGTGATTTACACATAGCCGGCCTTTGTATAGAAGAAGCCAGCCGTTCAACGTGAACCTGTCAGGTAGGGAGTGTTTCGTACGTGTTTCTGTAAACGACTCTCTGTTGTCCTCACATAAAGCCTCTATTAAATCGAAAGGCATCTGGGGCTTGGGGATGTCCATCGAATTAATGGATGCTATGTAGCTCTCGGCGAGTTCGGTGCTGATTCGGGGGATTTCATTCAAAAATCAATATCTCCTCCACAGGTGTCGGGGAGAGTTCTCATATAAGCCAATAGAAGGGGAAATACCCGCATCCAACCACTGCATGCTTCTTCTACAGGCCTTTGAACTTCGTGGGTCCTCCAGGATGATTGACAGGTACTCGAGGGGGCCAAACGAGTGCAGATCGCTGTAAGCTCCTTCGGCCAGACCAACCATCCCAATTAATGGGATCTGACTTGGAATGCATTATGTACCTTGATTTAGCACCACCCTGCTGCCGCTGTGTCAGCGGCGTCTTCTTATCCCCTTTTTTACTTCATAGTCATGCTAGATTTATGTGTATAATCATTTCTAGATCTTCAGAATGCAATAATATACGCTGTGTTGTGTATTCTAATCTTTTGAGAGTGAGTGCCTAGTGACATAGTATATGTGCAAATGGGATACGGCATACTAGTGCCACCCAAAAGTCTCCGGGTGGGATACAGCACAAACATAGTGATTGATGTCAGCAATATAAGCTGATGGGATTTCTCTGTTTCGCTCCATTTCCAAGTGACTAATACGAGAATTGTGGTCTTCAGTGACTGAGAGACTTTATTTTCGTTATAATTGCTGATACCAGTGTTGCCCGAGTAGTACTTGCCGTGAGTACGGAGGTGTTGTTCATAAGTTTTGTGAGTGGGTCATGAGATGACCGGGGGTTGGGCATGGGTTGGAGCATGGGTACGCGTAGGCTTGTTTGTACCTTTTTAACGCATCAAAATTCCTACTATTGTATTTTATATGTAGGAAATTCATACTCTTTCAATAACTACAATGCCTCATCTTACTCGCGATGAGCGGCTTCGTTACGCACTACTACGCTCCCTAGATTGGGAGTTCCAAAAAATTGCAGCCTATATTGGCTGCACGGAATGGCAGGCTTGGTATGCTTGCCAGGGCCCTCCAACTCCAAAGAAGCGTTTGGGTAGGCCACTTATCCTATCCGATGAGCAAGTTCAAGAGGTTATTGAGTTTATAGCCTCATCTCGCACGAATAGGCGTATGCCATATACAAATATAATACGCATTCTTAATATTCCATGCTCACGGCTTGTCCTAACCCGCGCTCTGTCTGCAGAGGCTATAATCGATGTAAGTATCCCTCTCTACTTTGCTACTATATAGACTAATAATTATTAAGGGATTGCTATGCGGAAGCCTATTATCTCAGAGACAAATCGACAAAAGCGACTTGCATGGGCTATTGAACATAAGGATTGGGTATGGAATGATTGGAATAGGATACTTTGGACTGACGAGACGTGGGTAACGGGAGGCCGCCATACTCGTACGTGTGTTACTTGAAAAGCAGGGGAAATGTGGGATGATACATGTGTTGTAGATAGAGTACAACGGAGAAGGTAAGAGACTCCTATTTACTATAGGATTTACTAACAATCCCTAGAGGTTGGATGTTCTGGGGATGCTTCTCAGGTGGTCTTGGAAAGGGTCCTATACTATTTTGGGAGAAGGAATATGGGAAAATAGGAGCTGAGTCCTATATGGCTCATACTGTCCCTCTAATCCACGGCTGGCTACAACTACACCCAGACCTTACATTGATGCAAGATGGAGCTCCAGGTCATAGAGCAGGTGCAACATATGAAGAGTTGAGATCCCGTGGTATTTTGTAATGGTGGGTGCACCAGATGTGAGAATCTAGCCACCCAAGGAAGGGATGAATTTACTAAGACAACACACTGTCTTAGGAAACAGAGCCAAAGGGTTGTAGCTTAGACTATTCCACAACGCAGCAATCAGGTGTGTGATGTAGTGAAGTGGTTCAGACAAGTTGCAACAAATGTTGAGTCTGGGAACTCAGGGGTAAGTCAGAGGTTAACACCTCACTGACTTTTCAGAAACAAGGAGTAACAAGATGAATGCTTGGAAGCTTGGAAAAGACGTGGAAGTATGTGATAGTCGATTTACTGTATTGTCTGCTTGCCCTTTCTTAAGGAAAGGGCAATCCTATTTATGCTAAATGTTACGATATCAAGTGCGCCTTGCAGCTCGAGTGGGGGTTCAGGGGTGTGGGGAGCTTTCCGGGGTTGGAGCGAAGTTTTCAGTTGTGGAGTGAATTCTCAGAACTGGTATCGCTAAAGAGAATTCACTCCACAACAACATAGCTGTATATAGATCGAGCCACTGCTCGAGTGCTCCTCTTCTCTTTCCTTTCTTCTCTAGATTGAGTTTAATTCATAATACCCAACTGGCGCCCTATGCCTTGGTGAACCATGACATAAAACTCAATCTCTCTTATACCTCTTTTCCTGCTCTTTGAGCTGAACCCTCTTCTGAAATCGAAATCGAAATCCACTCTTTGAAAACCCCAGAACCAGAAACCTTATCCTGAAGTCGATTCCAGGACGATCTCGAGGCAACCCCTCAAAGTTGGCTTTCAACAGTCAGCTCGACACACACACACCACCTTCGCAAGTCAGACCTTTTACAACGCTCCCTCGACAAGGATATAACTGTGAGGGAAGTGCGCTCCTCTTGAGTGGCTCCTACGGCCAACAACTGCACAATAGGGCCTTTGGCAATATGTGTCTGACTTGACGATATAAACCGAAATTGAAATAGCAACTCGCTATGGCTTATACAGCTGAAGAAAAAGCTGCAATGGCAGCTCGAAATGATCCAGAACAAGACCAGGAATCCCTGGCAGAAGGAGCATCAATTCCAAGCTCTGCAAACCAAACCAATGAACTTCATGATCCTAATTTCAAATCCAAAACCTTCCTTCACACTCTGGGCAAAACAGCTCAAGAGAGACATGAATCTATACTTGCAAATCGACATGAAAAGGCTGAATGGAATGTTGAAACCTTTGACAAATTCCAGAAACTATCTGTCGCCAACCAGAAAATGGCATGGACTTTGCACAAGAACATTCTTCGGGACTATTTGGCCCTAGCAGAGGACTCAAATTCGATACTGGCTGAAAAGGATGATGCCATTCTCCAGTTACAGGAACTGATCCAGAGCAACGAGCAACAAATCACAGAGCAACAAACAATTCAGAAATATCTTGAAAAGCAAACCCAACAAGCTCTGAAGAATGAACCAGGACACCACTCTCACAGTCGACTGTCAGCTCGGATTCCAGACCCTCCAATCCTCACAGATGGGATAGAGCCAGCATTTGAAGACTGGGTTGTGAAAAATCGCACACAAGCTCGAAGCCAACATTGATCATTTTCCAACACAGACTTTACAAATGAGCTACATTCAGAGTCGACTGGGAGGACTGGCAGTTCGACATGTCAATCCAAGGCTTCGACCAAACTCTACAAACAAATTGCAGACAGCAGAAGAAATTCTCGAACTTTTGGAAAAAGTCTTCAGTGATCCCGATTGAAGGCACACAGCTCAAACTGAGTATCGAAAGCTGTATCAGAGAAACAACACCTTTGCAGTGTTCTAGGCTGAGTTCCAAAGGCTCACGACAGAGCTTGATTACTCTGAAGAAGCTTTGCTGGATGACTTGCGCTTCAAAGTCAACCAACAGATGCAGAAAGCCTTAGTGGCTGAAGTTGGAGCTACTACACTTCACGAGTTTGCAAAGAAATGCATGCTCATCGACCAGAACATTCAGCAGATCAAGGAACAAGAAGACAAAAGGAAGCCAAAGTCATTTTCGAACAACATGGGCCAAACTCAAAATCAGGGCCAGGCACTTCGAACTTCAATCCCTCAACCTACAATGGATTCCAACATGCAAAACAAGACGCAGAAGCTGTATCGACCACCGCATCAAGATCCAGCAAAAGAAAAGATTATGAAACTTGGGAAATGCTTCATATGCCGACAAAATGGACATCGAGCTCGAGACTGTCCCCAGAAGCTCAAAGCTCAAGTGAATGAGGTATCTACAGCTGAGTCTATCATCGATTCGGAAAACGAATAGCCTCTAGACAAGTCATCACTAGAGGCAGTGCAGCCAGAATTGCAGCTTCTTCCTCGAGATCCAGTTTTGATCCGGACACCCCTTTCTTAGCTACTTGTAGAATAGGAAAATACAAAGCTATTGTCATTGATCGATACTGGTGCCACAGGTGGAAACTTCATTAATGCTGCTGATGCAGAAAGAATATGTGAAATCGAAGGGATAGCCCCAGTCGAACTTGTGAAGCCAAAACAAGTTGAAGGATTCAATAGAGAGGCTGCCCCTGCTATCACACATGCTATATATCCTCGACTACAAGTGGGAGAGCATGTGGAAAGCCTATGTCCATTATTTATCACTTCGCTGGGAAAACATTCCATCATTCTCGGGACAGCTTGGATGAAGCAACATGGAGTTGTTCTCGATATGATCAATGATCAAGTCCTCTTCACTGGAGATTATTGCAACCATTCTATACCAGGTCGAGCCCTCGAAACAGAGCCTATATCTAAAAGCGAAAGACAAAGGCCAAAGAAGAAAGCCAAAGAAATGCCTCCTCCAGAACCTGCTCCGAAAGTGGAAAAACCAAAACCTTGCACCATAGCAATGATTGGCGCAGCACCATTTCGAATGCTCATGAAGCAAAGAGGAGCTCAAGTCTTTGCTATATCAATGAAGGACATAATCGAGCACAAGAACAAGACCAAAACTGAAGAAATTGACTCTCGACTGATCCTTCCGAAGGAATTTCATGAATTTTTGGATGTTTTTTCAAAAATGGCAAGAAGACAAGCTCGATGGGCTGAATTCCTCTCTCGATACAACTTCCAGATCATCTATAGGCCTGGGAAGCAAAATGGAAAAGCAGATGCTTTGACTCGAAGGCCTGGTGACAGACCAGAAGGCAATGATGAGGATGATCGACAAAAGCAACAGCTTCAGGTGTTGCTACCACCTTCGAGGCTACATCCAGACATTCAGAAACTCAAAGAACAAGGCCAAACAGCTCAGCTAGCTCCAGTGGAAACTCATATCAGAGAAATGACAATTCTTGAGAAAATCCAAAAGTCTCAACTGGAAGACAAATTCTGCAAGGCTACACTACAGAAGCTTGAGAATGGTGATCGAACAAGCAAAGAGGTTGCATTGGCTTATTGCGAACTCAAAAACGGCATGCTAGAATATCAAAATCGAGTTTGGGTGCCAGAAACCATTCAGGTGGACTTGTTGAGAGAAGTTCATGAACAACCTTCTATGGGACATCCAGGAGCTGGAAAGATGCTGCGAGTCATGAAACAGCACTATTACTGGCCAAACATGGACAAAACAATAATTCGATATATCAATGGATTTCATGACAGGATTACCACTCTGTGAAGGGAACAATGCTATCTTGGTTGTTGCATGCAGGTTGACGAAAGAAAGACATTTCATTCCGTGTTTCGCTGGGCAAGAAGGGACTACTGCAGAAGCTACAGCACAGCTCTTACTTCGACATGTATGGAAGCACCATGGTCTACCAAACTCGATAATATCAGACAGAGGTCCTCAGTTCATTGCAGAAGTCTGGAGTTTGCTCTGCAAAATTTGGAAAATTTCAGCTAAACTTTCAACTGCCTTCCACCCAGAAACAGATGGACAGACTGAGCGATTCAATGCAGAGCTCGAACGCTACTTGTGAGCTCATGTGAACTATCTTCAAGACAATTGGGTTTCATACTTGTGCATGGCGGAGTTGCTGCCAACAGTTTGCCATCAGATGCAACCAAGACAAGTGCATTTTTTGCGAACAAGGGCTATGAACCAAGAATGAGCTTCGATACAGAGCAGCAAGCATATCACAAAGCCAAACAAGAGCACAAGAACATAGCTCAGACCATGGCAAAGGTTTGGGAGTTTCTGCAGGATGAAATCACGCTCTCGCAAGCAAAAATGGAACATTTCGCGAACAAGAAAAGGAAACCTGCACCACGCTATCAAGTGGGAGACAGAGTATGGCTTTCAACTCGAAATATAAAGACACAGAGGCCATCAAAGAAGCTAGACCACAAGCAAGTGGGACCTTTTGAAATTCTAGAGCGGATTGGGCAAGTTGCATATCGGCTCAAACTTCCAAACAGCATGAAGATTCATCCAGTATTTCATGCCAATCTATTAAGACTTGACTCGAATGATGCAATCGAAGGGCAGCAACAGGAGCCAGAGCCTCCAGTCATTGTCAATGGCGAAGAGGAGTGGGAAGTGGACGAAATCCTCGACTCAAAAGTTATTCGAAAGAAGCTTTTCTACAAGGCAGCTTGGAAGAACTATCCACCAGATGTGTCGCGGTTCACCAAGGCATAGGGCGCCAGTTGGGTATTATGAATTAAACTCAATCTAGAGAAGAAAGGAAAGAGAAGAGGAGCACTCGAGCAGTGGCTCGATCTATATACAGCTATGTTGTTGTGGAGTGAATTCTCTTTAGCGATACCAGTTCTGAGAATTCACTCCACAACTGAAAACTTCGCTCCAACCCCGGAAAGCTCCCCACACCCCTGAACCCCCACTCGAGCTGCAAGGCGCACTTGATATCGTAACATTTAGCATAAATAGGATTGCCCTTTCCTTAAGAAAGGGCAAGCAGACAATACAGTAAATCGACTATCACATACTTCCACGTCTTTTCCAAGCTTCCAAGCATTCATCTTGTTACTCCTTGTTTCTGAAAAGTCAGTGAGGTGTTAACCTCTGACTTACCCCTGAGTTCCCAGACTCAACATTTGTTGCAACTTGTCTGAACCACTTCACTACATCACACACCTGATTGCTGCGTTGTGGAATAGTCTAAGCTACAACCCTTTGGCTCTGTTTCCTAAGACAGTGTGTTGTCTTAGTAAATTCATCCCTTCCTTGGGTGGCTAGATTCTCACATCTGGTGCACCCACCATTACACAAGTCACTATACATATTTTGGCTTGTCACACCAACAACAAGAGCAATACTACTCAACGATTGCTAAAACTCATGAGTTATAAGTCTCTAAAATGCATAGTCTATGATATAGCCATATAGATCTGCTTCATTAAAGCAGATCTATAATACTAGTCGTTTCTCTATCTTAGTAAGCCCCTTTCCTACCTTCCTTTTCCTTATGTCTTCATTTTCTCTAGCCCCTTCCTCATTATTATATACTAATTCTTCATAATTCTAAGGACTAAACTTAGAGAAGAGCTTAGTTTTGTTGAATTCAGATAGGAAATTAGAGAAGGTGAGGGGAATAGGGACTACTAGTAGTGTGCTTTCTAGGTTAGATGTCTGTAGCTGATGCTATCTAAGGCTACTTGGAAAGCTAGATGAAGGAATAGGGTATATTTAGTAGATCTAGAATATTAACTAGAACATTAAATAAGGGGGATTCATACTAACTGTAATTATTATATATGATTGATGGAATTATCACCAACTTCATCTTTGTATGTTAGAACACAGTTTTACAGTTAATCTAATTCAATTTAACTAACTACTTATATGGATAGTAAGTAGCTGCTACACTATAGCAGCCACTATCCTAATTAGGCAATTATGATGCTAAGCCTACTAGGGTTTATATTTCCTACTACGGCTAGTTTTATGGGGCTGCTACAAAATGGAGCAGCGTTACAGCAAATCTAAATTGCTCTACTGTCAGCACGGCAAGCACCCGACCGACGTCCGCCGCGTCAACACCAAGACCTGCTATTTACGTAGTGGTTATATATAGACACCTGCGCATCTCGGTAGGCCAATATATGAATTGCGCCTCGATATGACATCCATCGCTGCTCCAGCTGTCTTCCATGTCTCTCAGATAGAAACAAGCCAATTACCCACTTCCGGATACTCAGTAGATTAGAACTCAACAAATTAACAGCCGCGTTATTTTTATTCCCCGTCTCTTGCCGCGTCAAGGGAGTCTTTAGAGTAAGGAACACCACAATAGACCACTAGACGGGTGAGAGTGGAAGCGCGGAAGTCCAAATTGGATTTGTACACACAGCCTTACTTACCCATCCCGCCCATCCCATCCACCCCCCATCCCAACTCCCCATCACACTAAGGCGCAGACCCAGAGGAGACATTCCACCGCCGAAACAAACCTATCCTCTTGATTGAAATTGCACCTAACGCTGGTGGGTACTTCACATTTGCAATTATACCCCTTTGAGCATCGTGTGCCGCGCGCCACGATTGTGCTAGTACCAGATGCCCCTGGGATTCACTCGGCACAGTAATCGTTCGCAGCAGCTGGCTCCTCTCCCTCAGGTACTACCGCAACAACAACAGCTGCAACTCCCACCACAACTATCGCAAGCTGACCAGCTGCAGCAGCAACAACAGCAGCAGCAAGCTCATCTACAGCAGCAGCAACTTCTCCAGCAACAGCAGCTCCAACAGCTCCAACAGCAGCAGCAGCAGCAGCAGCAGCACATCCCGCAGCAACCTCCCACCCCCCTCGCATCAGCGCCCGAGAACAAAGGTTATGACCCGGGCGTAGTCGCTCAGCCTCAACCACAACAAATTCAACAACAACAACAACAGCCATACCCCAACTCAGCCGACGACGTGGCCTCCTACCAAGCGCCCCCAGCGGATCAGCAAAGCGGCGGCAACGCGTATCATGAACTGACAGCCCACCCGAGCGCCGCGCCAACCCGATCCCGCTCCCACCGCTTCTCGACATCTTACCTGCATATCACCAGCCCGTCGGCGCAGCAGCAGCAGCAGCAAGTTTCCCCACAAAACAGCGGAGACCCTGCGTCCTTTGCTGCCCCTAGCGACACAGCTGCAAACGCAAAGGGCCCCGCGCCGGGCGAATTAAAGAAATCGTCTACCGCTGGACCAGCCGCCCCTGTCCTGGTCCCGGAACCGCACAAGAAGTCGAAGTCTCGCAACTTCTTTGGCCAGTTCTCGTCAAAGTCGCATCGCGAGTCGAGTAGTAGTAGTAGCAGTCGCCAACAGCAGCAAGCCCCGCCCGCTGCGACGCTCAAGGGTCCTGCTGTCGGCCGCAAGATCTCTAGGAAGAATAGCGATTCGCTGCCCCAAACGCCGCAGCAGCAGCAGAATAATTCGGTTGAGAGACTACAGCAGCAGAACGGGTGGCAGCAGTCGAACCACAGCTCAAACAACTTACCATCGCCGCAAGAGCAGCAGCAAGACGACGGTCTAGACCCCTACCTGGTCCGGGACAAGGAGGCCAAGCACCAGGCCTCAGCGTATGATCCACGCCTCGGACTCACAGTTCGTGTAGTCGCAGACGGTCAAGGCCAAGTCGCGCCCCAGCAGTACCACCAGTTCCAGGAACAACAAGTCCACAGCCCGCAGCAATACAGCCCGCAACAGTATCAGCTAGCGCAGCAGCACAGCGCCCCTATTGTCGAAGACCCCTCGATAGACTACAGCAACCAGGCACTGCAGCAGCCCGGGCAATACCAGCAGCAGCACGCGCAGCAGCAGAGCCTCGGCAGCTTCGTCTCCAACCAGCAGTACCGCAACCCGGAGGTCATCTCGCAGCTCTCCCACGACTCCCCATTAGACCCAAACGAGGAGCAGCGCCCGCCCTCCGTCCAGAGCTCCCAGGGCTATACCGCTCAGCAGCAGTACCCCTCTCGCACCGCCTCAGCCAACCAGGACCCACCGCGACTAACGCACCAGTCCTCGTCTAACATCATGGCGCCCCCAGCCGCGCAAGGCTCGCAGAGCCGCAAGTCCACCGACAAGAGCTTGCAGCAGCAGGGTGACAACCGCGCGCCGCCCCTGGGCTACACACAAGGAGGCCAGTTCCCGCCGCCAAATCAGACCCCAACTACCGCGCAGAGCCCGCTACCGCCTATCCCAAACCCCCAGCAACAGCAGCAGCAACAGCAGCCGCCGACTAACTACCGCAACTCGCAGCTACGCGGGGAGTACGGGCCCGACGGGCGCAGCACGCCGCCGTTGCAGGAGACCCGCGAGCCGACCGAGATGGATAGGCTGTGTAACTCCCCCCCACTACCACCCCTATCACATCCCTATCTAACAAACGTGACATAGTCACCAAGTACAAGAAAGTCAAAGGCCTCTACTTCGACAAGCAAGCCCAAGTCGAGCAACTCCAAAACACCCTCGCCAACCAACGCCTCTCGCAATCCAAAACCTCCCTCGACGACAGCGAGTACATCACGCGCTTCCAGCGCCTCGACGGCGCCATCAAAGAAGTCGCCTTCTCCATCCGCAAAGACTGGAAAGCCCTCCCCCACTGGCTCGTCCCCTTCGTCAACCCCTCCGCCCTACAGACCGGGACCAAGGAAATGACCGCCGTCGGCCGCGCCACCATCGCGCGCTGGCTCAACGACGAGATCTTCGGAAAGTGCTTCCACCCCGCCCTCGACCTGGGGTTTTCCGCGGAATTGAAGCGGGTGGAGCAGAATGTCCGGTTCTTCGCGGCCCCGCCACCGAACCAGGATGAGGCTGATGCGCTGACGGCGAAGATCACGCAGTGGCGATTGACGACTATGGAGGGGCTCGCGTACCGGCTGAATTCTCCGCATGCGGCGCAGGCGAAGGCAGATTTCATACAGATGGCTGTTTCGAATCTGACGGCGCATTTGATGAATCACCTCCGTGATGCGGCGGACCACGGGTTCCAGGGGAACGCTACGAGTATCATCGAACTTGCTGTTGGGATCGCGAGTCATTTGCCGTGCGAGAGTAGGGATATCGCCATCTGCTACCCCCTCCCTGGGGACCTGGTAGCGCCGTATATGAAGCTCGAACCCGCGCTCCCGCCGCTGGAGGTGGATTTCAAGGCTGAGGATGGGGAGGGGGGCAAAGAAGCTAAGGAGGAGGAAGGGGGGAAAGAGGGGAAGGGGAAGAAGGACGCAAAGGCGTTGAAGAAACTAGCTCCTGGCGCCGCTGCTGCTGCTGCTGCTGCTGCGGCGGCGGCAGCAGCAGCAGAGCCGGAGATCAAGGAGGGCGCGAATTGTATCCGGTTTGCGGGCTTTATGGGCGTGGAGGTTAGGGGGAGGCAGTGGTTGTATAACCCGCCTGTGTGGACGATTTCTTAGCTTTTTTAGCCTGTCTTTTTTTGTGTGTGTGTGACGGTTGTTTTAAGGGGTTGCTGCTGGCTGTCTATACGTAGATGGGACAATGGGGGGGGGTTATATGAAAAGGGGGGAGTGGTATTTGGTGTAATATATGGAGGGTGGAGATACGCAAATATAAGACGAGAGGAGATAGTTTATACGAGGTTATGATCGCGTTCCTCTCCCCTTTCCCCCTCCCCCTTCCCCCCTTTTTCCCCTTCACGCCCTTATCCCTCCTCTCTTCTCCCCTCACACTCACACCCTCCTAAAATAACACGTACAAATACTCTGCCCCTCCCCCCCCCAAACCTAAACCTCCTATACTCCACCCGTCCCCCCCATTCCAACCCTCCCCCCTCAAACCACCCCCTCACCTCCCCCTCCGTCCAATTACAACTCGTCATCACCGCCCACCCCCCCTTCCTCACTACTTCCCTCACACGCTCTACATACCGCTTCCCCGCCTCCGGATCCCCCATCAAGCTCACAGCGTCGAACGTCCCTTTGTCGAGTACCACATCCCAGCCATCTGCGTTGGGGCCGGAGAGCACCGCATCTGATGGAGAGGCGAGGATGTCCCATTCTACGAACTCTACTGCGCTGTCGACTAGGCCCCGCTCCGCTGCCACCGCGCGCGCGAAGGAGATGGAGGTAGCGCTGTAATCCGTGCCCATGATGCGGCCCTTGAACAACTTCCCCCCCTCCCCCTCCCCCTCCCCCTCCTCTTCTTCCTCATCACTATCCTCCCCCCTCACCCCCTCATCCCTCAATCTAAACAAAAGATGCCCATTCCCCGTCCCCAAATCCAAAAAACTGGCTGTCGCGGGGTCAAAACCCGTTAGGGACGAGGAGCGGAGGAGGGTGACCAGCTTGTCTTCGGCGGAGGAGTCGTCGAACCAGATTGTGCCTTCGTCGGTAGGGTCGGCGGCGTGGTTAGTGGATTCGCGGGTGTAGAGTGCGTCCCAGCTGGGGGGGTGGTTAGTTGGGGGATTATTTGGAAAGGAGGGGTGGGGTGCGAGGAGGGGCGGGGGAGAAGGAGGGGGGTGGAGGGGACGGGACGTACTATTCCTTCGTTCCCAGCTCAGAGGCCTCGAGTAGAGCGGGGGTAGCGGGCGTCTGGTCTGCCATCTTTGGAAGCTGTGCTGGGGGGGGGTGAGGTCGTAGATGGGGTTTGGAGCTTTGGGTGGTGGGTTAATCAGATGGAGGGGGAAAATCGATAGGCAGAAACTACTAATACGGCAGGCGGTGAAGAGGGGGTAGTCTAACTGCTTTCGTATAGCTCGGTTTGGGGGGGACATGTCACACACACACAAGCGTCATTTCACGTGGCACTAGTAGGGGTGGCACATTTTTATGGCATCTCTCATTACAGTTCGTTCTATCATACAAGAATAAGGAGGCGGGAGGGGGGAGGCGTGCAATCGCGCCGCAAGCAAAAAGAACGGTTCTGGTATTGCTGCCTGTCTAAAAACAACAGCGAACGCAGCATCATCAACTAGGAAACATCAAACTGTCTGTCTCCCTCAAAGAGATGCCGTCCACATCATTTGTCATGCAAGCATTCTAGAAGAAACATCACGTCACGAATTGTCATTATTTGAGTTCCCCCCTCTCTCCCTACAGCAAACCGCTCTCTCGATAAAAAGACGCTCTGCGCAAGCAGCTTTCCCCGGATTTATGTCCACCCCCACGCCTTCCCTCATCTATTGCGTAATCTGCATCTCGTCTGAGGACACGGCGCTCGCGGCCGTCGTGGCGAAGTAGCGGACGTCGATGTCGTCGTCCTTCTGCAGCTTCTCGAGGTTGGGGAGGATGCGCTCTTGGATGGTCTCGAGGCCCTTGGGGGACGGGGTGGGGGACAGGCCGGACTTCTCGATGGAGTAGATGGTGCCTTCGTTGGGGAGACGCTTGAGGACGTCGATCAGTTGGCCGTAGGACTTTGCGACGTTGAAACGGATGTTGGGAATCTCGTCTTCGACGAGCTTGTCCATCATGGGGAGGATGGATTCGGAGATGACGTCCAAGCTAACAACGGATGTCAGGGTCTGTTTGTAAAGGTTAGCTCGGTGCAGTGTTAGGTACATGATGTGAAACCTACAGAGATAGCAAAGCAAGTCGTCATGCGGTAAAGGTAGTTGGGGTGTGCGCCCATCGCCATAACCTTAGGAATGATAGCCTCATTTGCCCATTCGACGCCAAACACCTCGGTGAGCTTCTTGAGGTTGTGCGTGGCGGCTTCACGGATAGAGAAGACGGTGTCACCCAACCAGGCCATGCACAGCGAGGAGAGTTGCTCATCGAAGAATTTCACGCCCAGCTGGCTAGCAAGGAGTGGGATATACTCAATGATGGCTAATCTGACGCGCCATTGCTTATCCTCCGCGAGCTGGACAATAGCTGGGAGGAGGGATTGCGAGAGGAGGTCGATGCCAATAACCTGGTTGACGAGTTCGAGCTTGGAGATGATGTGGAGGCGGACGTCGGGGAATTCGTCCTTGAGCATTTGGAGGAACATGGGGAGAAGGTGGTCGATGGTCTCTTGCTTGCCAAGTATCGGAGCAAGGCCGCTGATCTGCGTGCCAAGGGCAGCACGGACGTGCTGAGAGCTGTCGGAGACCAAGTCCTCGATCGTAGCCATAATATCGTTAAGCAGGGTGGCCCTGTCTAACAGAAGACAAAATCCGGGGATTTGTCCTGCAATAGCAGTTCTAACCTCCGCCTCGCTGTCCTTCAGCAATTTAACAAATGCTGGAACAAGGTCCCTTGTAACAACCTCATCATCTACTGCTTTCGCGATCTGTGTGAGGTTAGTAAACCGCCAAGGTTACATTTGTTAACTACGCCATACCTTCTCGAATCTATCCGCAACCATATATCGCACCCTCCAGCTCTTATCTTCGATGAGGCTCCTCAAAGAAGTCAAGAGAACTCCGTGGCTCGACTGCTGCTCTTTTGGCACCACTTCCGCAATTGCGATTAAAATCTCTACCGTCAATAACCTAACACTGTCCTGGTCGTCATTCGCGAGGTGCTGGAAAAGGGGTATCATTTCTTCGACAACAATCGTTGCAGGCATCTCCTTGACAAACTTTGACAGGTTGTTTGATGACTGTCTTCTCACCATCGGCGTCTCGTCGTGGACAAGAAGTCCAAACTGCTGGCGCAGTTGCTCCTGCATCGGAGGCGATGCCTTCTTGTATGGAACATTATAGAGGCCGGTGGCGGAGATTTTTGATGTGAACCAGTCGGCCTTGGAAAGTCGGATCGTAAGTGGAATGAAGTACTCCTCGACCTGGTTTGGTGACAACTCCTCGCAAATCTTATTCAACGACTCCACTGCCTACGCGCATGTTTTAGCCACAGTTGTAATGTGTCGCAAAGGATTGCTTACCTTGTCACGGACAAGCGGTTCTTCGATCGCAGCAAGATTCTCGAGAGGTGAAAGTAGAACATGACCCCACTCTGGACCCCCAACGTACTCCACGAAGTTCCCAAGCTCTGCGCTCAACGCCGTAAGAACCTCGTCCTCATCTTCTACGGACTCTGCAACCTAGAATCAGCACGTGTTCTGGCATTATCATACCGTATACTGCACATACCATCTAAGAAGGGGATCAGCTCATCTCTTGTGCGTTCTGGGCCAAGCGCGAGAGCGATTGTCGATAGTCTATGGATTGCATTCAATCGAAGCAAAACGTCGTCGTGCTATATGCATATGTTAACCATTTGCCCAGCTTGTCGCTCTACTGGCTTCTAAAAGGATGTTGTATCAACATACCTTCAACTCGTCAATGAGCACAGCTATTGGGTAGAGCTCCTCCGTCTTATCTATGCCTTCGGCCATGCTGAGAAGCTATTGAGGATCTAATGTGCCAAGTTGAAGACACCGGTAGTTGAGCTCGAGGCAGCTATTAAATCCGCTTTGGCTTCGAGTACGGTGGTGAGAGGCTCGGTCCTGATCGCGTGTCGGAGGCGGCTGCTCTCTGAAAGTGGGGTGATAGCAGACAATGTTGTTCTCTTCGTGGTTATATGGTGTAAAGGAAGAGTCTACACGCGTCAGCTTATATGCAAGCTATTGTCATATGGTCATGAGGTTCGGTGTAGATAGAGGCGGGGTCTTGGAATGTAATGATGACGGTGGGTTGGGGTTGTAGCCGCCCCCATATCAGGCCAGTGAGCCCTACACACAAAGCTGGTGCAGGGCGGCCAGAGGGATCACACGAACCTGTACAGCTTCGCCCAATTGTTGAGATGTTATATTCGACTATGCACAGGGTTGTCGTTTCTCGTTGGTATGCTTGGGCTGTATATTGAAGTCAAATATCCAGTGTACCTTATTATGTCTTAGCATGCGAATTAAAGGTGGAAGTTGGTGTGCACGGACCGCTTAATTTTGACGACGTTCAGAGTTCGACATTGACTCAGCGCATGATAAAAAGAGCCAGAACGTGCCGGAGATAACCACAGGTGCGCCAACAATTCTGTGCGCTCCTGGATATAAATTCGATCTTGCCGCTTTACATTCGAACATATAGGCTGATCACTTTCTGCAAAAATGCCTACCATCAGCGTTGACAAAGCGGAGTTGTTCAAGGCTCTTGGCCGAGAGTGAGGGGGGGTCCTTGTGGGATAATCCAAGAAAAACTTTACTAACTACTCCCATAGATACACCACCGATGAATTCGAAGAGTTATGCTTCGAGTTCGGAATCGAACTTGACGAGGATACCTCGAATAGCCCACGGCCGATCGTTAACGGCAAGGAGGAGGCACCACAACTTAAAATCGAGATCCCCGCAAACCGCTATGATATGCTGTGTTTCGAGGGCATTGCCCTCATGCTTCAGATCTTCCTCGGGAAATTCCCATTGCCAAACTACAAGCTGGTGACACCGGCGAGCGGAGAGTTACAAACCCTCACAGTGTCGAAGGAGACTGCAGAAGTCCGCCCGTACGTCTCAGCAGCCATCTTGCGGAATGTCACCTTCACACAAGCAAGCTACGACTCTTTCATTGCACTCCAAGATAAGCTGCATGCCAACTTGGCCCGCAACAGGACGCTGGCATCCATCGGAACTCACGACCTCGATACTCTCCAGGGACCTTTCACATACGAGGCGCTGCCACCAAAGGATATCAGCTTCATCCCTCTGAACCAGACCAAGAAGTTGAACGGCGAGGAGATTATACAGTTCTATGAAACTGACAAGCACCTTGGCAAGTTCCTCCACATCATCCGCGACAAGCCAGAATACCCTGTTGTCTACGACTCGAAGAGGACTGTCTGCTCGTTACCCCCCATCATCAACGGAGAGCACTCTAAAATCACACTTAAATCGAGGAATGTCTTCATCGAGTGCACAGCGACAGACAAGACCAAGGTCGAGATTGTAAACAACATCGTGGTCTCGATGTTCTCACAGTACTGTGCGGAGCCTTTCACAATTGAGCCAGTCAAGGTTATTTCAGAGCACAATGGCGAGACCAGGATCACCCCGGATCTTACCTACCGCCGCTTTGAAGCAGAGGTCGACTATATCAACAACTGCTGTGGTCTCTCAGAAACCCCTGAACGCCTCTGTGAGCTCCTCACCAAGATGTGCTACAAGGCCACCCCTTCCTCGACCGACAAGAACATCCTCGACGTCTCCATCCCGCAAACCCGTGCTGACGTCCTGCACCAATGCGATATCATGGAAGATGTTGCCGTCGCCTACGGCTTCAACAGGCTCCCGAGGAGCAACCCCAACAAGTCCGCCACCATCGCCAAGCCCCTGCCCATCAACAAGCTCGGCGATATTGTCCGCCTTGAGTCCGCCATGGCCGGATGGACCGAAGTCATGCCGCTGATCCTGTGCGCTCGCGACGAGAACTTCAGCTGGCTCAACCGCAAGGACAACAACACGGCCATCACGCTCGCTAACCCCAAGACCGCAGAGTACCAAATTGTGCGCACCTCGCTCCTCCCCGGTCTCCTGAAGACCATCCGCGAGAACAAGAAGCACAGTCTCCCAATCAAGGTCTTCGAGGTCTCGGATGTGGCTTTCAAGGATGAGACGCTCGAGCGCAAGGCCCGCAACGAGCGTCACTTTGCTGCTGCGTGGTACGGAAAGACTAGCGGCTTCGAGATGGTACACGGTCTTCTCGACCGCGTCTTGTTGATGCTGAAGCAGGATTTTCTAATTGCAGCAGATGTGACGAGCAAGAGCTTGGACTACAAGGTTTCCGAGAACCCGACGAAGCAGAACGGATACTGGATCGAGGAGATCAACGAGGAGACTTTCTTCGCTGGCCACGCGGCTGCAATCTGGCTCCGGATAGATGGAAAGGAGGTGAGGGTTGGAGAGTTCGGAATCCTGCATCCTACCGTGCTTGAGAAGTTCGAGCTGAGGTAAGTTCTACAGGCGTCTTTCAGTCCCAATTTGCCACTAACTATTTTATAGATACCCGGTTAGCACGCTAGAGATCAACTTGGAGGTGTTCTTATGATCAAAACGAAAAATAATGTGCACACGGATATATATGGATCAGAGCTCTCAAGCTCCAAAAGCATCGCATGCATGTAGTATCACTCATAGCAAGCTAAGACCGGAAGTTTTGATAATGTGCATGATCAACGCTTTAACTAACTGATATGTTCGTCTTACAACGCGTTTTTAAAACCCAATCCGCTGCGTAACTCCATAGTCGCTGTCCAGGCTATCTACATCTAACCCAGTTTTCATATGTGCCCAATCATTAATACCGTTATTTCATTGCATCTCAACCTCCGATTCCTCCGGTTTCCGTGAAGCTGGGGTTCTCGTTCCTGATCCCCCCTGTGATTGCGCTATACCCCCAATGCTTAGGTTTGATATCGTGCTTCGAAGGCCAGAAAGTCCAACTGCGTTGCCGCTATTGAGTTGCCTCGGACTCGCATTAACGGCAGTGTCCGGTTTCAGATCGCCACTAACCACGTCTGAATTCGCCGTCTCAACCTCGGTCAAGACCCCCGTACTGGCGTCTCGGGATGCAGATTTCTGGTGAAACTGCCCTACAGGGGGAATGCTTGGCCCATTCATCTCTTCGTCTGTTTTGCCAAAAAGCTCGAACCACCATTTCACCTCCTCAAGACGAGGAAATAATAAACGCTCTTTACCCCTAACATTGTCGTTCAGCACGCCGCCGTCCCAATCAGGATTTAAAAATTTGGCACGGTCCGCTAGAATGTAGTCCCATACACTTCTGGTCAGTTTAGAGACCTGCGAGTCCAGGCGGGCCTTTTCATTGTTGTGCAGAAATGTACCGTACTGGCAAGAGTATGTATGGTAGAGGAGGCGCCTCAGGAAGTGTCGGTTGAACTCAAAACGCTTCGGGTGTTGCCTTAAAAGTTGGTACACTGCATCAAGAAACTGATGAAATACAGGACTCGTTTCGTTCTCTTTAGTTGCCTCCTCTTCCTCAGGGGTACCTTTCGCGGGCGCACGGAACAAACCAGACGTCTCTTCATATATTGGCTCACCATCCGAATCAACCTCATCGGTGGGGGTTCTCTTCGTGAAAAATCTCTTGGTTTTCGCCAGGGCATTCTCAATTGTCTCATTCCGTGGCGCATCATTCAATCCTGGTTGGACAGAAGAGCCTGCAAGACCGTCGTATTCGGTCGTAAACCACTTGTCAGAGCTGAGATATCCATTTCTATGTTGAAACATATGCCCAAACGCCAGCCAGTCCTTCTCTATCAATACTATAAAACCATCTAAAGTGCGATAGTATGGATCCAGCATTATTTGTGACAAGGCGCTAAGTTGGCTGGTTCTATCCCATCCATCGGAACAGTGGATCAAGACATGCGAGTGATGGATGCCAACCTGTCTAGCAATGAGTGAAGAGCCGTCCAATATGTTGGCAATGTGCTTGAGCCAGTTACTCTTGGCAAGGAGCTCGCGATTCGGCGGTAACGGTGTCAGGTCGCCATCTTTAAGAGCTTCCACAACCTTCCGTAACGAATTCCGCATAACGTGGATGTTGTCAATTCCAAGATACGCCTTCGTCGCAAACTTATAATTGTCCATATTTTCAGAGCCAAACCCTGCGGCATGCTGGGCTAAAGCATTCACTGTTGGGCGTGCGTCAACAATGAGGTTGCGGCGCTGCGCGCCGTAGATACGCGGCTGATCTCCGTCGTCGTCCGCGGTAGCAATCATTATGTCTTCCAACTTCTCTATATCTGTCTCAGCCATGTTGGCATCTTCATTACTTATTTCAACAATGTCGAGTTGGCTCGCAGTTGGGCTAGACCGTTTCTCCGGTGTCGAACCAGTTGAAAGGTTATCAGAGGCTGAAAAACAGGCGCCCACAAGCTTCTCATCTTGAACGCTTCTGGCTGAGCGAATACCAACGCCTGGTTGTGCGCTCCGTGTAATGGAGCAGTTATTGACTGGGTGTAGGTATGTTAAAGCTGGTATGCGTGATTTTGACCGGAATTTCGCAGCGTAGTTGAGAACATTGTCTGATATGCTGGTAGGCACCACAAGTAAAGCCGGGTATGTCGGTGAAAACACATAGTCTGAATTTATGGTCGAGATCCTCCAACCCTGATCAATGCCCTTCTCGCTGATCCCTTGTCTCTTCCACTCCGCCCTCGCATCATATATCTCCCACCCCTTGATCGGGTCTTCTTTCGGGTTGCCCTTGTAACGATAGGCATAGAGTTTGTTGATCCGTTTTAGTCGACAAGTAAGTCCTTTGATGCTTTCAAACACGTCCTTGGCCTGGACGGGATCATAAAAGTTGAAAGTAATAGAACTAAAGTCTCGGCCCCGTATGCGAATGTTGGAGGGAATGGCGGAACCGGGAGCGGTTGGACGGAAGGTGCAGCGTGAAATAATATGATATGTAATCCAAAACTCGCTCGTCTTTTGCGCCAAAGGGTCCCCTTCTTTCAGATTTATCCGTTTGCAAGAGTATATGAGGTGGTGGTTCGTCAAATGAAGTGTGCCTTTGAATTGCTGCCCGCCGTTGCTGAGCGCCTGAACCCCCTCAACCTGTAGTCCGAATTTAGTCTTACAGTCATATTACGGCTCCAACATAGTGCTAACCTTGGGAATTTTAATTTTCTCCATGATGGTAATGATTGCTATTGTTGATCAGAGGAGAGGGGCCGGATCTGAGAACTGTCGCGCAGGGCCCGAAGGATTGTCGTCACCTTGGAATCAAGAGGACATAATACTTGCTTGGCAAGCTTGTATTAACAGAGCGAAAGTAATGAAAAGTATTGATACAGAGTCCTCGACATTGAGGCCCAACGAAAGAATAGTGTGCAGGAGGGAGAACAGGAAGAGCCTGAGTTGGGTTGCTGTATTTTGATATGCCCCTCAGTCAGCGACCATTGCTCCTGCCCGCCATCGTCCTTGTATCCGGCGAGGTTACAAGGCTCGCCCGCGCTAGTGTATTTCATCTTAGCGTGTTTTTTGGCAACCATGAGGCTTATCGCTTATCGCCAACGGCGAATTCTCGGCAGAGAATAAGGGTTACAGGGGCTGCGTAGCCCTAAATGTCCCAACTGGTCAATCGGAAACTTTGAACGAGGTGCTCCTATCGCCGCGCCGACTCATTTCCACCCCACGACCATCGACGACCAGCAAGTTTTGAACCTCACGCACAGGTTCAATTCACCCTCACAAACCACAATCATGGCTTCCGGTGTTCCAGGTGCCGCTATGTATGCATTCCCCGTCACCCGGTTGGAGAACAAAATATTATAAAAAGTCGAAAGTGCGCAATGGAATCATGATCGCTAACAGATTTCTTCTACAGCTCCAAGAGGAGGAAGTTCATCGCCGATGGTGTCTTCTACGCTGAGCTGAACGAGTTCTTCCAACGCGAGCTTGCTGAGGAGGGATACTCCGGTGTCGAAGTCCGCGTCACCCCCACCGTCACCGACATCATCATCCGCGCAACTCACACCCAAGAAGTCCTCGGCGAGCAGGGACGTCGCATCCGCGAACTCACATCCCTGATCCAGAAGCGCTTCAAGTTCCCAGAGAACTCCGTCTCCCTCTACGCCGCCAAGGTCCAGAACCGTGGTCTCTCTGCCGTCGCCCAGTGCGAGTCCCTCCGCTACAAGCTCCTCAACGGTCTCGCCGTCCGTCGTGCCTGCTATGGTGTCCTCCGCTTCATCATGGAGTCTGGCGCCAAGGGTTGCGAGGTTGTCGTTTCCGGTAAGCTGCGCGCCGCTCGTGCCAAGTCCATGAAGTTCACCGACGGATTCATGATCCACTCCGGTCAGCCAGCCAAGGACTTCATCGACTCCGCTACCCGCCACGTTCTCCTCCGCCAGGGTGTCCTCGGTATCAAGGTCAAGATCATGCGTGGATCTGACCCTGAAGGAAAGGCTGGACCAACCAAGTCCCTCCCCGACTCCGTCACCATTATCGAGCCAAAGAACGAGGACCCAGTTGTCCAGCCAATGTCCCAGGATTACGGTGCAAAGGCCCAGGCTGCTCAGGCCGCCGCTGAGGCTCAGCGTGCTACCGAGCAGGGTGAGGGTGAGACTGCTGCCACTGAGGAGCAATAGGTCATTGGTTCTGCTATCGACGGGCGTGTGGGTCATTTGCATTCGAGCTTTACGGTATATCCTGCCGGAGGCTTGTACCGTTACAATAATTGAACGGGTTCACAAACAAAAGATTATGATGTGCCAATGAAAATGTGAAGTTCCCACAGACTAGAACCTTTCGTCTTGCCTCTTATATGCAGTGCTGTCACAGGGCTTAGATTTTTAGAAATTTGATCATCATTGTACGCTTATGCCAGATAACTGATGTATAATTACATTTAACCCAAAATTCGAGCTGTGTAGTAACAGTAGCACCCCCTAACGCCATAGCCTCATGCATCGTCTCGATATATATACGGAAATACTCACGTGGAGGCTTATCCTCCCTACTACCAATACATTCCCTATCCCCGGTAACCAAGGCCGCTCCAGATTCCACCACCCAAAGGCCATATACAATATGAATCCGGACACGTGTGTCATAAATTCCCTCCCTTACAGCCTCGGCGAGCGCATCGGTGATCGCATTGGCGACCGCGAACCGCCCCTCGACGAGCGTGAGCTATTTTGAGATACATCATTCGGCTTGATGAAATTGCCATTGGCCTTCGACCTGGATTTTCCATTAAGTCGCAGGGGGGCATCATTCTCGCTCTCCTCGGTCAAGTCGTTCAAGCCCACGTTCTCCTCGTCATCATACGAGCGAATGAGCCCGTCTCGGTCACTTCGACCGTAGCCGCCGCCGGTGCTGTGTCTGGCAGGGTCACCGACGCTCCTTCGCGCTTGCATGCTTCTCCTGGTCTGAATGCTGGAGATCATGTCTGTTGCGATGCCATCGGTTCCTTGTCCACCCAACATCCTGTGTCCATTGGGGTCATCTCTTGAGAGATTCAGCAAGTATACACCAGTGAAGATGGTAAGGAAGCCGCAGAGAAGAGAGATCGTGTTGACCGCATTAGTCGTGTTGAAGCCGCCAAATAGGATGAACGAGGCACAAAGTGTGGCCGTGGTGAATGTAACATAGTACACTGGGTTGACACTATAAACCGTGTGAGAATGTGGTCGGATAGGGGCATTGGGTTCTGGTCTTACATGGAAGTTGGGAATTGGCTTAGAGCCTTATTGAAGTAATTCATCTGTGTCAGAATGCATACTGCAGTGACAATCATGAAGACGTATGTCGATGGGTGCGAAAATTGATTTTTGCCCGCAAAAGTCAACTTCAATGCAATGCCGAATGCCTTCACCGACATCACCGAAATGGATCCGACGGTAGAGCAAATGGAGATAAACACGAGCGGGTTCTTTCGCCCATATCTTGGCGCAACCTTGTAGATCATGACAGCGGTGAAGACGCCGACAATCAGGCAGTAAAGCAAGAATCCTGTGCAAGAGTTAAGAATGAAGCGACGAGGGACTGCAAAGAGACCCACCTGGCTGAATCGCATAGTGCAGAATCTCGTCGACGGTCTCAATATCAGCATCCGGAGGCGCGTGAAGCACAATGATAACTGATCCAATGAGACAAATCGCACAACCCAATTTCCCCAATGTTCCAAGCTCTTCCTTAAGAAAGTATGACCCGAGAACGGCGCCAATTAACACGCTCAATGCGCCTAATGGAGTGACTAGAATGGCTGGCGCGAATGCGTATGCTGCAAAATTGGCGATCTCCCCAAGAATCACTGGACACGACGTCAGAAATGGAAAAACTCAACGGAGCAGAGCCCATACTTGTAATTATACCAGCCCACCATATTGGACTCTTGAGGTATGTGAACCCTTCTCCTTCAAACCCCAGATGCTCTTCTGCGTGCATCAAACCCTAGATAGTCAGTATTTGGAGCATAATATGGATTTGCCTCGGTAACAAGGTCGCCGGGAGCGTGGCGTACCATCTTCGTAATAACAAAACTCGTGCCTAAGAAATCCCGATTAGCTACGTTGCCATCATGATGTATACGCATCGCTCACCTATCATCAATGTGGACGCGACGGCCAAAGCCAATCCGATATATCTACACCATGACAATCAGCCTCGAATTCCCCCACAACGCGCCAGCGCAAGACACCGGTGCCCAGAATCCAATTGACGTACTTGTCCTCTATCATTTTGGAGGCAGGTCGCTACGGCGACACGTGGGAAGTATGTGTAACGTCTTTGAGCTTGCGCTCGAGTCCTAGGAAGATGCTTCAACGGTTGCCGGGGGACGGAGCAATAGAGCCCAGTGTTCGAGCAGGACCGTCTGCAGACAGCTTGACGTTAAGGTAAGCCTCGCGAGAGCGTATCGAAGATGGTATTCGGTATGCGACTCTCCATGCGGAGGGTTTGTTGTCCCTGTGCGATTCAGTCGAGGCCTTCTCGCGGAGCAGGGGCCTCGGGAGCTTGCGCGTCAGGGATGGTATTAACAGATTTCGGGTCCGCGATGGCTGGAATTATCGCTGGGCGTCAAAGCTAGTCCCGTGCCGGTATTGCTCGTGGCAAAGTAGTTGATAGTCTAGTTGATAGTCGAAGTTATGTATGAGGGGTCAGTCCAGACAAGAATTCTGGCTTCTTGCCGTTCTCACAGGCACACCAGGAACATCCCGCTTAAGCGAGTTGAAACATGGCCCCTGCACAATCCCCTCTCATTTATACTCGTACGATTAGCGTCAGTTTGATTTACAGTACAGTACGTACGAAGATCTATATAAATAAGTTCGTGGATCAGTATATAACGTATGCTACTACAACGGTTATTTACAGTAGATATCACTGCTATATAGCATTCAGTCTCCGGCAGCAATTGAACATTTGGGCTCCATGGCCTGGCCTTCAGTGCATGGAGATTAACATTCCGTAATTGTGGTATGAATCGCAATTCACTTGAAGCTAAACTTTGTACTCCAAACACAGCCTCCATCGTGCCCACATTTCAATACTGATAGGGCAAATTCCTCCCCAGCGCTCGAGGACGCATGCGATCCACTCCACCACGGCCCGCCAATACGATACATATGGAAGTGGATCTCCCTCTCTCTCTCCTGATGGATCTTATTTCCGAGAGGAAGTTCGTGCACTCCATCCGCCCATCCGAGAACTGTTTTTGAAGCCGTGCAATGCAAATGAAGAAGCAAGAAAACGCGGAATGGGCCAAAAAATGCTCTCGCACTTGCTTAGAGCTTTCCGCAGTGGCGAAAAGTGGAGGCCTCATAGATATTACAAGATTTTGATACAAACGAAGAGGGGGTATTGGATGATTAATGGAAAGCAGGGGATAAAGGGGTGCAGTGTCAGTGTGATGAGTAACATACCTATGCGAATTAACTCGCATTTTCCATCCATAACCCGGCCTGATATGTCGATGTTCTGTGCTAGTGCAGCAGATCAAAAATGGTGAAGTTGGTTACTGGCATGCACTTCGAGAGTTCTCGAGTTCCTCTTCGGGGAGATGTAGTAACCAGTTCCCAAGGCAAACAAGTGAGGATGAGGACGTTGATAGTCATGCATAAGCACATCATTGACGTATAAACAAGCTTCTCCGATCATGATCGGGGACGCTTTGCTTCTGTTCTGTGGTTAGCAGGTTGTTCTATTCGGAGTGGACTGTAAATCCTACCTTGACCGTCAATGCCATTCGCCTCCCCATCCTCCTCATGTGACCTCTTCCCTGGCACCAGTGATTTCGCAGGTGTCGTGGGTCCTGATCCTGCAAACTGGCTGACCTCGTTGTCATCTTCATAATCGATCTCATCCGTCTCCTCTTTGTGGTTCTCCTTGCAGTCTGTTACCGCAGGTTTATCATCTGTCTCGTCGTTCTCAACGAGAGCAGACAACGACCCATCAACATCATCGTCTTCGTAACTTATTTCACCTCCGTCATTTTCCGCGTTTTTATTATTCTGGGTGTCAGAAGCTGTCGCCTCGGTATCAATGTTAATATGGCCAAATTCTTCGCCATGTTCTGTCTCGCCATTCGTCTCTTGGACGTGGCCATCTTCGTTTTCAACGTAGTAAGATGCATCCACCTCGTCTTCATATGGGACTTCTCCCTCGTATTCTCCATTGTCTTGGTGCTCATGTTCATCAGCGCCAGCTTCAAAGCTTTCATCCACTCCACCTTGATGCTCGTGCTCATCGGTGCCAACTTCAAATCCCTCGCCTACTTCGGCTTGATGCTCATGTTCATCGGCACCAGCTTCAAAATTTTCATTTACTTCAGCTTGATGTTCATGTTCATTGCCAGCGGCTTCAAAATCTTCGCCCACTTCGGCTTCTTGGCGAATATTCCCATTAGTAGAGGCAACATCATTTGCGGAATCTGCAGCCCCATTCACATCTCCAGGGGCATCTATACTCGGCTGTGCAGTAGCATCAGTCTCATTTGTTCCGTCAATTGTTTGCGAGCTCGAACGCCGGCTCTTATCGGGGATTTCGTCGGTAGCTTGATGTTCCGCTACAGGGGCTAGTCACAGTTAGAAGGTGAACATTAGAAATTCTGGAAGTAAAGGTAGAAATAAATTCGGGCATACCAGGTTGTTCATAGTCGGTCTGCTCCTGCTTTGGGGCAGTTTCGACTCCATTCCCGCCCAGCGCGTAATCTTCGTCATCGTAGTCAATCAGGTCACCACCTTCTTCCTCTTCTTCATGGTTGCCATTTGGTTCGGGTTTAGTCAATTCCGCATCATGCTTCTCGTTCGTTTGCTCACTTGGCTCATTTTCTTCTGCCACAACAGGAACTTGGGTCGTATCAGGTTCAACTGCTTCTGAGGTCATAGGCTTTTCTTCTGTCGGTGCCTCCGCAGCAGGGGATCCTGGAGAGATATCTTGGACAGAACCAACTTCGGTCCAATCTTCTCCCAATTCAACATTTTCCACTTGTTCGTCAGCGTCAATGCCATTAATATCATAAGCCTCTGACTCTCCCCAAAGTTCCAGGCCATTATCCTCGTTCCAAGACTTAGCCACCTCCTGCAGTCCTTTACCTTGCCGCGCATCCTCAGCTAGGTTTGCAAAAAATCGACCAAACTCGGATCTGGTTGCTAGAGTCACGAAGAGCGATGGCAAAATGTCTGCGCCATCGTTGCGAACAAGGGTGGTGTGAAGATCCGCGATTTGAGAAAAGGATATTTCGGTATTAGCAGTAGAAGTCTAGGAATGGTTAGTGTAAGTCCGCAAAATATTCGGACGGATTACTTACTTCACAGGTTTCCAATCCCAAATCATCGATTGTGAACACTAGTTCATCACCAGCAGGGATTTCGTCATGGAGGATGTCTCGCAGGACAGCAAAAAGGGCAGACAGTGGCTCCTTCAGCACAGATGAATCTTTTAAGAAGTAGGAATCTGGATCATCGGACTCAGACGATGCCACCAGCGCGTATTCAGATCCTTGATAGCCCACAGTGATATTACGCTCCTCAGATATCAAATCTTGTTCAACATTCACCTTCTGTTCATTATTAACATTGGATGCTTCGCCATGTTCTTGTTCTTGTTCTTGTTCTTGTTCTTGTTCTTGTTCTTGTTCTTGTTCTTGTTCTTGTTCTTGTTCTTGTTCTTGTTCTTGTTCTTGTTCTTGTTCTTGTTCTTGTTCTTGTTCTTGTTGCTGTTGCTGTTCTTGCTCTTTTTCTTTCGGGGCTTGGGGTGGGCTTGGTGGGTTTATATTCTCCACTTCTTGTGGTTTCTCATTTGATAGGGGTGGTGATTCCTTATGAATGGTAGGAGACGGTGTCGGCTGTGCTGCAACTTCTTCAATTATTTTAGAAACTTCTTCGGGTTGGAGTTCTTCAGCTTGGACAGCCTGCGCGACACTTGTCGTATCATCCGCAGGCTTACCGTTTGTATAACGGTCCTCACTCTGGAGAGGGCTCGGGACAGTGTTAGAAGGAAAGGTATGTTCTTCAGTGTCGTGGGGCCTCAGCATTTCCAGTTCGGAAACGTCAATAGTCTCGGTGTCAATGACATCCTGGAGCTCTTCTTCGGGCACATAATCAGCATCTTCCATGTTATACGATGCATTATCTTCATCGAGCATCACATCATCGTTGGTGCCTGCTTCTGATCTGGCGTCTTCAATGATGAAGTCCTCGTCGTGATTTCCGGGCTCGATGTCTATGTTAATGTCGATATCATCATCGCCATCGTGTCCGTCGTAGGAGATCTCCATTTCGTCGACGACCATTTCGAACGCACCGGGCCTGGGGCAGCCGGGTTTATCTGTATCAGAATGTATCGTAATACGGCAGCCCGCAAAGTTGTGTATACCCTTGTTTTAGATGCTTATGCTATCTTGAGAGGCGTAAATAGGCTTTCGGTTTGGATGCGGCTCATTGATGATGATCAAACTCCGCCTTGGGTGGTATGATATTGGTAGGCCGGTCTCGTAGGCACACTGTGAATAGGATCTCTGGGGTACTATTCACCAGAATTTCACCAGAAAAGCTGCTGGGTTCACCTTGCAGGTTGATCGTGGCGAGAGGTGAAGGATGAGGTTCGACATATAATAATTCTAGAACAAAGAACCTTCGGAAGGCGACAGTAGTTGGCGGTATTCGTGTAATAGAAGAGGATTCTCGTTCATCAATCTGGAATATTGTGTATTCCCAGATGGAGAATAAGAAAAGTGGTCTCCTTGAGTGAATTTGTGGCGTTCTGGAGCTCTCAGAGCGTGGTTAATTGAAAGCTTGGTGGACGTATGGCCACCTCAGAATCACGTGTTGCGGGTCGGATTAACCCGACCGTGTCCACAAATGCGAGGTGCCTCCTGTGAATTAGGACATGACAAACACCAGGACAACTGCCTTTTCATAAGCCTTGTTTACAGACTAATCAAGATGGTCAGTGTATTTGCCTAATGTTTTCTTTGGATCAAACCCTCTAACTATAGACGGCAGGTCGTTCTCGCAGCGTCAATCTGCACCCGCGGGGGGAAGGCGATTGTCTCACGCCAGTTCCGTGAGATGCAGCGCTCAAGAGTGGAAGCCCTGCTTGCGGGATTCCCAAAGCTGGCGGATAGAGGAACTCAGCATACGACAGTAGAGCAGGACAATGTGCGCTTCGTTTACCAGCCTCTCGACGAGCTCTACATGGTGCTCATCACCAACCGCCAATCCAACATCCTCCAGGACATCGACTCTCTCCATCTCTTCGCGCAAGTTGTTACCAGCACATGCAGGAGCTTGGATGAGCGTGAGATCTTGAGGAACGCTTACGAGCTGCTGAGCGCATTTGATGAGATCGTCACACTGGGATACCGCGAGAACCTCTCGATCAGCCAGATCAAGACATTCTTGGAGATGGAGAGTCACGAGGAGCGCATCCAGGAGATCATCTCCCGCAACAAGGAACTCGAGGCCACGGAGGAGCGCAAGAGGAAGGCGAAGCAATTGGAGATGCAACGAAAGGAGGTCTCGAGATCTGGCCGAAACGCCCCACCACGGGCTCCCAACTACCCTACATACACTCCAACTGCGCGAACGCCTACGACAGAAACCTACGACTCCTATGAGGCAGAGAAGAATAAATCATACAAGGCTACCGCATCAAAGGGCAAGGGCATGCAACTGGGGAAGAAGTCGAAGACCACAGATATGTTTGAGCGCGTCCGTGGTGAGATGGGAGTCGAGGCTGAGGACACCTCGCCCCTGGTTCCTGTCCAGATCCCAACTGCGCCAGCTGGACACGCACGCTCCAGCAGCTTGCAGTCCAGCCTCGACAGGGATGTCATCCACGTCACAATCAGCGAGACCATCAACGCCAAGTTGACAAGAGAGGGCTCCGTAAACTCGATAGAAGTCAAGGGCGATCTCCAACTAAGAATATCCGACGAGTCTTTCCGCAAGGTGAAGCTTAACCTGACGGCAAATGAAGGCCACGGCGCTCAATTCAAGACCCATCCAAATGTGGATCGAGACCTTTTCACCAGCTCAAAGGCTATCCAGATGAAAAACCAGGGGAAATTCCCTCTTAATAACTCTGTCGGCGTGCTGAGGTGGAGAGCTACACCAAAGGCTGATGATAGCAGCGCCATCCCCATTACCTTTACCGTGTGGGTTAACAAGGGCTCGGACAGCAATTATACCGTTACCGTGGAGTACGAACTCACTGGAGGTGATGCATTAAAGGACGTCAGTGTCATCATTCCCTTTGCCACCAGCGAGCCCGTGGTTGCCAGCTTTGACGCCACATACGAAGTATCCGGTGATAGCTTAGAATGGACTATTGGAATGGTGGATGATGACAATGCAACCGGCTCCTTCGAATTCGAGGCTCAAGCTCACGACGAGAATGAATTTTTCCCAATGCACATCAAGTTCTCCAAGACGACACCATATATCGATGTTGACGTAAGTTTTCTTCCCCATGTCTTCATATCTTTATTTACTTACCATTCCCATAGGTCACTGCTGTGTCGCTAGTCGAGATGGATGAGGAGGTCACTTTCTCGAAAGAGATCAAGTCGATTACAGAGTCATACGCTATTGAATGATTCGACCATGTATTGAGCGTTACGAACGTTTCTTAATCAGGGAGCATGGCGTCGAAGGCTGCAGGCTCTTTGAAGCTAGAAATCAATGTCGATATCACGTAGAAAGTAGATGAAGCCGTTATCGGATTTATGAATGATGTGTTGAGTTCACGACGCGTCGGTGCAACTGTTTGGCTGTGAAATTTTATGACTAAAATTGACCTTCTATAAACTGGGTCTCTAAATGAAACTCATAGTAGTACAAGCAATTAATATTTGAAGTTTCGTCGTTGCTGCCCTCTCCTTCCCCTTCAGCGTCCCCAATCGAAGAACTCGCTTAGCAAACTGAATAAACAGACTTGACGCGCCTGCCCGGCTTAGAAGGTTATCCCAACACCCACCCAAGTGAAAGAATGTGTTGTAAAAAATCACCTCGATAAATCCGCTGGCATGATACCCATATCCCATCTTAGGCCTAAAACTACAATACCCCAATAATGGCGAACCCAGTGCAGCTGCGGGTCATCGCCGAAAAGACCCTGTACTCCCCCGCCAACCCCGACCTGCTGGCCTACAGCCCGTCCATGGAATTATTGGCCGTCGGCGGCGCAGACCACAATGTCCTCATATACCGTCTTAATGGGCAGCGGGTGTTTAGCTTGAGTCAGAAGGTGAAGGACGTTGTGTTGGAGCTGCAGAAATTGGTGTGGAAGCCCAATGGTATGGTACTGTGCAAGCTGCCTTTTAGAGTATCACTGACATTGGATCACAGGCCAACTAATCGCCATTGCCTGGAGCGGTGGGACCGTTCGGTTGATAGGCGCCGAGAGTAATAAGACGGTGCATCAGATCACTGTATCAGAGGAAGGAGACACGGAAGTCACGTGTTTAGCCTGGACATCGTACTCGGCGGCGTCAACGTCCCTAGGAGATATCCTCGCCGAGGCCGGGCCATTGTGGAAAGATGCTACTAGGAACGGGTTGAAAGGGAAGAGTGCCCAGCTGCTCGACCTCCCTCGAGATCTAGCCGCCATAGACATCGAATCGAGCCTACCCAAGCTCAGCGTCCTACCCAGCGGGGGAACTACGTACGCCCCGCCCTTCCAACCGCCAAACCAAGGAGTGACACCCTACTAATACTACGCAGCGAAGACATCTTCAGTTCCCGCGCCTCCCTCGACGCCCTCTTCCGCCCCTTCGACCCCAAAGACAACGACTCCATCTCCATAATGGTCGTCGGCACTTCTTCCGGCCACATCCACCTCACCATCTTCGACTCCTTCGTCATCGGCACCTTCCCCTCGCCCCTCAAGTCCTCCAAGACCTCTCGGCACCAACTGATCCGGCACGCCTCGCACCCTCATCACGCTGTCCATGGATTTCTCATGAAATCCACATCCACCTTAGTTGGCGGCCTCTACTTCGTCCCGATGCATCTGGGGTTCTTGACGAGCGAGAGGAGCGATTTATCGCTGCTGGCGTCGCGGTCGAGCGCGTTGCAGAATTTGTTGAGGTATATACATCAGGTTCAGACGCTGATGGCGGCCGAGTACCAGGCTACGCAGGATTTACCCTCGAGGTTTTTGGGGAATATAGATGAGACCCTCGCTGAACATGGGGATTGGACTATAGCACCCGCTCTGTACCATCAGGTCGTCACCGGGCACACACTCCCAGAAGTCAAGGAATGGCTCGTCGACGAACTCGCCGAACGCGTACGTCCCTTTTCCCTCCCCCCCCGGCCCATTTTCCCCTCCTATCCAGTCCCACTGAAGCACACTCTGACCCCCGAACAGGGCCACAAACGCTGGGACAAAGCCCTCACAACTGCCCACACCACCCTCCTCAAACTAACCCACACCCACCTCCTCCCCGCCCTCGAGCGCGCCTCCCTCCTCCTCTCGCGCCTCCACGGCCTCGCATCATACCACCACCCCTCCACCCCTCTCGGCTTTTCCCCAAAGCAGATCAAGAACTTACTTGATACGGTGGCGGCGCTGAATTTGGTGGCGACGAGAGTGCTTGCCACGACGGTGGGGGAGGTGGAGGGGTGGGCCGCGTTTGGGGGGTGGGTAAGGGGGGAGATTGATCGGTTGGCTGCGGGGGAGTCGGCGGCGGGGGCTGGTGATGATAAGGAGGCTGCGACGGTACCGACTGCTAAGATCCTCGAATACATACAAGGATCATTGACGGCCTCGCCGCTGGCACCATTTTTCACCCCACTCGATGCCGGGGCTGGTGAATCGCATACCGCGGCGCTAGAATCTACTACCCCACTCTTCCCGATAATGGCAACAGCGCTCAACTCCCCAGACCCGACGAACGAGTTTCACACCGCGCTCCCAAATATCGCAGCACTAACCGCACACCTCGCGACACAGGCCCAGGCCGTCTCTTGCGGGATCGCGGATGCTGAGAAGCGGAATGTGAGGTTCGGGGATGCGGTGGAGGTTGATGTGCCGAAGGAGGTGTTCGGGGATGAGGGGAGGGTGGATATGCGGATGTGTTCTGGAGAGGGAGGGGAGGGGGTGGTGTATATCGCCACCTCCGCCTCCAAATCCCCCACCGTGTCGATACAGCGAATCTCACTACCCCTTGGCGAGGAGGGGAGCTCAGCCACCACCAGCGTAAAGGTTGATGTCGGTGGTGCGGTGAAAGATATCGCGTTCTTGGATGAGGAGGTGCTATTAGCTCTCATCGACGCCACAGAACCCAAAGATGGAGTCTACATCCTAGCCCTCCCCTTCCTACCGCTCCCATACGCCACTAAACCCTCTGCAGTTCAGGGGAGGGGGAGGAGGTTTAGAGTCAAGGAGGGCGCGGAGAGGGTTAGAGTGGGGGGAGGGAGGGTGGTTGTTGTCGGGAAAGGGGGGGTGAAGGTTTTGAAGGTTAAAGGGGAGGTGTGGGGGGAGGGAGAGGGGGGGTGGAGGAGGTAGATGAGGGGGGAAAGGGGGATGAGATGGAAGTTGAAGGATGAGGAGTGGTGGTGATAGACGTGGTGGGGAGGGTAGTGTCATGCGGCAAGCTCGAAAAAACAAGGAGTCATGAACTAGCTAGCGTATAGAAATATAATTATTACGTATATCTGTATTTCTCTTTGTGTTTCATCTAGCTTGGTGTCGATGATTGGACGTTGGGCTAGTGTTGCCCGAATACTACTCAGAGTACTACTCAGAGTACTACTCAGAGATCTTCGAGTAGAGTACTGTTTTTTGGGCTCGAGTAGAGTAGTATCAAGTATAAAAATGAAAACATGATTGATAGCTATATAGACTATGGAATTACAGTACTATGCATCCTCATCTTCCTCTGAATCCTCACCTGCTGATACCACGCCCCAATTCCTAAGACATATAAGATATCGTAGTGTAGATGGTGCTACAGTTGAACCTGGATATAAGGATCCCTCGATATAAGGATATCCTCGGTATAAGGATGGGTAGTCTGGTCCTGTAGTTTTTTAGCTGTAAAATAAGGATTATTTCTGTATAAGGATGATCCTTAAATCCGTGGTCCCAAAATTATTTTTATACCAAACAATCCTTATAACTCGTGTTCACCAACTCCACCATGGAGTTTGGGACTGTCTGCCACAATATACTATTCATAGGAATGAACCGAAATGGTTGAATGGCTGGTTAGATGGATTCAAGAAGAGATTTAAGATTAAGGAATATGTTCGACATGGAGAAGCAGCTGCAGCGGACATCCACAATCCTACAAATATTGCGCAAATGGAAGATCTCTGACAACTATGCGCAACATATGCAGATAAAGATATTTTCAACATGGATGAAACTGGGCTCTTTTGGAAGATGACGCCAACTCGAACGCTAGCCACTGAAGCTTCGAGTGGGGGAAAGAAATCCAAAGATCAGATTACTCTCGCATTTACGACAAATTCGACTGGAACTGAGAAGCTAGATATATGGGTTGTGGGAAAGTCGAAGAATCCTCAATGTTTTAAAAATATTAATGTTAAGCGCATGCGGATTCAATATCGATACAACGAGACAAAATGGATGACAGGGCTAATTATGAAAGAATACCTAGACTGGTTAAATGAGAAAATGAAGCATTGCAAGATACTGTTATTACTTGATAACTTCTCTGGACATGAAGTCGGAGTTGAACTTGTTGGTGGATTACAAGGTTTGTCGAATGTTCGAATTGCTTGGCTTCCACCAAATACGACATCTCATTGGCAACCTCTCGATCAGGGAATAATTGCAAGCTTCAAACTTGGGTATCGAAAACAATGGATTAATTACATGTTGCGCCAGCTCAAGGCCAATAAGAACCCTACTAAAACAGTTAATATTCTAAAGGCGATACAGGACTTACGTGGGAAGCACTTGAAGCACCAAAAATCCAGAAGTGTTGGTGGCGATCGACTCTCATAAAAAAACCAGAAAATATGGATAGGCGTCAAGATAATACTGCTGAGGTCGAGGAACTGGGAATGGAAATTGCGAGATGTCATGCCAATTGCAGATTTTCTCAACCCTATAGGTGAAGGGATAGTTGACAGAGATGAAGATATTTTCAAAGCTGTTGTAATGGTGGGTGCACCAGATGTGAGAATCTAGCCACCCAAGGAAGGGATGATTTTACTAAGACAACACACTGTCTTAGGAAACAGAGCCAAAGGGTTGTAGCTTAGACTATTCCACAACGCAGCAATCAGGTGTGTGATGTAGTGAAGTGGTTCAGACAAGTTGCAACAAATGTTGAGTCTGGGAACTCAGGGGTAAGTCAGAGGTTAACACCTCACTGACTTGTCATACTGACATTCGTTGCACTCAGTTTGCTATCAAACTCAAGAGCAAACTTAGAAATCTCCTCCTCAAACCTACAAGTCACCATACATATCTTGGCTTATCACACCAACAACAGAAGCAATACTACTCAACGATTGCTGCAAACTCTTCTACTACATCTGTTTATGCTACATACATCACGGCATATCATTTGAACACTCATTGAACAAGTTATTAAGAAAATCTCCTCCTTAAGGGGGTGGGCCAATACTACCACATGGCATATATCTACCAACTAGAGGCCTAGGAACATGAACGATAGCTCTAGAAGCTTCTACAACCCTCTATGATTCATTACACGTCATCGCTCCTTAGTTACCCACAAGATTGGTTAAGTTATGACATAATTTATCTATAGGTACTCTGACCTTGGACCTCCTTTTCACTTCCTATAGGCTAGGAACCCAAGAGATGGTTCTATGGGATTCTCTTACGTTCACTACATGATTAGCAAGCTAGTTGTGGGTCGCACTTGATTTCTAATACATTTACCAAGCCTGGTTAGTCATGGAAAGTCATGGAAAATGAGAGAACTACACTCCTTTGGCATAAATAGGATTGCCCTTTCCTTAAGAAAGGGCAAGCAGGCAATACAGTAAATTGACTATCACATACTTCCCCGTCTTTTACAAGCTTCCAAGCATTCATCTTGTTACTCCTTGTTTCTGAAAAGTCAGTGAGGTGTTAACCTCCGACTTACCCCTGAGTTCTCAGACTCAACATTTGTTGCAACTTGTCTGAACAACTTCACTACATCACACACCTGATTGCTGCGTTGTGGAATAGTCTAAGCTACAACCCTTTGGCTCTGTTTCCTAAGACAGTGTGTTGTCTTAGTAAAATCATCCCTTCCTTGGGTGGCTAGATTCTCACATCTGGTGCACCCGCCATTACACGGGCCCTACTTCGGCTTGCCCGCTTTTTGGACTCCTCAACCTGCCGCCGTACAGTACGCAGGTCAAGCTCCTGGAGTTGGCCGGCTACTACTACCTCTTCAGTGCCGGTAAGCCAATTCCTGTAGCTCTGCTTCGAGGGGCTACTAAAGCCTTCTGGAACCCGCTGTTTCCAGTGCTGTAGCCCCTCTTCTACCCCCTAAAAGTCGTGGGTTCGGATTGGTAGAGTAGGTATAGGCATAGGTGTAGGCTCTATAGTAGGCTGTGAGTACGTACGTAGTTTTGCAAGAGCTACAGAACAGCTAACCGGCCAAATACCAGCTTTCTGAAAAGCGGATATTATAGTAGACTCCTTAAAGGTCTGCTTCCGCATGCGAGTGAGATCCTGCATAAAGGACTGGAGGTCATAGGTAATATCCATATGCCTTATAGCTGCAAGCACAGCTTTTCAGTGCCAGTGCTTATAAGGCTGGAATATCCCAACGTCTAATGGCTGTAAAACGTGTGTAAGATGTGATGGGAAGGTATATATGATAATGTTGTGTTCTTCAGCTGCAATGATAAAATCATCGCTTGTATGGCTAACATGAGAGTCAAGCAGTAGAACCTTTGGCTCTCCATTATCATATTGAGCTGTATGCTGCGCAAAGTGCTGTAGCCACCGGAGAGCCACCTGTGGGCTCCGGAGTTTGCAGACTGCGGCAAATATCGTATCCTAGTAGCTCCAAGCCCTAGGTAATACTGCTCAAGTATCCATTTCTTAAGAGCCTCAATTTGCGCAGTAGATAGCATGGCGCAACTTGCTTCCTCTCAAAGTTTGGTCACGACGATAGTTCTTACAGTTTAGGAGGCCTGAATCGATCTTAAATTGTTGATACAGAGCTTGTAGAGGAGCTTGTAGATCGCCTGCAAGCTGTACGGATACATGCGCGACGAACGTGTAGTATGTGTAAATGACTTAAGCATACTGCTCGTACTTGCCCTTAGAGGTTTCAATTGTAATTAGTCTAATTTAACGGGGTTTAGTTTAGTAAGTTGTAGATTTAATTGAGGTCTGGTATTTACAGTAGGGCAGAATTACCGGCTGACTTGTATTACCGACTCGCTTGTGGAATACGTTATAACCCTGGTCATCGACGACTCACTTGATAATGATGAAGAAGAGGTAATATTTTCCAAGTTTATATACTCCGTAATACGGAGTACATTGAGAATTCATACCAAGGGGAAGCTGAGTGGGACGAGGTTGTGGGTGGTAGGTGGGTGGTAGGTGGGTGGTAGGTGGGTGGTAGGTGGGTGGGATCCTAGCGTTTCCCCTGACCTGTACTCCGTATTCTCGTGGGTGATAGGTGCTGTTTTAAGCGAGCCTTGGCAACTCATCTTGAGTCTACGGAGTATCCTAGCGTTCCCCCTGATGCGACGCGCACTGGGGGGGGGTGCAGATCTCGCCTCGGGTCGACTTTTCGTGAGGCGTACATGAAGTGGATGGGTGGGTGGTGGTGGGTAAGGCGTGCAAGGGGGGTTATATCCGAAACCTGCTCTGGTTATCCCCATCGCCACGATGCAAACGACAGGACCAGACCCGAACCAAGCAAGCTGAAGCATGAAACACGCCATCTCTCTGTCATATCCGAGGGGGGGTTTTTCTTCAGGACGCAGCACGCAGCACCCCACATGCCGTGTTGTTGCACATGCCGTAGGGGGCAGGCGGGGGGGAGGAAAAGGGGCAGCGACGTTGGGATTGGTGGGTGGTGGTGTAAGGCAGCTAGTTGGTGGGTTCAAACATCACCACATCACCCATAACCGGTGGGTTCAAGCATCATATACACAGCCATAACAACCATACAAACATCACCCATAACCACCATACAAACATCACCCATAACCACCATAACCACCATACAGACATCACCCATACACAGCCATACTAACATCCAACATCACCCATACACAGCCATAACCACCCATACTAACATCACCATACACAGCCATCAAACCATACAAACATCACCATACACAGCCATAAAACCATACAAACATCACCATACACAGCCATAACAACCATACTAACATCACCCATACAAACATCCACATCCATACAAACATCACCCATACAAACATCCACATCCAATACAATGCACTACCCCCAATATATCCAATATATCCAATATATCCAATATATCCAATATATCCAATATATCCAATATATCCAATATATCCAATATATCCAATATATCCAATATATCCAATATATCCAATATATCCCCTTAGCACTCCACCGTCAACCTCGACGCGAAATTACATCCTGCCTGTCCACCACCACCCCTACCACCCCTACACCCCTGCCTGTCCACCCCCCTACCCTCTGCCTGTCCACCACCTCGCCTGTCCACTTTGCTGCCTTATGCCTTATCCCCATCTTCCCATTTGCATCTGTGCGCCCGCGTTTGTGTGTGTGCCTGCGTCTTTGTGCCTGCGTTTTTTATCTACTCTCTCCCACTCAGTTGTAGACTGTGTCGGTTGTAGACTGTTGACCGGAATTGGACAATATACAGAGACACTGTTTTTCCCGAGCCTCTCAATCCACTCCACTCCACGTCACTGCACAGCGCTGTACCCGGCACGGCAGACTCAGACTCGACTCAGACCCTCCATCGCCAAACCGAGCCCACCCACGGCCCCCGTTTGTCCTCGACCGGAGGAGAGACTGACGCGAAATCCGCCATACACCTACACCCTCTCCCTCGAACCAACTCCATCTCCAGCCGTGCAAACGGAGACGAACGAGTGACTGACTTGATATACGACGACGTGCTCTCGACGTTCGCCTGCTTAGAGTCTACGCGACCCGACGAGACGACATACACTCACTTGCCACTATCTACATGACGACGCGGATACATTGCTGCTCTACCCTCACTGCTACGCCTGCGAGGGCCCGAGACGGCTGGATTGCCAGTAGGGATATCTACTTTCGTTGAGAGCTACGATAAGCTCACTTGAGGAATTATAATCTAAAGGGTCAGTGCAAGCCACCCACCTCCCACCACCTCCCACCTCCCACCTCCAGAGCTAACCCCTCTCCCCAGTCGCAGGCCCCAACCTGCAAACCACCCACTCACCATGAACCGCTTCCGCACCAAGAAGAAGGTCAAGGCCGCCGACGAGGCGCCCGCCCCACCCTCCTACGAATCCGCCGCGCCCACCATGGCGCCCCTGAAACCCACCATGACCTTCCGCCGGAAGAAGGACAAGACGGAGCCCCCCCCGCGCATGGAGCTCGATCTCGTCAACGCCCTCCCCGCCTCCGACGACTTCCGGACGAGTCTGCTCATGCCGGGCCTCTCGGCCCGCTTCTCCATGCTGCGCGAGCAGGACGACCCGACGTCGAAGATTGGGAAGGCGAGCGATGATAGTGTGCTCTTCCCGAAGAGGCAGTCGCGGCTTAACGGTTTTGGCTTTACGCCCCAGGGACTCAGCGATATTGCGGAGGTGGGATCGATTAGGGAGTCGACGCGACGACCGTTTGCGTTGGATAGGATGGATTCCTTCCAGTCGTCTGCGGGCAGCTCTGAGACCGACGCACATGAGAGTATTATGTCACGCGGCAAGCCGGCGGAAGGGAATAACCTATTCGGCGGACGGCAGAAGATCTACAAGATCCCCATGGGCCGATCGACATCAATGAGGTCCCTCAATGGCACCGGCGAGTCCAGCGGGCTCGGAGGGCGTGCGCTCTACGGCGATGATGTGAGCCAATCCGCGTTCCAGAAGCTGAAGGAGCGCGAGCGCGAGCGCGAGGAGAGGGAGAGGGAGAGGGAGAGGCGCAGTAATGAGGAGGCGTATCGCTCAGAGTCGCCCCCGTTGGGGTATAATCGCAATCGCGAGACGTCGTCGACGACATCGTCGGGGCCGAATGGGACGCGTATTTCGACGGCGGCGACGTCGGTTACGTCGCAGCGCACGCCTTCTGTGACGGGGCCTGCGGTGCCGGGACCTGAGCGCTCATTTACTAAGACGAAGAGACTGTATGAGACGGGTCTGGATCAGCATTTGCATACGCAGCAATTCTCGGCTGCGAACAGGCTGGATAATCTGTCCCGCCAGGGCAGAAATCTATGCGCGCGCAGCCCCTCACCTGCTGGGTCGCCTGTCCCGTCGCCGATCGAGGGGCCGAGTTCCAACACAGCGAGACAACCCGGGGTTCCGCTGAGCAGCCCTACACCACCAAATAATGGCGGATTCGACTTCGGCACCAAGCCGACTACCAAGGATGCGCTGAAGCCATTTGTCACCACGCCGCCCCTGAGTTCGCCTGTCAGTGAATCCGATGACAAGTCAGCCCTGTCGATCCAACCCAACGACAGGGGGAAGGCTACAGCGCTGGGTGCGTTTACTAAGCCTGCACAGCCATATGATGAGAGGAAATACACCCAAAGGCAGCTGCAGATGCAGCAGGGCCGCGAGACACCACCGCTGCGCAAACACGCACCCCCTCAATCCTTCCCCCCCAACGCCACGGGCCAGGATACCGCGCCACGCAACCGCGCGGGGTTGAATGCTACATGCCAATCCGACCGATCCCCGTCATCATCCACGCAGCGGGAATTCCTACCCCGCGAACGCATGTTCCCGCCCAAGAGAGAGCCGCCGCCAGAGCCACAGCCGCAGTCGGCGTCGATGGGATCTTTCCTCATGAGTCCTGACGATAGTAGTGCGACTAGTTCGCCCAGGGGGAGCGGCGAGGCGACGGGTACTGTGAACGCGTGGGAGCAGGCTTCGGCGTATGATGAGTTTGAAGCGCGCGGGCCTGCTCCTGCGCCTGCGCCGCTGGCGACAATGGGGAGGAGAGTGGAGACGGAGCATCCTGCGTTTAGGTTGAAGTTGAGGGATTTGGATGAGCAGAGGGGGATGCAGAAGGTTAAGGCGCCGCCGCTACCGCAGTCTGCGCCGCAGCAGGCAAAGGTCCCGTCGAAGACTCCAGAGGACGTCAAAGTCGAGAAGACAAAGGTTGCATCGCCGCTAGACTCACCGACGCTGCCTGGTAGCGGACTGAGCGGGATCATCCGCCAGCATCTCCGCAGCGAGAGTAACACCTCTTCCCTCAGCGGCCCGCCCTCCCCTGTTCTGGGACCACAGTACCAGGCGGCGGATTACACCATGAACGGCAACCCCTGGGACGACCACCCCGCCACTGCCGACAATAATAACGTTTGGGCACCCCACCCCGACATCTATTCCTTCCAACTCACCGCTACGTCCAGCCCAGCACCCACCCCTTCCCACTCAACCCCCCGCGCCGCTTCGCCAGCTCCCTCAGACACGCCTTCATGGGAGAAAGCGATAAACCACCACCACAGCCGCGACGCGAGCACGGAATCCCAACGCGAGCGCGATGATTTCGCCTCCGAGCTCGCTGCGCGCAGAAAGCGGGTGCAGGATAATCTGAGGAGTTTCGCGGAATCGGATCGTCGCTCCCAGTCCCCCGTTCGTGGGGGGATGGAGACGCCCCCGCAGTCCTCGCAGCGCACGGTATCAGGCGCTGGCCCGACGCCAAGGTCGAACCATCTTAACTTTATGAAGGGGATGACGAGCCGCGAGTCATTGGTGCCAAGGAGTAGGGATTCGTCGGCGGGTCCGCAGAGTAAAGCCCGGAAGATGCTTGGCATGGGAGGGGTTGGAGAGAGGACGACGCCGCCGGGGATGATGTACGATGACCACCCTCATCCTAACGCTCCGCATAACCAGCAGCTGCCGCCGCGCTCTCATTATGATTCTGATTCTGGCACCGGAGGGGGCTATGCGAGTAGTAACTACGATAACCCCGCGCCGCCTAGGAGCGCGCCGTGTGGACCACCTGGTGCTGGACCGGCTGGTGGTGCTGCGGCGCCGCTGCCGCAGCAGGGGTTGAAGAGTTTCAGGGATAAGAGGCGGGATGCGCAGAGGGAGAGGGAGAGGCAGGTTATGAACCGCCATCGCGCGGGGACGGGGGGGAGTGATTCGGATGATTATTTCGGTGCTGCGGGGAGACAACAGCAGCAAGGGATGCAGCAGGGGAGACAGCCCCAGCAGAGGGGCGCGCATGCGGGTGCACATGCACAAGGGGAGAGACAGCATCACCCAGCGATGCGCACTCGTTCCCCAAGCCGCGACGCACCACCGGTCAGTTATCGTGCCCCTCGCGCGGGGAGCGTGGAGAGTGGCCATAACAGCGGAGGGTCGCGACCAGGGACGAGAGAGAGGAGCGGGAGTAACGCCAGCACCCCCGGCTACGGCGCGCGCGGCGGCGGCGGCGGTGGTGCTGGTGGGCCTGGACGCTTCGGAGGTGAAGGGATGGCTGGTGCGCCGCAGCAGAGGAGTGTGCTGGAGGGCATGGCGACGATTAATTCACCTACCTTCCCACCTGTTAACTCACCGCCTGCTGTTCCTTTCGCTGGGAATGGGGTGGGGAATGGTGCGCCGAGCCCGAGATCGAGGAGTGAGAGCAGGTCGCAGGCGCAGCAGCCGTTTCCGGGGATGCAGTTGAATCTTGAGTCGCTGGGGACGGCGTACAGCGCCGCGTCCAACTCTATCCCGCGACCGAGCCCGGTGGTGCCGTTTGCGGTTAATTCTACGCCTGCTCTCGTTCCTACACTCAACGGCATGCCAGGCGTCTCCGGTCCCACGACTCCGCTAACACCTTCGTCGTCAAGTGGGTCGGGAGGTTCAGCAGCCGCAGCATCTGCCTCGGTAGGCGCGGGTGGGAAGGGAAGGAAACGCTCGGTGAATAAGAGGGATATCTCCGACCCCGTTTTCGTCTCTACCACCAACAAAGTCTCAACCGTTGAACTGCCCACCAGCCCCGTTAAGGCACAGCCTGTCGCTACGACATTTGCGGGGATGGGGGTTGGGGGTGGGGATGCCCCGGGGGGGGGGAGCCGGAGGTCCCTGCTATGGACCCTCGGCGCAGGACGAGGACGGGGATGTTTTGGAAGCGCCGCGATGTCTCCGCTGATGGAGAGGGGGGTGCTGGTGCGGGAGGGGGGGTGCCGACGAGTTCGGTGTTTGAAGCCGATGATGCAACGGCATCTGTGGGTCCGAGAGCGAGACAGCGGTTGAGGAAGACGAGTGTCGAGGGTGGGAACCTGGCTGCGAGAGCGAGAGCCGCGGCTGGGGGGCAGGGAGGGTTGACGGTGGAGAGGGTGCCGATGGCTGTTAGTGCTGGGGTTGGGGGGTTTCCTGGTAGGGGACAGGGGGAGGGGGGGGGGTGGGGGGATGTTTTAATTATGTGTGATTGGTATAGAGAGGGATGGAGGGAGGGGGAGGGGGGGGGATGGGGGGCACAAGCTGGTCTTGTATATATATATGTATTTGTGGATATATGATGGATGGCTATGGCTTGTAGTGGCTTGATAGAGGGGGATGTATGGAATAAGAAGTTTCTTCACCTGTGTTATATGCTTGGCTGAGTGAGTGAGTTGAGCGAGTGAGTTGAGCGAGTGAGAAAGTGAGGGTGCGAGCGAGGGAGTGAAAAGGGGGTAGTCTCGCGGCTAAGCTCAGCAGCGCCCAATACCAAACTATTTAAAGACCCCCCCTAGAGCGAGGAGAGAGAGAGAGAGAGAGACGAGACGAGACACTCTCATTAGATCATCCACATTCCGTAGCTGCTGTCTAAGCAGGAGGCAGGGATTTGGCGATGGGCTGATAGTGTGTGGTGTGCGTGTGTGCGTGTCGTGGGTGAGGAGGTTGGGTTTGTGTGGTTTTGGTTTGGCGGGAGAGGGGGTGGGTGAGAAGGGGGATTTGGTGACGGGAGGGAAGACTCTGTGTTGGGTTGACAACAACAGACTCGCGGCGGAGGCAGAGGCAGGTGAGTGGCAGCGGTGATAGCCCCCCCCCCCCCCCCCCCCGTTTCACTTCTCCACCACGGCATCGATGTTGTGAGCGTGGAGGGGAGTGGAAAAAAGGGGGGGGGGGGGGGTCATGTGCCGTACGATGCTGATGGTTGGTGTGTGTGTGTTGTGGGGGGGATGGGTGGTATTATAGGTGAGAACGCGGTGGGGGGGGGGGGGGGGGTAAAAATCGTATTTATAGTATGTCTCTACATGGCTTGATTGATAGAGAAGCCCGGGGGGGGGAGTGTATGGAATAAGAAACCCCTTAAATCAACACACCCGTGCTATCCCCATGATCGACTGGGGGTATAAGGAGGCGAGTGGTCGGGGAGTAGGAGAGACTAGGGACGATGGAGCGTGGATACTCGATAACCCCCCAACGACCGAAGAAGACGCCTGAACGGATGATAAGGCGTGGTCTTGGTCGTGGTGGTGATAAAGACGGTGGTGACAGCACTTCCCCCCCTTCCTCGGCGGCGCCTCCACACCACGCCTCATGGTCGACGTCAAAACCGGCGCGTGGGCGTAGACAGCTGCGGAAAGGGGCACAGGTAGATGTATGGCTGCTCCAAATAATACCGCGAGCTGCCTGTACGTGTCAATTTGGTGGGTGGTTTTGTAGACGAGGGGGAGGGGTTTTTAAAGGGGGGGGGGGGATGGCTTTATGCGGGTTTGTTGTGTGTGGTAGGATGGGGATGGGGATGGAGATCGATGGCGGGGAGGTGGAAGGGGGATTGGGGAGGGATGGGGGGATGAGGGTGTGTGAGGCTTTGAAGCAGCATCGCCTGGGGAAGGGAGGGGGAAGGTGGGATGCTCCTCGCTGCTCGCACGCACTATATATCCCCCCCCTAAACACACATTCACGTCACGCCATACGCCATAGAAATCCTACAAGAAATGTTGAGATCTGCAGTGGCCTGTTGGAGTAGTAGCGGTCTTGTGCTCGTTATACCTTGTGAGAAGGGGGTGGTTGAGCTGGTGGTTGGAAGAGGGATGCCCTGTTGGCTCATCCACGCTTGGTTTATGGGGGGGTTGAGGCTTGGGGGTTGAGGCTTGAGGCTTGGGGGTTGATGGGGTTGTTGGTTGTAGTGTGGCGAGGGGGTTGTATCCTTACTTGGGGGTTTTGGGCGGTTTAGTGTGCTGGTTTGGGGCTTTTTGTGTCAAGGGTGAAGGTGTGCGGGATTGGGGTGGGGGTGGGTTGATAGGTAGGAGACGGTGGGATGTTAAAGGGGGGGGATATGAGGTTTTGACATGAGTATCCCCGGGGGAGTCAGGGAGGTGGGATAGTCGTGCTCATGCTCGTATATATTACACTATATAAGACTCCCCTCTACCTCTGCACCGTCTCTATTGGTGTAGACAACGCTTGGGAGGAGATGAGGGTGACGGTGATGGTGGTCAAGATCAACCAAACAGCTAGGGAAATGATCCACAAAATAATCGACCACATCACAATGACAAAAGCGTGCATATCTGAAATGTCAGAGGCAGAGTTCAAGGCCACGCTCTAAGAGGTTGGCAAATCGAGCCAAAGTTGCTGGACAGAAATGAGATCGGAATCAGAGATAGTGGTGGTGGGCGGTGACAACAGTCGCATGGATGGAGACGGTGACAGACACGGCGGAGACATTACCATTTTATGCCCGTGTGTGCTTATTTGGGGGATGGGGATGGAGAATATCTGGGTGGATGTGTTTGACTATGTCACCAGATTGGTTAAATAGATGGGAGATGGGAAGAGAAAAAGGGAAAAGCGGAAAGAAGGAAAAAAGAGGAGATGCATGTAACATGAGTCTCTTCAACGAATGAAATATTACTCGAGCGAGGCAGACTAAGCGCGGTTTTCGTGCTCATACACTATATACTCTACACACAGACTTTATTTACTCATGTGCCTCTCTGCAAGGAGAGAAACAACGAAACCTTCGTTGTCTGAGGGGTACTTGGTTCTCGTACAACGCTACACTATATATTCTCCGATCATATCCGTTGTATGGCACCAAAAAGAATACCACTACCATCTCAGATGGCGGCCGGCGCTTGTGTTGCGGTCGGTGTTGGAGGGGATTGAATGGGCGATGAGTTGGAAGGGGACTGGGTTTGAGAGGGGAGGAGAGACGACGGTAGGGGGGTGAACGGTGACAGGAAGAGCGGTGGCGGGGTGAGAGTGATAGCAATCCACCGCGACAGCAGTCCGCATAACATCCTGTCACTCTTCATCTACGCATCACCGCTGCCGCTGCCATACTCCGAGTTAGCGGTCTTAAACACCTCGGCCATGATCACAACGTAAGTCGTTCAAAGAAAGGGTTGGTGGTGAAGAAAAGAAGTGAGCTGGAAGTTGAAGTAAGAAATGGGTTCTGTTCGCTAGAAGCCACTGTAATATCCTTGGGGCAGTCGATACAGATGAACAAGGGATTCGGGTCTGGGGCTTGGTTCTGGCCTGCGCTGACTGATCTATGGAAATGGGCCATGGTGTGAGATCTGGGGTTTGAGGGTGTGGGTTGGAGTGTGGCGGGTGGGTTCTGGAGGCTGGAAGGAATAGGGGAGTGTGGGAGGAGGGAGCGGCGAAGGAGAGTGTTGATGCGGTGGTGATTTGGTATATATGCGAGCGCCCCGATGTCTCTTTTTGCCCAGAGATGAGCGAGCAAATCTACACCCCAGGAGGACTGGGGAGATTGTCTCGGAGCTCCATAAGCTGACAACAGTGATGGAACAGCTCTTTGACGAGGAGTTCTAGGACCCACCCGCCTGCTGCACTCCCGGTAGTACCATAGCGAACGGTGGCAGGAGAGAAGCGAGCGGCGACAGCTTTACCAACAGCGACGGCAACAGTGCGGCGACAGCCACCCACATTGCCCGGTCCTTCATCACCGGCCTCCATCAGGCCATGTTTCCTTAAGCTATGGACGGCGCAATCGGTGGGGTTCTTGCGCGCCCACTAGATCGGCGGCGGCAGTGTCGGGATATATTGGTTGGAGGTGGGTGTGGAAGTTAGCTGATTCTATTATAGTTAGCTGCAGCTACCTTCCCTCCGACTCATCCTTCCCCGCTATAATACTCCACGCCCTCTCTTGGTGACACTGTTCTCAATCTCTTCAAATGGGCGAAACAAGGGTTTGGTGATGGTGCCATTGCCGTATCTACGCCTCTAAAAACCGTGCCGGTGATATGACTTTGAATATGCATGTTCATACCGATCCTATACAGTAGTAGAGTTGACAGTTATTATAATAAGCTACACTATCCAGCCAGGCGTCGTCTCCAGCGCGCTCGGGCCAAGCAGTAACCCGCAATGCGCTAGTGGGTGGGGCAGCGGGGCGGCGGGTGTCGTCACTTAGCTTGGGCTGGGTGACCCTCACCTTTATTGATACGGTAACTTTTTTTTGACGACGACGACGACGACACGATACGCGCAGGATACGAAGCGACGACTGGATGTTGTAGTGTGCGATATAGGAGGAAGCAGCAAGTGTGAAATATAAGAGGGAAAGAGCGACCGAGAGAGACGCGAGGGAAAGAGCTAAGGACCGAAATATCGAAAGAAGGAAAGAACGAAGGGGGAAAGGGGGAAGGAGCGAAGGAGGGGAATAAGGCAAGGGGGAAGGAACGAAGGAGGGACAGAGGGAAGGAGCGGGGAAGGTAGCTGAAGCTGGACTAGAGCTTCAACTCGAGGATAGGACATAGCGCGAAGACGAGGCGCAAGAATACGGTACTGCACGAGACAACACAAGGCCGCACAGCTCATAAGCTTCGAGTCGAGACGAAAGGGCCGGCGCACGCAGCGGATGCAGATATACCCCAAGCCCAGCACGACTTCACGCGAACGAATTGCACGGAAGAGAGACGCATACACCTCGCGCTACACGCTCTGCGGGACGCAAGGGAGGAGCAGATATACAGATAAGCACACACAACGCCCACCATGGCACCCTCACGCACCACCACCTCTCACGCACCACCATCCTCCACTACATCCATAAAACCCACCAGAGCGACTCCGTCACCCGCCCCCCGAGCACCACAACCAACGCAGGCTCAACTCCTCGTCGCCCTCTCCCCCGCCGCAACCAGCGCCCTCATCCGACGCACCCTTCACCCCACCGCCTCAAAAGACACTCCCCTCTCGTCCCTCCTCAAACCTCTCACGGGAGACAAGGATGTGGATTTTGAGATATATGCCCTGCTGGCGGTGGTGATGCGGGAGTTTGTGGTGAAGTGGTATGGAAACATAACAGGGGATCCCGGGTTTGTGGGGGAGATTGGAGAGTTAGTGGAAGGGGTTGTGAGGAAGGGCTGGGGGAGGCTCGGGGAGAGGAGGAGGGATAATGGGGGATGGGGAGGGGTGGTTGTTGAGGTTGGGGGAGTTGTGGGAGAAGTAGGGAGGGGGCATGTTGATGGTGAGTTTGATTTTTATTGTTTGCGAGTGGCCGGGGAATAGGGGAGAGCGATGAACGGCTACGAGGGAACGGCGCAAAGCATTCACAAGTACATCAGCTAACAAACCCGCCAGCATACTGCACCGCCCACACAAGCCGCCTCCCACCCCCTTATGCCGCCTCACCCCGCCAGATATACCACGCCCTCCACCCTCACCCCGCGCTCTCACCCGTCCCCGACCCGACCGACCCTGCGAGTATCGAACTCCAATCCTCCAACGACGCCGCCTACCGCGAGCTCCTCGCCCAGCGCTTACTACACACCCTCCTCCCGCCCACTGAGCGCCACAACCCCGCGCTCATGGCCCTCGTCGGCTCCATCCTCGCCGATCTCGTGATTGAGAAGGCAGTGGAGAGGGCGTGCGAGCCGGGGGTTATATGGGAGGGGATCGCAAAGGTGGCAGAGGGTGTTGCGGCGTGGGGGAAGAGCGCGAGAAGGGTTGATAGGGACGACGACGGGACGAAGAGGAACGGGGGGTGGCAGGCGACGTTTTGGATGGTGCTTCAGTTCGCTTTCCTCTCTTTCGCTGTTGTGCGCGCTCTTGTCATTGCAGTCGCGACTTCGTCGTCGTTGCCGCGTCGTGGGGTTCGGTTGTCGAAATCGACGATAGAGCCGACGACGGCGACAGGGCCGACGCCGGTGCTTGGGATGAAGATGTGGGGTTTCCTGGCAAAACAGGTCGAACTCGAGGAGCGGATGCCATGGGCATATGGAGTGCTCGCGCTGGGGCAGTGGGTAATGCTGTATGGGCATGGAAGGGTGGGGGCGGTCGATGGAGTGGTTGACAGGTATGTGCGATCGTTCTGTTCTATCCTGCCCACGTTTTTCATCTGTTCTATTCCCGCAGCGGACCGTGCGTTTATCGTGCGTATGCAAATCTGCCGAAGGCGCGAAGAAACCAAGCGAAGGAGAATTGATCTTCTTACCTCCGATCCGAAATGAATATTGCCAAGCCAATATTTTGGTGGTGTTTGGGCGAATGGGAGGCTGTTTCCTAGCTGGGAACGAATGCGTGTTTTTGGTCTCGGCGATGTCGTTGGTGGAGATGGGAAGATGGCTTTAGGGAGATGGACGAGAGGGGGGAGGAGGAGAGGGAGTTGGATGGAGATGATGATGTGACGTTGTAGCGGGCTTCGCTCCTCGTTATTTTATCCATCCCATCAGCTCTCTGCTCTTTCGTTTCGTCTCGCAACCCATTCCTCAATCGGCTCTACCCTCTCTTTTTCGCTTTATTTTTTCGTACTTTCTTACTTCGCACATCATATGGGACTTTGGCTGTACATCTTTGGTCTTGTACCTGTGTACGAGGACGGTGGTACCTCGCAGGTACAAGGTGTGCACAGCACCAAAGTCTATTAGGCGCCGGCGCTCCTACCAATGCCAGACTCTGCGAGTGCACAGACAAATGCAAGGCGGCCGGGGAGAGAGCAAGTTTACCCCGACGCGCCGTCCGTGCGCGATACAGATGCATTGCAGATGCATCCAAGCCCTTGTGCCTCATTGGGCAGCCATGTACGTCTATGGTCTTCACGGGTACAGAGGTACATCCCTTCAAACATCCCTACATCCCTCCCCTATATCCCTACACCCATCAGTACCCACAACCAGTTCGTCAGTTCTCACCGATCGGCGAACGAGGCGTCCAAGACGGTGAGCTGAAAGGCGGCCTCACGGCCCCCCGGATTCACATTACCACATCGCGCAACCTCCCCCCCATCCAACATCGTGTCATCAAGCGATCGCACTACCGGCACTACCCTTCACCCCCACCCCCCACGTCCATCGCGGCTCACCTCGGGCCCCCCCCAAACTTAACTTAGATACCCTCCGCACTAGCTGTCTCTGTCTCTGTCCCACGCTGTGCCCACCCGATACAAAACAGGTGTCGCAAGCACGACAGAAGCGGTTATGCCACGACGGGGACCCGGCACCGGCGAGCCCTTGCCCGATGTGCCACATTACCCTGGGGTGCCCTCCTGGTTTGGACCAGACTGGGCTTATCCTCCCCCCGGGTTTAGGCCTGGGAACGGGCGTGCGCCTTGAGCGGGAGGGACAGAATACCCGATCGAGGCATCCGCCCGGGGGGGAGATAACTGTGTTACCTCGCTAGCAACTCGCTTGAGTTCCGCCTCGCGCTGCCCTTCTCGTTTCACACCCCCCACCTTAGCTAGTCAGCCTTATACACCCCCCATTTTTTTATGCTTACGCGCGAGGTGACAGGTCGCTCGGCGAAGCTAACGTGGATTAATCAGATTACTTACGCATTTCATACTCGGTCTCTTGCCCCCAGCCGCGCCGGCGCTGAGGGCGCTCCGTGGCTTGCTATTTCCGCTCAATGCGCCGAGTCCGCGTGGGGCGCCGGTGCCGGTTGGGGAGGAGGCGGCGGGGATGCGGAGGAGGGCTGCGGAGGGGGTGGCTGGGCTGGTGCCGAGGTGGGTGGGGGGTGTGTGTTTTGGGAGTGGGAAGGCGAAGGTGAAGGGAGGTAGGGAAGAGGAGATTGAGGGAGTGGAGCGCATGTTGGGGGTTTGGGGGGATGCGTGGATGAATCGCTGTTTTGTGTATTCGCTTCTCGAGGCTGGTGTGGTGGGTTTTCTGCCTGAGCTTGCTGGGGGCAAGGGAGTAGTTGGGGGCGCTGATGTGGTTGAGATAGCGGTGTAGATAGAATTTTCTAGGGGGTTTTGGGGGGAGGGTTTGTGTATCTCCTCCCACCCCGACATAATATGGGGCACACATACACAACGAGCCATTGCAACCGAAATGTTTGTTCAGAAGGGGCTCCCAGACTTTGGGCCGCCCAAATGGTTCATTCGTTCGAGCCTGCTATATCCAACCTTCCTTCTCTGAGACTACTTTCCTCCCCTTCCTTTCCATGTACGCGCGTGGGCGCTCCAACCAGTCTGATTTCACTCCCATACAATCAACCCCTTTTTTCAACCCCCAGTATCCCCCCCATCGCCCATCTCCGCGCTATAAAAAGAGTTTGGTGGGTTGAACCTCCTCCCTCTCTTCCTAGACCCTGTTCCCATCCCATTCCCTGTAAACTGAAAATACAGAGTAACGATAACGGGAGGGAAATACTCAAACACTGAGACAATACCAGTAAAACAACAAATAGACAATGCAGGAAAGCCAGGCACAAAAAGCAAATAGTGATATTTGAATTAGGCAACGCATGTAAACACTCAACACTTTGCAAGGAAATAATAACAAAAGCTAAAAACAAAAAAGCTAATCACAGCGAAGCCCGCTTGCGCGGATGGTATGTCTTTATGGAGGGTATGTGGGGTATATGAGCCTGTTAGAAACGTAATTGCGGTGCAAGAGCAAAAAGGAAATAACCAAAAAACAATAAAAACAATAGAAACGTAGATGACGAAACAAACAACACGCATTGCGAAACTCGATACAGAAGCAGCAGCAGTCGAACCAAGGAGGTGTGGTTTGTCGTGTAGTTATCGCGGGGCGCGGGCGGCGGGAACGTGTGTGCATTGTGCTCGGGAGCGCGGCAGCGGCAGCACCCGTGGCGGGTACTGGGTACTGGTACTGGTACAGCACTGTACAGTAATACGGAAGGCATTTCCGGGCCCAACATCGGCACCGTGCGTTGTGCGCCGTGCCGTAACCGCACGAGCCGTCTACACACCGACGCCCATCCTGCACTCCATATTCCCGGGCTCGATGTCGCCCCTGATGGACCCGAGACTGTGCTGGCGCATGCGCTCGGTCAGCTTGACGACGGTTTGGTATTCGGCTTCGTCGACGAGGCCCTGTGGTGCCGCGACTTCCATGTAGCTGAGCAAGGTCTCGAGAGCGAGGCGGGCGTCGTCTGGGGTTGGGGAGGTCGACGCAGTACTGGCGGTCGTTGAGGGAGTTATGGCTATGGGGTCGGAGGATCCGTCGAGGGAGGTCGGCGAGGTGGAGTGGTGGGGGAAGGTGGCAGTTGTAGCTGTGTCCGCGTCGATGGCGAGTATGGGGAAGGTCTGCGAGAGCAGGCGCTGTGGGTCCAAGGGTGCTATGCTCCCCGCATACTGTGGCGGCGCGAACGGACCTTGTGTCGTCTCCGGGGAGTAGGGGAAGGGGGTTGCGGGGCTAGAACCGTCGCCGGAGAAGGAGGATCCCACAGTCGTGTCAGTGAAGTTGCTGGACAGAGATGTAGTGCTACGTGAGTTTGAATGGCGGTATCCACTGGAGCTAAAGGGCGCGTAATCGTCTTCGTCCTTGACTCCAGACAGTGGCGATGCAAAGTCATACGGGGAGCCAGGCGAGTGTCCGCTCGGCGTGTTGGCAATGGACGAACCTGCGGAACCCTGGCCATAGATGGGGATGTCAGCCATATTCGTCGCTGATGAGCGGCGGGAGAGTTTCATGCGGCCGCTATGCTTCTGTTTTTTTATACTGGCGTTGTGTTGCTTCTCTTTTTTCGTACTGGCGTTGTGGTTCCGTACGAACTCATCGAGCCACTGGTCGTCATGGGCCTTTTGGAGGCCCTCTTGGTTATTAAGGATACTGGAAAATTTGATGGCTTCCTCTCTAATCTCTTCACGGTTTCGCAAAATGCCCCTTTTCCATTCGTTGTGCCACCAGCTGTGGAGGGCGAGATTGATGTCTTGTGCTCTGCCCTTTGGTAGCTTGGCAGGCGAGACACTGGGCTCTTCGAGGGACAGGAACTTCTCCTTCTGGCGCAGGACTTTGGAGACAGTGCTACAGCGGTTAGATAATTCATTGGGGAGAATCAACGAGCCTAAAGCGCATACCTTCTCTCGACATTGAAGACAGCTATACAGATGTTAGCATCCATAATTTGGCAAGAACATAGCAACTTACCCCCAATTTCCGCCTGCTTCATATTCGGAAAGTCCATGTGGATTTGGCACATATGCCGCTTCTCATCATCTCTTAGGCATTTCCTGCCGCCGCCAGGTTGTGACGACGGTTTCGACGCCCGCATCCGGGCAGAGTTGGGCGCCATTCTGACCGGTCGTGTCGGGTGCCCGCCCGGGTTCGTTAACATGCTGGGCATGGTGGAGGGAAAGCTGGACATCGCGGGCGTGTTATTCATCCAAGCCGGAGCGGGAAGAAGTGGCAGGAGAGTTTGTTGATGGGCCGGTGGAGGCGGCATCCTCGTAAAGGTGGACTGCTCGGGTAGACTGTGCGGTAGCCCATGGTTCATCATGTGGTAGTTCTGGTATTCATAGATGGGCGATGTCTGTTGTGGGGAGGAATAGCTATTTGGGGGAATCCCTCCCCAGACGTTGTTGCTGTAATTACCGTGCTGCTCGCTGCTCGGCTGGTGGGTCAGGTCATCGTCCATGCCAAAGTGGCCCGTCATATCGTGCATTGCTTGCTCGTCCTGGTCCGTTGATGCCCAGATCATAGGTCGCGAGGGGGGTTCTGGTCGTTGTTGGTAGGAATAGAACTGCGCAGCCTTCTCCGGACTGGTTCCTGGTCAAAGTGGGTAGGTTCAGGAACAGTGGCTATGTACACGCATGATAAGAGGCGGAGTGTCGGTTCCGGGCAGGTCTAGGTGTCAAATCCCCCCAGCAGATTGCAGCAACTGAAGTGAGAAGTTGGCCGGAGTAGCTGCAAATTCTTTCCGCGACTGTCTAATATGGAGCTGCGAAGGTGAGAAGGGCGCAGAGAAGTGGGAAAGCCGAGTCGGAGTGTCAAAAAGAGCTAGCTTGGGTTCCGAGCTTGGAGTTGTAGCACAACACAGGATGTGGCTTGGATGGGAACACTCGTGCTGGTGGGCCTTGCAGCCACCTTTCTGCGAGCGTTGGCTGCTGACGGAGCGTGGCAGAGTGCGGTCTGGTTTTGCGACAAGAACGGGGACGACGGCGGCGGCGGTGATGCTGTGGATGATGTATACGTAAGTGCCGTGGGGTGGGGTGCATGAAAATGAAAGCACGGGTCTCGAGAGTATGGAGAGAGTATGCAGAATATGCAGAGGGTATGGAGAGAGTATGGAGAGAGTATGGAGAGAGTATGGAGAGAGTATGCAGAGAGTATGCAGAGAGTATGCAAGAGTATGCAGAGAGTATGCAGAGTATGCAGAGAGTATGCAGAGTATGCAGAGAGTATGCAGAGTATGCAGAGGGTATGCAGAGAGTATGGAGAGATGGAGAGAGTATGGAGAGTATGAGTAATTCGGAAGAAGATGCAGGAGGTTGCAGCAGGGCTGGGGCGTATGCGTGGGAGAGTGGGAGAGTGGGTATATATTGATAAACTGTCTGTGTGTATATAAGGACGAAAGTAGTGTTTATAATGAGGGTTTGATCTGCTCTCGTCCTTCCGATGGAAACAACAAGGGGGGGGGTTAGCTCGGGGCTTAGGCCTATAAAGAGCTGGGGTGTGGAGTGGTGAGGAGAGAGCAGTGAGGAGAGAGAAGTGAGGAGAGAGAGGTGAGGGGAGAGGTGAGAGAAGTGAGGGGAGAGGTGAGAGAAGTGAGGGGAGAGAGAGGTGAGGGGAGAGAGGTGAGGACAACGATGATGTATTGATGGGCGATGGTAGATGATGATGGGTGAGTATGGCGGAGTTGAGTGGATATTTCCGACGGGAGGAGGTGGTTCAGAAGGACTGGCGAGGGACAAGAAAGATACCTGGGAAACAGACCCCTAGACCCCTAGACCCTTGTGGTGGTTGTGGTGGTGGTAGTGTAGTGGTGGTGGTGGTGGTGGTGTAGTGGTGGTGGTAGTGTTGTGTAGTGTAGTGGTGGTGGTGGTAGTGTAGTGGTGGTGGTGGTGGTAGTGTAGTGGTGGTGGTGGTGGTGGTGTAGTGGTGGTGGTGGTAGTGTAGTGTTGTGGTAGTGTTGTGTAGTGTAGTGGTGGTAGTGTAGTGTTGTGGTAGTGTTGTGTAGTGTAGTGGTGGTGGTGGTGGTGTAGTGGTGGTGGTAGTGTAGTGTAGTGTTGTGGTAGTGTTGTGTAGTGTATTGTTGTGGCTGTGATAGTGTTGTGGCTGTGGTTGTGGTAAGTTAGTGTTGTGGCGCTGCTAAAAGGAACGAAATAGAGCCTGGTGTGGGTTGGGGAGAAGGGGAAGTACCTCTGTGAGTCTATGTGAGTCTCTGTGAGTCTATGTGAGTCTATGCGAGTCTATGCGAGTCTCTGTACCTTCGTGAGTCTCTGTGTACCTTCGCGAGTCTCTGTGTACCTCTGTGAGTACACAGTGCTACAACGAGGAGTACAGTGCCCCAATTCTCATATCCCCAGCATACCCACTGTACGATACTCTCAACAGCCTGTCCTCCAGTGTATCCTCAGTGTATCCTCAGTGTATCCTCAGTGTATCCTCAGTGTATCCTCAGTGTATCCTCAGTGTATCCTCAGTGTATCCTCCATGGTGCCTGCTATCCTTTCATGTGTAACCTTGTACTCGGTTGCTCGTACTGCTCAGGTACATCGCCAGATCTTCACTTTTTGATCTCAACACCCCTCCCCCGCTTCGACCGCTTGCTGCCAGATAGAACGGCGACAGGCCCAATACCCTAAGCCTGCCGTGGCCTGAGATCTGCCTCCCCCCCCCCCCACCGTTGTTGTTCTGCGTGGGGTGCATTGCAAGTGGCCAGCGCCACTGTACTTCGCCCTCTTGGCTCCGGTCCCAAGTTCTTGACTATTGGATTTCAAAACGGTCCTGACGCTAACGGACGCGGCGGCTCGAGCCTTGACGCCTTTGACACTCCCTTCCCCCTCCCGTCCGTAGTTCAGCGCATCGCAGTGACCCTCTGTAGCCTCTTCATCAGGAGAATAGAATCCCCCTGAGCTGAAGACATCCCGTCGCTCATCGCATCTCCCTCCCCATTCGCAACAGATAGGTCCCGTGCCCCGAGCCATGCTCGCTGGAACCCATCCACTCTCCGTTGCTCAGTCTCCCCGATTGGTCCCCTCCCACCCCCCCGGGCACTTGAAATGCCTCAATAACATCCACATCCTCCTCGTCGACCTCATACTCTTCATCCAACTAGCCCCCCATTCACCATGTTTCACCTAACCCCAAACAAGACCGCCCTAGCCGAAGCCGCCATTCACGCCAGTATCGCACGACTTTCTTTTCCACCTCCTATCCTCTCCGTATCCGAGACGAAAATGAAAAAAAAAAACATTGCCAGTTTTCGTTGGCGAATCAGAAATCCGCATCTGTCCCAAGAATGAGAGTTGTCTGGCCAATCGCAAGCGCGGGCGCCTCGACGCCTCTTCTGACAGGTCGAGCCAGCCGTGCGACGCCAATCCGTTCCATCTAAGCACCAACAACGATCCCCTCGAAACAAATTCCGCAATCGATTGGCTCTCGATTTTTCTCGCCTTCGTCGGCCTCTTCCCTTGTCTTCTATTTGCGGCTTCGTTATTGGGCAGAAACGGCACTTGTTCCAAATAAACCGTAACCCATGCCAACTAACCATCTCTCGACTAGCTCAGTGGCTGGCTATGCACTCTCTTGCTCTTGCACTGTATGCGGAGTAATTAACCAACACCACCAGACAAACCCCGAACTCCTATCGTCGCTCCTATCTCACTCCTATATCTCTCCTATCTTGCTCCTATCTTTCTCCTATCTCTCTCCTATCTCGCTCCTATCTAGCTCCTATCTCGCTCCACGCATTCCGCGGCCCCCATCATGACCATCATGCCCACCTGATCCCGACCAAGCCACGGCTCGGCAACGTTATCGACGGGCGGGTGTGCATCAGCCGCACGTGCCGTCCCTAGTATGTGCGCGGGGCCTAGCCAGTTGACAAGCTTACCAGGGTCAGGCACCACGGTGCTATTAGCACGGTACTAGCACACCACTAACACCACTAACACCCCTAACCACTAACACCACTAACACCACTAACCACTAACCACTAACACCACTAAACTAACACCACTAACACCACTAACCACTAACCACTAACCACTAACCACTAACCACTAACCACTAACCACTAACCACTAACCACTAACCACTAACCACTAACCACTAACCACTAACCACTAACCACTAACCACTAACCACTAACCACTAACCACTAACCACTAACCACTAACCACTAACCACTAACCACTAACCACTAACCACTAACCACTAACCACTAACCACTAACCACTAACCACTAACCACTAACCACTAACCACTAACCACTAACCACTAACCACTAACACCCACTAACCACTAACACCACTAACCACTAACACCACTAACCACTAACACCACTAACCACTAACCACTAACATCACTAAACTAACACCACTAACACCACTAAACTAACACCACTAAACTAACACCACTAAACTAACACCACTAACACCACTAACCACAACACCACTAACCACTAACCACTAACACCACCAATACCACCACCGCCACCACCCCACTAACACCACCACCCCAACGCTAATTTACAGTCAACCCGAGCCCGCCATTACGACGTCAGAGACTTGCCATGTAATCTCCTTGGAGGTTGTTCCGAGACACCAAGTTTCTGATAACTGACTTCCGAACTGACATTGTGGTGCCAGAGTAGCCGCAATCACTGCCGTGATGGTCAAGGCAGACCAGTGCTGTAACTTTCACGGCAAGCTGTCCCAATCCGTGACCCCGGATCCGTGCCCCAGTGATTGATCGGCTACAGACTCATCTCCATTGCCCTGCACCCCATAAACGCCCCCTACAACACATTGACCTCTAACGTTGTTATAACCTCACATCACCAACAGACTCAACAAACTCAATCTACCAAAACTCTACCAAAATATCTACCAAAAATCTACCAAAAATCCTAGCGTAGATCACCATCTCATCCTGACTCCAACAGAGGCCCACTTCGCTCAGCCCTCGCCCCGTCCAACATCAGTCTTACCCCTGCATGTGATATATCCTGTGTGGTTCCCGAAAGTGGCTTCGAAAACCAGCAGACAGCTTCTACAAGATCAAAGCGTTTGTTCCTTAGGACAAGGATGCTATGATAGGGATATACAGCCTTCGAACGCTGCGCATGAAGAGAAAACAGTGGTCTAGGCTCCCCTTGCCCTAGATCCAACAGTGCCATTGTTGGAGATCAGGGGGCCGGCCTGTGTTGGATATGGGCATGATGCCATGCCGTGGTGTGGTAATACCGCATTACTTCCGCCATCGCGGATATTAGGCGGGGCGGAAATTGCGTTGGGTGTGAAGAGAACTCGTCACTTGCATGAGGAACAAGCGCCTGGGATTGTGATTGATAGTTGTTCCTGCGTATGGTAGCTACAGATACGACGGCGATTGCCATACTCTCCAATAGCCACCTAGAATTACCGCCTTCACCGCGATCGGCTATGTTGCCGCTATCGATATTGTAGAAACAATATCGATAGCGGCAACATAGCTTTAGATTTGAGATTTCAGAGTTCATGTGGAGTTTCATTTCACTGACAGACGCCCCATCCCCACACAAAGCGACGATAAAGGGTTTGGATAAGGATTAAGAACCACTTTAAGTTACCTCCCAAGGTCACGCGTCAGTCCATGTTCGCTTATGTAAGCCGCATCGACTGCCGCGATGCAAACAACCACCATCGTCGTCATCCTCCATAGCTTCCCCTCGTACTTCCCCTCGTACCACTTCTTTTTACTACTAGAATATTCAGCGTACGCCCTCGTAGATATACACTTCTACTATAAATCACCCATGAACAGCAGCTCCGTTCTCTAGACCGGCACAGCTTTCTCGCTGTCTTCTCGCCGCAGCCATGTTTGACGTCTTTGCCATGCTCTTATCGTACGCCCCCCCCCTTACCCCACACCTCACCACCTCACCACCTCCCCGCTACAACCACTGCCTGCTCTCCACACTCTCCATACTAATAACCCTTCCAGGTCCATCGCCACCTTCCTCTTCCCCGTCTTTGCCTCCTACAAAGCTCTCAACGCTTCCGATCCCGCTCTCCTCAAGCCATGGCTCATGTACTGGGTTGTCCTTGCATGCGGCCTGCTCGCTGAATCGTGGCTCTACTTCATCCTATACTGGTGTGTCCCCCTTTCCACCCCACCTCACCCAGACACATCCGCTAACCCCTCCACCCAGGATCCCCTTCTACGCCTGGTTCCGCCTTTTCTTCCTCCTCTACCTCATCGCGCCACAAACCCAAGGCGCACGCCTCATCTACGAAACCCACCTACACCCCTTCCTGCGTACCCACGAACTCGCCATCGACGACTTCATAGCCACAACCCACCACCGCCTCCGCACCTCCTTCTGGATGTACCTCCGCCGCGCCTTCAACCTCGCCAAGTCGCAGCTCCTCGGCCTCCCAACCCAGCAAGAACCCCCTCCACCCCCGCCTGCACAGCGCTCCTACACCGCCTCCCTCCTCGAGCGCTTTAACCTTCCCAGCGCGCGCCCGGCATTCGCAGCTGCGGCGGGGGGAGGCTGGTCCGCCGCCGACATATCGGGACTGCTCGCCAACGCGGTGAGTGCCGCGACGTCATCGTCCCCGTCGGTGCAGGCGACCAATCTGGTACCGGAGTCCATCCAGGGCCCCGAGCGCGCGTCCTTCATAAGCGCCCAACGCGAGCGCCTCATGTTTCTGCTTTCGGCGCTGGATCGCGAGGCAACGGCTTCCCCTTCTGAGGAGGCGGGGAGGGGTATGCCAGGTGGGCTGCTTGGGGGGGACGGGGAGGTGCCGAGGAGGGTGAGCGAGGCGGCGTTGAGTGAGCTTGGTAAGAGTAGGATTGAGGGCGATTTTGAGACGATTGATCCGTTGGAGGGGATTGGTGAGGCCGGTGCGGGTGGGAGGAAAGTGCCGGGGACTTGGATGCCTTGGGCGTGGGGAGGGAGCCCAGCAACGGAGGGGGAGGCGAGAAGCGCAGGGGTTAATAAAGGGGACAAGGGGCTATGAGTTATGAGTGTCATTTGTTTTTGGGAACGAGACTGGGGAGTTTTGGCTCCAGCACTGTAACGTGTTGCCATCTATTTGATGGTTGACCGTGTGTTGGCTCATCGGGTCGACAGAGTTGGCTTGTGTAGACCTTAGAGGCAGAGTTCGGGCTTGGGAACCTTCCTGTATGTGTATGTTTGTTGGCGTTTTTATGGTTTACGAGCATGGGGGCAGGGAAGGCCCGCACTCTCATTAAGGCTGCATTGGTTGGGTTGGTTTGGATTATTGGGGGGGTAATGAAACTGTCTCTGTATATATAACGGATCTAGGAATCCAAGGCAGCCCGGTATTTGAAATACACTGTGTGCGTAATCTAGAGTTTATCTATGCCAGGAAATCACATCAATTTGTGTAAGTAATATTGAGAAAACGAACATCATGACGAATAAACGAGAACATTGCTTGATTTGTTAATCGAGCTACATACTCTACATCTCCCACATCCCAATATCCACCTCACTCGTTGCCTTCTTCAATCGGACCCTTCGCCACCAAAAACACCCGCCCATCATTAAGTCACCTCTAACACCCACCTCATCACATCCCGTTGTCCCAACGACGCTTACATCATGCAGACAGTCATATCATAACAGGTATCGTAAACAAAGCCAAACAGCCAGCCACACAAAACCAAAGCCAATCCGCCCCCCCTGCACTCACAGAACCCCATTCGCGCCAACTCCATTCGTGACCATCGCCCCGTTCTCCTTCTTCGGCGCCTCGCCCTCGCTCTTCTCGGCCTCCACATACCCATTCGCCCCCTCCTTCGCTGCCTGCCCATTAACCTCTCCATCTTCCAAATCCTGCTGCTTCGCAAGATCTTCATACTCCGGGTCCCCCCTCTTCATCTTTACGAACCCAGCCCGAGGAACTCTCGTCGATGGAAACGGCGTCGCTCCCACCACCGCCGTCTTGGCACCCGCCTCGCTCACAAGATCCCCATTAGCATACGACTTCGTGCCTGGTGTAAAACCCAGGTACGATTCGCAATCAGGGTCGTGCGTCCACTTGGCAGGCACGGCCAGGCGGCCCAGCCAACTCTCATCGGGGAGCGCCTCGTGGTACTGGACATCGAGCTGGAGGTTGCGCAGATGCGGGATTGACGGTGCGATGAACATCAGGTCGGCGACCTTGACGAAGAAGAGCTCGAGGCCGAGGAAGAGCGGCATGGTGGCTTTGCGCATGGCGTCGGCTGCCGTGGGGGACAGGCTCTGGAAGGGGTTCGCGGCCAGTTGGGGGTTGTAGGGACGCAGGTCCGCGCGCACCATCGAGTACATATCGCTCTCAACGCGCCAGAGGCCCTGTTTGGCGAGGAGTGATGCAGAGACGCGCTCCCATGCTGTGTCTAGATAGGTGTTAGTAAAGACACGGGCTATAGGAGTGGCGGTGCGACTTACATCGGCTAAGTTGGAGGTCCTTCTCGCCGAGGAGGAGTGCGACTTGCGTGTTTAGCAGCCACTGCTCTCTGCCATCCGGCTCGCCGGTTGCCTCGGGCACGATCGTATCATAGCGGACGCCCTGCATGAGCTTGAACTTCACAGCAACCTCTGGCGTTGCGGGTTGGGCCAAACCATCGAACCAGCGCAGCAAAGGAGGCAATCTTGCAAGGCGCGCCGCCTCCTTCTCTTTCATAATACGGAGGCGCTCCGCTCGCTGTTCAGCAATATGGGCAGCCCGTCTGCGTTCTGCTTCCTCCCGCTGAATGCGCTGCTGCTCTTCAAACCTGTGCTTTCTTTCCTCATCAGCACGACGCTGCGCCTCGGCTTTTTCCCGCCTCTGCTGCTCCTGGAGCTCGGCCTCCTCTTTCGCTCTCCTAGCGTCCTCTTCCGCTCGCTTAGCTTGCTCTTCCCGTTTGCGCTTCTCTGCCGCTTCACGAGCTACACGAGCCTCTTCTACCTGTCGCTTTGCTTCCTCGGCGCGTTCCTTCTCGATACGGTCGTCTTCCTCCTTCTTGATCTTCACCTCTCGTTCTGTCTTCTCTCGTTTTACCTTCTCTTGCTCTGCTTTCTCTCGTTCTGCCTTTTGTCGCTCTGCCTTTTCTCGCTCTGCCTTTTCACGCTCTGCCTTTTCACGCTCTGCCTTTTCACGCTCTGCCTTTTCACGCTCTGCCTTTTCTCGCTCTGCCTTCTCTCGTTCCGCTTCAATTGCTTCCCTTGCTTCCCTTGCTTCCTTCTGGGCCTTCTTCTTAGCGAGCGCTGCAGACTCTTCGGCGAAAGCGGTCTTCTGATCGGCCTCTTGGCTTGATCTGGCGCTTGGCACACCCTCAGTGGGACGAGGTCTGGCCTCTTTGTGAGAAGATTTTTCGCCAGAAAGCGCTGGCTTGCCGGGCAGCTTCTGGTGTTTTTTACGGTTAGGATCAGGCCTTTGTTCCTTTGAGGAGCTAGGTTTCTGCATTGATGAATCTGATCTAGGTGGGATTGGCTTGCGATGATTAGGAGATGTGCCTCGTACACTTTCGGAACGGCGTAGCCCCTTTGATTCTGACTCGAGACGCCTACGCTTATTTGAAGCTTCTTGCGATTCAGATGGAGGTGTTGAGCTTGTCCTCGGTCTCTTGGCTGGAGACTGTGCACTGGTTGCTGACATGCGGTCGGTCGACTTTTCCCGTTTAGCGGATCTCGACCGCTCCGTCGCAGAATCTGAGGCGGCCTTCGAGTCTGAGCGCTGTAGGTTTTTCTTTCTCCCAGCTGCATTTAACTTGTCGTCATCGGCGCCAGCTGAGGTAGCCCCAGGCGGAGACGTTATCGAGACGCTTGATTTTTGCTTCTCGCGTCCGCCCTTCAAATCCCTCCCGGATATCAGCTTACGCCTGGGTTTTGCTGGTTCTGATTCGGATGGGCTGACAGTTCGATCGAGCTCTGATCTCTTTCTCTCCCGAGAAGGCGACGGGATGGATTCTCGATCAAGACCCTCACCACCTTCCTTAGAACGACTGGCGCCTTTTTTACCTGGAGAACCCAATCGATCCCGTCTGTGGTCAACCCCATTATCCCCGGCCTCATGCTTTTCCTTGCTTGCGTTTGGTCTATCAGATGCATCCGATGGCTTCTTCCTGTAAGACCTAGACGGTTGATTGTTGGAGGAGTGACTAGAGCGGCCAGTGCGTGCTGGCGACTTGTAGTTATCAAAAGCACCTTTCAGGACCTTCTCCTCTTCCTCCCAAAGGGGCCCAGCACGTTCCTTGGCGATCTCATAGTAGGTTCGGCCGCGGTAAGTTCTTGTAGGGTCGAATCTGCCATCATCAATATTTGCAAGTAGCAGCTCAATGACCTTGATGTTCTCGCCGCCAATTGCCGCAAGGATTGGCGTTGAGAACTCCCAGGACCCAGGGATAGGAGACGGATCGGGGTTCGCATTGCCGACTGCCAGTAGGATCTGCAGGACTTCATCGTGGCCGCCCTTGGCTGCTGCGATCAAAGATTCAGCATCATCGAGACCTTCTTCGAGAACTGAAGCTACCAAGCCCACAGTTTGAAGGTCGCCCTTGGCTGCTGCAGTTCTGAGAGTGGTGACAGTGAGTGGTGTGTAAAGCTGGTGCTGGCCGGTCCTATTCGATCTGCCGTGGCTCATGGTCCTTCGATTCCTGGAGTCACTGGTTTCGGCTTGCGGAGTCTGGCTGGTGGCTGAGGGGCGGGCTTGTGCATATGTCGATCGGGCCGCTAAAAGAGCTTCCCGTATTGCATCGGCGTCCTCATCGTCTTTATTGATTTTCGTAATAGGTTCCTCACCCAACTTATTTCGTGCACGGGGATCCACACCAGCACCAAGAAGAAGTTTGATTACTTTCAAGTGGCCATTCTCTACAGCATCCAAAAGAGGCGAGTCTCCAAGATCGTTCTTGCAGTGTATGTTGCAGCCATTCTGAAGTAACATTTTGACAATGTCTTCGTGGCCGTTCAAGCTTGCACATTGTAAAGGCGTGTTCCTAGCTGCATCTGGTTGGTCGAGGTCCTCTGGGTATTCTGCAAGAAGGTGCTTTGCCTTGTCGTAGTCACCGTCTTCACAGGCATCCGTGAGCGGCGTACGTCCATATCTATCTGGCCTTCTCCGATGCGGGGGCATCTTTGCCGAGTGAGCTAAATCCCCCGTTGGAGGTGTCCCAAGATTGCATGTTCTCGAGCGTCGTGGGTATGGCGATTCGCCAGTTGATGATGCGTCAGATTGATAGTCGATAGAATGGTCTTTGGTTGTGCGTAGTGGAGCTGGAATAGCTTTCTTTTTGTGGCTTAAGCCATTCGCAGCAGATGTGTTGTTATGCCTTGTAGGTGAAGGAGACTCCGTTCGGTGATGTTGAGGTGTACCGTCTGTGGCGGAATTTTTGCTGTGTTTACCAGAATTATTCGCATTAGAGTTTCGCCTCTTATGTGAGCGACGGTTGTCCTTATCACGTTCAGATCCCGACTCATTGTTTACCTGCTCTGAGTGTCTCTTCTCCTTTCGTGGCACGCTTGGTGACTGGGACCTGGACCTTACCAGCTCAGAGCCCGTTCTCTTGGGAGGACCTGGCAATGATCGAGCAGCAGGAGACGTAGGAACAGAGCTTAATCCGCTGGAATTCCCCGTATGGTTATCATCAGGTCTGATAGCGCTGCCATGTTTCGACCGTTTTCTCTTTCCCAAAAGGGAAGCTGCGCCTTCATTCCAGGTTTGACCTTCCTCAGCTTTCACGTCTACTTGGGCGATGTGAGTATCTTTGTCAGTGTCAACATCAATATCCATATTGATGTCGCCCCCATTTTCGTTTGTCTTGTCTTCGAGCTTGATCTTTCGCTTCTTTCGAAGCTTCGAGGGCGAGTAGCCATCGGCTCCAGGCAGCACCACCGTCTCCGCTTCCGAGTCGCTACCCGAAGCAGGAGTTGCGTCGCCCTCGTTTTCTACATTCGGAGTCGACACTTGCGCCTGCGCTGGTACTGGCAGAGGAGGAGGTGATGATTTGATTCCTATTGGAGTTGCGCTTTCTGTCGTGTCTGGCGCATCGACTCCTGGAGGCGACTTGGTGGGTTCGACGGGCTCCATCGTCGCCACATCTGGATCTGTCGCAGTATGGATCTGATTTATATTGTCGGCCCCCGCCTCCCCCTCTGCATCTTTAGTGCCCGTCACTTCGACGTTTGGGCCAATGCTTGAGACCGGGGCAGGACCCTCGATCAACAACCAAGGCTTCGTGGTCGTTTGGCGTTGGGAGGTTGTCCCAGTGTCGCAAACGTCGTCGGCCACCACGATGGATGCCGAAACACAGACAATGTGGTCGCTGAAGGCCCTTGGAGTTTGTGCACTTCTACTATAATCGAATACAAGATGCCTCCGTTGTAGGTCGTCGACTCATTGGAAGCTCCTCATTGAAGACATTGGAGGCGATTGGCTTCGAGGCCTGTGATTGGCGGCGGTAGTTGGAGTACGGTGACCTGTTCCGTGTATTATGGCACTTTATGGCTCAGAGACAACACTTCCTCACGGCACAGGAATCTACTATATACAAATGCAATATTGACGTTAGTACCGAATAATTACTAGGCGTTCTAACGAACCCGCGCGGGCGTGGCGGCCTAAAGCTTGACGGTTGACGCAAACCTTATTGTCTGTTGGCCACAGTAGCTTCAACCAGTAACAGATTCACAATCATCGGCGTCGCTCTTTGTGCTAGCTTCCCAATAAACTAGCTCCGCTGAGGCGGCATGCTGTGTCAATCTATCACTTCTTCCCCACACTACAGATCTCTCCTTGATTGATCTATCACCTTTTTGCTATGAGCTCACTCAACTCTCCTCTAACTGGTCTCCCAATCAGCCTTGAAGAGGCAACAGTCAAGTCTCTACCCGGCGCAGTGTGCTATGTTACTGATTTCATAACCAAAGCAGAAGAAGCTGCCATTCTTGAGAAAGTGAGTATGATATTAAGAGTTACCCGAAGGCCACCACTGATCATTCGAAGATAGCAACAGCTCCGAAGCCTCGATGGAAGACGCTCACTCATCGACGACTGCAGACATGGCCGTCCGATCTGGCAAACAACACTCTACTGGAGTCTCCCCTGCCATCATGGCTCATCACCCCGATAATTCCACGAATCCTCTCTCTACCAGTGAATGCCGATGATCCAAGCCTGAATATGTTCTCCGATAGCCCTCACAAAGCACCGAATCACGTATTAATCAACGAATACCGTCCAGGACAAGGCATCATGCCACACAAAGACGGCTCTGCCTATCATCCCGTTGTTTGCACTGTTAGCCTGGGCGCAAGTCTCTGTCTTGACATCTACGGTAGCAATGAGCATGGCGGCACTGAGAGCGGGCCACGGTGGAAGATCCTACAGGAGCCGAGGAGTTTGTTAATCACAGCGGGGGAGATGTACACAAATTATCTGCACGGAATTGCCGATGTGACAGCGGACACAAATCTTAATTCTGAGACGGTTGCGAACTGGGATCTGCTAGGGCATCCAGACCTTCTGAAAGACGGCGTAAACGAACGACAAACTCGTACGAGCCTCACATATCGGGATGTGCTGAAGGTGTCAAAGCTGGGCCGTAGGTTGTTTGGCACAAAGGCTTGATCTCTTCAGATATCAGTTTCGCGACTGAGCAGCATACCCTTCCATCCAGGTCTCTTGTGTGTGTATATGGCATCCGAAGTCATTGCCTATATGTCGTGCACTCAATAAACGTAGGGGAAGATTCTCCATCTACCGTCAATGCTCTTCGCTCCAAACTTCTCGCTGTACCATGCTCTAGTGGACTCCGCGGTGATGCCCAAGTTGATAGCCTCGAAGAAGACCACGGTAGCAATGGTTTTATTCAAAGGTTGACCTGGGGGTGCTCCGGCGATTGCGAGTCCAAGGTATATCACACATTCGCTCGTATAATGCGGCGAGATGATGCCACGGAATAATCCTTCCTCGGGCAGAGAGTACTTCTTAAGACTTGCGAGATAGGTGTGGCACGTGTTCTGGGCTATTGAGCCGAGGAGGAAGAGAGGCACGCCGATGACAGTCTTGACGGAAGGCTGAATCATGATGGCCAAAGATTGGAATGAGATGTCATTGGCAAGTATAGAAGCTTTTACAATCAGCAAATAAATATTATGGGGCAGACAGGCGTCTTTCTTACGTATTCCTTCTACCCAGACAACCACTCCCATAGCCAAATAAAAAACAAGTCCAAGTAAATATGCCGCAGCGCCCATTTTGGATGTAGTCGGCTTAGTGAGGGTAATGCATTCATACAATCTGCGGCAGCCTTGGATGGCCATGAGTGCCCAAACTAGAACCACCTGATCGATCGCCATGGACGGCTCATTGACAGAGTTGTCTAAGTGCAGCTCTGCTAGGAATCTGAAAACAAATCCCTTGCAGGCAACCTGTATCGCCCAGAATACGGACGACGCCACTGAGGCTATGTAGAAGTGAGTAAACCACGAGTGAGGTACACCAAATGATGCCAGCAAGTCCATCAACTGTGACAATCGACTGTTGGACTCGGGCTCCTCGATAGGCTTGCCATGCTCGTCCTTCTCTTTGGTGGCTCGGGCGCCATATTTCAAGAATCGCTGTTGCAAAGACGGCACAACGTTGAATGACACAAGCAGTGTAGACGCAAGAAGATAGAAATTTCGCAAAACCTGTACGGGATCCATCTTTGCGCGTTAGAGCACCTCTGGCACATTCATCAATTTGTTCGGTCGTGTTTGATAAACATGCCAGGCGGCCTTATATATTTACGGTCGGAGCGGCAAATATTTGATCCGTACCCATTCTTGAATTTATTTCCCCGCCACAACCCAAACTGCCATATCTGCATTTGATACCAGTTTGCGCAACGACAACACCGTGGGAAACCACGAAACAACTTTAGCAAGGGGGCATTTGACAAGAGATACAACAGCAATCATGTCGACCACAGTAGATAAGGTATGCGCCGCCATTGCCGCCCTCATAGACGAACGTAGCTAACACCGTGGAACAGATCAAGCACATCGAGGAGGAGGTCCGCAAACCCCCACCCACAATCCCCCAATGGTAAAATCTAACAGGCCCCGCAGATGGCCAAGACCCAAAAGAACAAGAACACCTCCTTCCATCTTGGTCAACTTAAAGCCAAACTTGCGAAACTCAAGCGCGAGCTCCTCACTCCTTCATCTAGCGGTGGTGGTGGCGGGGCAGGCTTCGACGTTGCGCGCACAGGTGTCGCCTCCGTGGGCTTCATCGGCTTCCCCTCCGTAGGAAAGAGTACACTGATGAGTCGGCTGACTGGTCAACATTCCGAGGCTGCGGCATACGAGTTCACAACGCTCACAACGGTTCCTGGTCAGGTGGAGTACAACGGTGCGAAGATTCAGATGTTGGATTTACCCGGTATTATTGAGGGAGCGAAGGACGGAAAGGGTCGTGGACGACAGGTTATCGCCGTGGCGAAGACGTGCCATTTGATTTTTATCGTGCTGGACGTGAATAAGCCGTTGACGGACAAGAAGGTCATCGAAGCGGAACTGGAGGGCTTCGGGATCCGTGTCAACAAGTCGCCGCCGAATATCGTCTTCAAGAAGAAGGATAAGGGTGGACTGAGCATCACCAACACCGTCCCGCTGTCGCACATCGACCATGATGAGATCCGTGCCGTCATGCAGGAGTACAAGATTAGCAGCGCAGATATCGCCATTCGCTGCGACGCCACCATCGACGACTTGATTGATGTGCTCGAGGCGAAGAGCCGGAGTTACATCCCTGTTATATACGCACTGAACAAGATTGATGCCATCAGTATCGAGGAGCTGGACTTGCTGTACCGGATTCCAAACGCTTGCCCGATTAGTTCCGAGCACGGCTGGAATGTCGACGAGCTCATGGAGCAGATGTGGGAGAAGCTAAAGCTAGTCCGCGTATACACCAAGCCGAAGGGCAAGCTGCCCGATTACTCATCTCCAGTCGTTCTGCGCTCCACACGCTGCACCGTCGAAGATTTCGTGAGTTCCCTTTCTCCCTCCATTTTACCCTCCCCTTTTTTGCTACCCCTTTCACTCAGCTCTCCACCGTGCACACGACACTAACGTTCCACCTAGTGTAACGCCATCCACAAAACCATCGTCGACGACTTCCGCTCAGCGATCGTTTACGGCAAGTCCGTCAAGCACCAGCCCCAGCGCGTCGGTCTGAGCCACGAGCTCGGGGATGAAGATATCATCACCATCGTCAAACGCTGAGCCCAAACCATCTAAAAGACAGAAAACGATAAGGATCCGCGGTTGTAAATGAGGAGTTGGCGTTGAAGGATTAAATGTACGGAGGGCATAGGGCAGGCTACGACTAGAGAGGGCAGTCGAAGGACGGTGCCAAAACCTAAGGACAGATGGGTCCTATAGGGGCGGTATGCATACGTACAGACGTAGAAGTGGACAGTGATGCCTTGGTTCCATGAGACGACCGGCAGATTTAAAACACTTCAAATTTATATATATATATATATATATATATATATATTTTTCGGATTTCACATTTAATAAGCGGCTGCAAGTGGGCAGTTGAAGAAGTAGAAGTAGAAAAGGAAGAGGAAGAAGAAACAGGGTTCTCAATCCACTCTCCCTTGGATTTGTTGCTTGGGAAAACAGACTACAGAGTATTGCGTGGTTAATTTGCCTCGATCAATGCGACATGAGAACTGGAATACCGTTCAGTACAGAGTTCACCTATATGGCCCCAATAGAATAGATATATGCCACCGCTGCCTTCTCGTCACCGCTACCTTCTCGTCACTACCGCATTCTCGTCGCTACCACGAACTGCCGTCACTCCCCGCTTCACCGTCATTATTTTGGCGCCGTATTCTCTTATAACTATAATTAAAACTTGCTGTTATTCATTATGTGAGTAAAAGTGGGTTGCCCGCAACCCATAGCTCTCTGGGTATGCGTCGTTTGTATCTTGTGGTTGTCATTAGAATGGGCGGTCACTATTCTAGTATTTAGCTCGAGAAAATTGAGATTGTTAGTTCATTGACGTTGGTGCTACGATATCTCGAGGTGGGATGGAGATGATATAGACGATGTAAACTGCGTAGCTTCGAGACAGGGGTTGACTGCGAAATAGGGTGTTGTGCTTGTATATCTTGAATATATATCCTGAACTCCAATTTGCATCCCTTCGGTCTAGCCCGCAACAAAGGTATATCCCAAGACCAAAAAATCCTCAATGCTTGTGTATCATCCCAACTCCCACCATCCCTTAAAATCACCCTGAAATCAACACTCCGATCAAGAGGTAATACAGTGGTGCCACATAACCCCCCTTAAAGCTCTGTCTGTGTCGTCCCAGTCGTCTTCATAATCCCCCACTTCCACTCCGCCTCATCACTCCCTCCCTTCAACTTACTCTGACTATCCCACCCAGCCCCCTCAAACTTCCCCCACCTCGCCTCCCCCCTCTCATCCGCATCCGCATGAGCCTCAATCAGCGTCGTCAGTCCCGTCCCCGGCGCCTTGCCCGCATTATTCCGCATCCCAAACGTCTCCCCCCCGGACGCCTTATTCTGGACATAGCCCGAGTTGCCCGCTAGGTGGCTGCTCTTGAAGAGTGGGCGCAGGGTCGCGGCCGCGGAGGCGGTGATGCCGATGCCAGTTTCGATGGTGGACCAGATGGCGACGTCGGTGGTGACGTAGAGGAAATCTTGGACGTTGGCGAGGTCCTTGATGAAGGGGATGCGGATGATTGTTGCGGTCGAGGAGCTGGGAGGGGGTTAGTGGTCTGTGGGTTTAAGGGGTAGGGGACGGTGGGCTCCGGGGGGACGTACATAGCGCCGACGGAGAGAATAGCAGCAACGGACATCTTGGTGCGCATGTCCATTTGGATGTGCCAGATCAGGAGGATGGGCATGAGACCCAGTCCCCAATCTGCCACACAAGAGATGGCGGAATAGGCGTAGGTCGCATCAATGGTGATTTTCGGATTGACACAGGTTCCTGTTCCGCCCGCGTACCGCGTCCAGAAGTATGAGGAAGGGCGGCATTGCAGGACGGATAGGAGGAAGTAGAAGGCGCTGTAGGCTTCGACGACACCTATGATGACGTAGATGATTATCCGGGAAGCCTGGGTGACGGCGAGGCGTAGTAAGAAAATGCTGATGCTGAGCTTGAGCGCCATGTTGGACAGGACGTAGACAGGTTCACATGCCCACCACCACTGGATGCGGTCAGTTCTGTTCGAGCTGGCTTGAGACAGGTGGTTCTTACTTTGAACACAACTGGGATGTCTTCTAGTGGGATGTCTGCAACATGTCGTCCGGTTCCGTAATGCACGCCAGTAATAGCAAATGAGCAAAAGAAAGTGAAGGATATCTGGAGTTTATGGTCAGTATTTCGATTTGTACAGGTAAATCGGCGGCGATATAACTTACCCACGCAATGACAGCGAACCAATCGTCCAGGCCAAAGGCCCCGACAACGACCGCCCTACAGTAGCACCGTAGAATAACCCCAATCGTGCTGAGAGCGAAGAACAAACCAGCCACAGCACTCACTTGAGGACCTCGATCAGCTAGCGTCGCCGTCATTGTTGAAATATCGCATGCGTAGATGGTCCGGCTTTAGCGGAGAGATGGATGGGGGTTTGATATAAAGTCTTCGTCCCATCTGTCGCTTTCTGACATGACGGCTAGTGTGTCACAACGCCCGATTGTTGATGGTAATCATTGGGACACTACTCAGTTTGCAGCGAAGCAGAATTATATGCGGACGGGAGTGACACTGGAGTCGAGACTTGCGTGTAAGAGCGGGAGGATGATTATAGCAACTCTAAGGGAGTAACGGACGTAACCATGGTAAGACACGCGAGGCCCACTGTCGGGCATGGTATAATCCAATAAATGCTCAACGGGTACGATTAAAGTTGGTTGAGAACGCGTATAGCGACGGCGATACTCTCAAGTCTGAAAGCTATGTTGTCGCCCGATGTGGATGCCTTGGCAGTGCTATTTCGCTCCACAACCCCTCGTTGAATATAAATTGGCCGTTGAACGCGCGACAATGGGGACAGAGGGCACGAATATAGGTTAGTGCCGTCTCCAGTGAAACCCGTAAACGTGCCGGATCCGCCTCCCAGACTAGAGAGGGAAAGACTTATCGTCAAAAACTGCAGCTTCGATGCAAGTGTGGCCATCGCCACCCACATCGCCCCATAATGAAGCCAACACGAGGCCAAGGGCCCCGCCGAGTTTCACATTAGGGCCCGCTGAATCTCCTATTTAGGGTCGCCTTGGGTCATTTATGATTCCACCACCGTACCTAACGGGGGCCAGCCCTTTTTTCGTGACCATTAGAGAGGATTAATCGTATAAAAGGGTCTTAGACTGACCCACACTGTCTTACGTAGCTAATAATGAGGCTAGGACATAGTATGATATTTTACCGCCAAGCCCATACTAGTAGTATTTCTGGAAGGTAATATTCTGACAGCCAATCAGTGTTACTATACGAAGACGCTTCTGACATAATCTGTATACTAAAATAGTATATAGCGAAAGCCCCAGACGAGCGAAAGCCTCACTTAGATGTGCCGACGCGACAATAATTGCGATAGATCCACCACAACACTAGAGATCAATTGAAACTACCCGGAGTCCTCTTCCTCAGACGTGTCTATTACAATCTGACAAGTGTGCGCATTGTGCTTAGTCCCACCACACTTGCCACAGCAACGTGCACGTGTTTCTTTCCTTGGCTTCCGACCACTACTTGCCTTTATTTCCTGCTCTACCTGCTGCACAACATCCCTCTCATCCTACGCCCCTTGTTGACTAAGTGATCCTCCTTGCTGTAGTCGTGTTTTTCTAGCTCTCCTACGCTTGCTTAGCACTTCATTTGCCTGTCGTAGGTTTTGGTTCTCTGCTTTCAACAACGCTAATTGATGCATTATTTGCGATGCACCCTTTGTAAACTGGTCGACAGCTGCATATATTGAGGTTGGAGAGCTATTTTGATGGCGTGAAATCCGAGTTTTAATAAATGTAGACTGTGACATAGCTTCAACTAGGTTGTTTAGTGTCTGGGAAACCCAAGGTTGAGCGGTATTTAGGCAGGTAGTTGGAGGTGTTAGTGTCTGAAACCTAAGATCAAGTGTAGAGATCACACTCTAAGGGTTGAATGGGAGAAGTCCTGCGCCTCGGAAGCCTCCTTAAATGTTGCTTTCTGTCATTGCATGTTAAATGCAGTGTGAAACCCCACCATTACACATGTTTCTCAGTGTTGCCTGAGTACTACTCAGAGTACTACTCAGAGATCTTCGAGTAGAGTACTGTTTTTTGGGCTCGAGTATAAAAATGAAAACATGATTGATAGCTATATAGACTATGGAAATACAGTAACTATGCATCCTCATCTTCCTCTGAATCCTCACCTGCTGATACCACGCCCCAATTCCTAAGACATATAAGATATCATAGTGTAGATGGTGCTAATCTGTTCCATTTCTTTGTAATAATATCGCCACCAACACTAAACACTCGCTCAGATTCCGCTGATGTAGCAGGAATTGCTAAATGATCTTTGGCAATTGCGGCAAGTATTGGATATTGGTATTGCTTACTTGCCCAAAACTTGAGTATATCAATTTTAGGTCCAAGAGTTGGCTTGTTCATCCAGCGCTTCCATTCTGGATCTAATCTGGCTGCCGTTGTGAGATATATACAGAATCAGACTCTGTCTTCTTAGAATTCTCATCTTCTAATTCCTCATCTTGTATACTTTCCATAACCTTTGCTGCTTGGATGTCTAATGCCTTGCCTGAATATTTATAATAACAGTCTTGCCATTGTGCTTTTGCCCGCTTTTTTCGCATGTCTTGAATGCTTTTTGGCCAAATAATATCAAATACGTTAAAGTTATAATGTGGGTCACATATTGTAGCTATAGTTGAATGACTCCACTGTTGATTTGTTGCAAGTGTATAATACTCATTAAGCTTTTTTAATGCTGCTAAACAAGCATCGTATATTGTGCTATTCTCTGTATATCCAGCTTTAAAGACTTCAAGCTTTTGCGTCATTCTCATATACTGTATAACAGCATAATTTAAAGTAGGATAAGAAGAGCCTTGTAGCTTCTCTGTTGGGCATATAAAGATATAGAAAAAATTTAATAATGCCTTCATCGTTTGCCAATCTTTTGCTGTTAAAGCTATATCTTTCATACTTAAATCAAGCTGTTGAGATGCACAGAGAGCTGTTATTGTACCTTGTAATCTTAACGCTAAATGAAGCATATAATATGTTGAGCTCCATCGTACTGGCATATCAAGGCTAAGCTGCTTAAACTCAATATTTGCAGCTTCACATTGCTTTTTTAAGGCATCCTTCCATTGTCGTCGGTTGCGAAACACATATATATGACGCCAAAGTTTGCTAAGAACAGCTACTGACTCATTTTCTGGTAGTGATGAAACTCGGGCAGCTCCATACTCAAGGCGGTATGCGTTTGGCTCATCTGCTGGTACTGCCTTTAACGATGTTAAAGCAGCTTGAACAGCAAGGTTTATAATGTGCCCAATACATCTGACATCGCCTTCTTTTGTTGTATATGCCCATGGTTGCTGTAATGTAGTTTTGTTCTTGCATGCTAAGTTCTCATATTCTGAGAGCATGGTAGTGTTTGCAGAAGCGTTATCACGAGTGATAGTAAAAACTGCAGGAGTAATACCATAGTCATCTGTAACAGCTATTAACTGCCCTGCAAGGTATTCATGCCATACTGACATTCGTTGCACTCAGTTTGCTATCAAACTCAAGAGCAAACTTAGAAATCTCCTCCCCAAACCTACAAGTCACTATACATATTTTGGCTTGTCAGACCAACAACAAGAGCAATATTACTCAACGATTGCTACAACCCTCTATGATTAATTACACGTCATTGCTCCTTAGTTACTGGGCCGATATGACCACATAGCATATCTCTACAACCCTCTATGATTCATTACATGACATCACTCCTTAGTTACTGGGCTAATACTACACATGACATATCTCTATCAACTAGAGGCCTAGGAACATGAACGATAGCTCCAAAAGCTTCTACAACCCTCTATGATTAATTACACATCATCACTCCTTAGTTACCCACAAGATTGGTTAAGTTATGACATAATCTGTCTATAGGGGTACTCTGACCTTGGACCTCCTTTCACTTCCTATAGGCTATGAACCTAGGAGATGGTTCTATGGGATTCTCTTACGTCGACTACAGTTACCAAGCCTGGTTAGTCTTGGAAAGTCTTGGAAAATGAGAGAACTACACTCCTTTAGCATAAATAGGATTGCCCTTTCCTTAAGAAAGGGCAAGCAGACAATACAGTAAATCGACTATCACATACTTCCACGTCTTTTCTGTAAGGACACAGGGCACCCAGCTCACAGTAATAGCATATGAGAGTGCGAGTCAGAGGCTAAACGGATGCTATCCTATAGGTCTACTACGAAGGATACAAAAAAGATGATGGGGAACCCCGTCAGTCGATTTTCTCAAGTATCCGAAACCCATCCGACTCGGTTCCGACTCGGTTAGGCCACCCAAATGATCACACGTGACCCCGCGGCTACCTGGAGTCTACTCCCTAGAATGAGAGATGAGAAGGCATCCTTACATTTTCCAAGCTTCCAAGCATTGATCTTGTTACTCCTTGTTTCTGAAAAGTCAGTGAGGTGCTAACCTCTGACTTATCCCTTATCCCTGAGTTCTCAGACTCAACATTTGTTACAACTTGTCTAAACCACTCCACTACATGATACACCTGATTGCTTCGTTGTGGAATAGTCTAAGCTATGACCCTTTGGCTCTGTTTCCTAAGACAGTGTGTTGTCTTAGTAAAATCATCCCTTCCTTGGGTGGCTAGATTCTCACATCTGGTGCACCCACCATTACACTGACGTTTGGCGCGTCACGTGATTCAAGTAGTCGATTTGCCATATCCATCTGCAGAGGAAATCCTTTAGCAGCTAGGTCGAGTATGTTTTGAACAAGAACTGACTCCTCTAGGTTTGTCAATTTCTGTGAATTGGCTGGAATATCATGTCGTGTAGGTATACCACAGTTCTAGTGTCAGAGCTTCTCATAGTTAACTTTATAGAGCTCCTCTACAGCTCTTGCGCTTAGCTTTGGGTTGGATTTCATAGCTTGGAGGGCTGAAATAACGGCTCTTTCATCATTTTTCTAGTACATCATTTATAGTGGAGAAATGTAGTGTTTTATGTAGTTGTCACGTTAGCACATCTAAGTGAGGCTTTCGCTTGTCTAGGGCTTTCACTAATCGTCGGATCCACCTGGTCGCTTCGCTCCCAGTCGGAATAAGCAAGTTGTCTTGTGGGAAGCAAGATGTCTTGACTCGCTAAACCTACCACTTTAAATTAAAGCAAGTATTTATGTATAGTAATATATAGTATAAGGTACTTTATTCAATTTAATATAAACGGAACTTCTGACTCATCACTATCTGATTCTCCGTGCCCATTGCTTTCTGCCTCCACCTCTACCTCTACTTCTGCCTCTGGATCAGGGATTAGAGTAAAGACCTCAATTGGGATAAACTCTTTTGCTCGGGTAAGCCTTTTGATCTCCTTCTTTCTCTCTCTCTCTCTTCTGTGCCTTAATTCCAGCTTTGTGTAATTCCTTCTGGGCTTGAATAGCTTCTGACCTTGCTATGCTTGCTACTTGCTTTGCTTGCTTGTCAACTTCCTTCTTCTCCTTTAATCGAATTGCAGTATGGGCTTGTGATGCAGTTAAAGCTCCACCAACTTGTAGAGTGTGACGGCTTTTTGTTCTATGGTTGATATTTGTAGAAACATCAGTGTTGCCCGAGTACTACTCGACTCAAAGAAATCTGAACTACTCGAGTAGTACTTGAGTAGTTGCCAAGACAGTCAAGAGAGCGGGGTAAGGACGTAGACAGAATTATAGCATAGGCAAAGTGAAGCTTTCAATGACTTGAATATTAAAATGCCTCTCAAGATCCACTCTTGCCCCTACCACTTGTACGCATGCCTGTACAGCCTCAAGACCAACTGTTACCAGATTCTGACTCAATCCTCTTTGCAAAGGGTCTATACTCTCGTACTATTCTTGATAATGCGCCTTTAAGAATATCATTTAAGTGCTTGCAGCCACATTGCACATATACACCATCACAACCTACAAAGATGCAGACAACAAGTAATCTTTGGAAGCATTTAAAGACACAACATCCAGCAATACATGCACAATATAGGAAAAAGCATGTTCAAGACGGAGATACACAGCCTTCTTCTTCAACTACAGCTACATTTTTTCAGCCTCACAAAGTACCTAGCCATGCACCAAATTCGTCAAAATTTAGAGAGCTTCTACTTTCATTTATTGTGTCTAATAACCTACCATTGCGGACATCTGAGAGTCTATCCTTCCAGCAGCTTGTTAGCCATTTAAATCCAACAACACTTGTAATTGGACGGACGACAATTGCAAGAGACTTGCAACGGATATTTTGCATTCATAAAGCAAGGTTACAACTTGAATTACAGCAGCATAGACAATACAGTAAATCGACTATCACATACTTCCACGTCTTTTCCAAGCTTCCAAGCATTGATCTTGTTACTCCTTGTTTTTGAAAAGTTAGTGAGGTGCTAACCTCTGACTTATCCCTTATCCCTGAGTTCTCAGACTCAACATTTGTTACAACTTGTCTAAACCACTCCACTATATCATACACCTGATTGCGCGTTGTGGAATAGTGTCATGACACTCCTTCGATATTTGTGTCATGACCCTTCGATTCGCTTTAGTCTCTAGTACTTATTTCACTATGTCATTCACTTCACCTGCTTCGCTCACTTCGCTCACTTCGCTTCACTTGCTGACCTAGATCAGCCCAAATGTTGACTACTGGCTTAGGCTCTTGTTATTGGCTTGCTGCACTAGGGCTCGCTTAGCTAGGGTTCGGTTAATTAGTGCCTTCACTTATTTGGCACTAGGGATTTTTACTGTTATATAAGCACTTATTGCTTATGTCTCTTATTGATCTTTAGCTAGCAAATTATATACTACTTGGCCTTCTTGCAATTCCTCCTGCTTCGACTTACTTTGCATTCCCTTACTCGAGTCGAACCACTTGGCCAACCTGTTAGTCTCACCACTTGACCCCTGTGGTATAAAGTATATGCTTTGGAGCCTGAACTACTATACCTTGTCCTACTGCTTCGAGTATTGAAGTCTTCACATTATACTTCGGATACTTCTGCAGACTTGAAGGTCAGCCTCGGTTCGAACTGTCCTTACACTTTGCTAGCTCAAAGTTCCAGCTTCAAATCACATACTCTATATCTTCTTCAACTTCGACGTCTCCCACCTTCAGAAACATGAACCAAGAGAATCAACCCCAATACTCTGCTGCTGAGCAAGAGATTCTGAGGCTTCAGAATATGGTGGAAACTATGGGAGCCACACTTCAAGAAATACAGTCCCATCAGCAAACCACTTTTACCTCTTCAGAAACCCCTACAACAGTTCGACCTTCGGAACCAAAGGTTAATCAACCTGACACCTTTTCTGGCACTAGAAATAAAGTGACTTCGTTCCTGAGCCAACTGGATATCTACTATACACTTCGACCTTCGCAATTCTCTTCAGATAGAGATAAAATCTTCTTTGCAGCCTCTTTCCTTCGAGACTCAGCCTTTCACTGGTTCGAACCTCAACTTCGAATTCTCACAGAACATGCTTCTGGATCCTTAGAGGAACTGCCTGGAAATGTGGTTACAACTTACCTCGAATTTCGAACTTCGCTTTGAGCTACCTTCAGTGACATTGATGAAGTTGCAACTGCTGAGAGGCAACTCAAAGCCCTTCGACAAACAACTTCGGCTTCATTCTACACTACTGAGTTTCAAAGGATAGTCTCTCACCTTCAATGGGACAAAGAGACCCTAATCTTCTTTTATTATAATGGTTTGAAAGACAACCTCAAGGATGAACTTGCCAGAGATGAGAAGCCTTCAACTTTGAATGACCTCATTGAGAAATCCATTAAGATTGATAATCGACTTTTCGAACGAAGGCGCGAACGCAACTTCGGTCGATCTTCGCAACCCTTCATTCCCCCTCGGCCTCGATTTACTCCTGAACCTATGGACTTAGATGCTTCAATGTCTTCAAAAACATCTACCTTCAACAAGCCTAGCAACCCACCTCCTAGGACAACAAATAGAGCAACTTCGAATTCTCAAGGAGCTTCAGGAAAGCTAACTCTCGAAGAACGAACTTATAGGTTCGAAAATAAACTTTGCCTCTATTGTGGCCTAGCTGGCCACCAAGTCAAGCAATGTAACCTTGCTAGGCAGAAGAACTCAGTCTCTGCTTCAATCCCTTCAGAATTCCTCCAGACTGAGGATTCCCATGCCTATGACTATGAACTTGGGTCTTCGAAAAACGAAGAGACTCGGCAAAACTAGAACCCTGTTTGAGTCCCTCACCAAGGTTAACAACTCACCAAGCTTTGACTGACCAAAACTTGGATATGTTCAACCCTTCGACCTCTGGAACCTCACTTGGCCTCTCCTTGTCTGCTTCGAAAACAGCAATTAGTGGCAACCAATCTAAACATTTTGTTATATCCCTTGGACTTCACATCTCGACTTTCACCCTTCGGACCATAGCTATGATTGACTCTGGAGCTACTGGTAACTTTATGAGTAAGGACTTTGCTTCCTTAAAGAACATCCGACTGCTTCGGAAAGCAGTACCTCAACAACTATTTTTAATAGATGGAACACCCATCTCTTCGGGCTTCGTTAGCCACACCACTTCAACTTTAGACACTCAGATTCGAGCTTCGACACTTCGCAACTCTGCAACCCATTCAGAAAAACTTGCCTTCGACATAATTCCCATGACATACCCCATTATATTAGGGATGCCATGGCTTCAGAAACATGCCCCAGTCATAGACTGGGAGAACTTCAACTTAAAATTAGATTCAGAATACTGCAAGGAAAACTGCTTCGCAAAATCAATTTCGAGTTCACCTTCAAGTTCTAGGGCTATCAACATTGCCAAAGTCTCTGCTTTGGAATTTGAAAAAGCTTATAACTCCCATGACATTCAAGCATGTTTTGCTATATACATCTCAGACACCTTGACTTCAGAATCCTCAGCTCTAGATATGGCTCAGGATGAAATTTCAGGCATTGCTATGCCACTTCGAGAACCTTCGGGCATTGCTATGCCACTTCGAGAACCTTCGGTCATTGACATGCCACTTCGAGAACCTTTGGGCATGGCTATGCCACTTCGAGAACCTTCGGGCATTGACATGCCACTTCGAGAATCTCAGAACACCATAAACGGTAGTTTGTATAAAGATTGTACTCAAACTTTGACTTCGGACGCAGTGATGTCAACTTTGGACACTATGCTGTCAACTTTGGACACTATGCTGTCACCTTCGGACACTATGCTGTCACCTTCGGAACACAGTGCTCTAGCCTCAGCTGAGGGAGCAAATACTGGTTCACCTTCAACTTCGAGTAAAGACATGAATATAGATATTCCCAAAGTCTACTTCGGTACTTCGACCTATTTGATGAGCAAAAGGCTAAGAAGCTGCCAGCTCATAAACCCTATGACCATGAAATACCTTTAGCAGAAAACACCATGCCACCATTTGGACCAATCTATGGTCTTTCAGAACCTGAACTTCGAGTACTTCGAGAATATATTAATGAGAACCTTCTAAGTGGTTTCATTCGACCTTCGACTAGCCCAGCTGGGGCACCCATCTTGTTTGTGAAGAAGAAAGATGGTTCACTTCGACTTTGTGTAGACTACAGAGGCTTGAATGCTATTACTGTAAAGAACAGATATGCTTTACCTCTAATTGGGGAACTTCTTGATCGGCTTCGGACAGCTAAGATATTTACAAAACTCGATCTTTGAGGAGCTTATAACCTCCTTCGAATTACTTCTGGGGATGAATGGAAAACTGCATTCAGAACTCGGTATGGGCACTTCAAATACCAAGTCATGCCCTTCGGTCTTGTCAATGCACCTGCTTCATTTCAGGCTCTAGTCAATGATGTGCTTCGACCTTACTTGGACATCTCTGTGGTTGTCTACTTAGATGACATTCTGGTCTTTTCAGATTCCGAAGCTCAGCATAAGAATCATGTATGCCAGGTGCTAGATGCTCTAGCTAAGGCAAGCTTGTATGTTAAGCTTGAAAAGTGTGAATTCCACACCACTTCAACAGATTTCTTGGGTTTTGTCATATCAGCAGATGGCATCTCAATGGACAAGTCTAAAACAGACTCCATTGCTTCATGGCCTCAACCTTCGAGTGTTAAGGAAATTCAATCCTTCCTAGGATTAGCCAACTTCTACAGAAGATTTATTCATGACTTCTCAGGACTTGCTTCGGGACTTCACCTCTTGCTTCTGAAGAATGGGCCCTTCAAGTGGACATTACTTCAAGAAGACTCATTCAACAATTTAAAAGCTTCATTCAAACTCGGACTACTTCGACACTTTGACCCAGACCAACCTGCATTTTTGGAAACAGATTCCTCAGACAGAGCAATAGCTGGAATCCTATTGCAGAAGAATGGGAAAGGAAAACTTCAACCTGTTGCCTTCTTCTCTAGAAGTTTACAGCCTGCTGAGAGAAATTATGAAATCTTTGATAAGGAGATGCTTGCAATTGTTGCTTCGCTTCGAGAATGGAGACCCTACCTCGAAGGTGCGAACCACCGAATTACCATCTTCACAGACCACAGCAACTTGACAACATTTACAACTTTGAAAAAGTTAAACCCTAGGCAAGCTAGGTGGTCAGAACTACTCAGTTCTTATGATTTTGTTATTAAGCATGTGTCTGGTGCTTCGAATGCTCGAGCCGATGATCTCTCTCGAAGATCAGACTATATGGCTTCAGAACCTTCGATCCCCACCTCTACTAAAGACTCAGCAAATGGTTGCTTCGACATCAGTAGGAGGTGAACCCACTCTCGAGGACCAGATTCGGTCTGCTTCAACCCATGATGTGTTTGCTAGAAACACAATCACTTCGCTTCGAGCCTTAGATTTCAGTAAACCTGCACAGCTTCGCTCATACTCACTATCTTCAACAAACCTACTATTATGCAATGGATTATTATACATACCACAAGACAAACCCCTTCGACTTCGGATCATAAGGCTACATCATGATCATCCAGCCTCTGGACATTTTGGCTTCGCAAAGACCTTCGCTTCAATAACTCGAGTTTATTATTGGCCTAAGCTTCGGCAATACCTCGAAGACTATATTCGAAGTTGCATACAGTGCAACTTGAATAAGCCTGCAAGACATAAACCTTATGGACAACTTCAATCACTACCTGTGCCACTAAGACCATGGACTTCGATTTCAGGAGACTTAATTGTCAAACTACCCCCTTCGACATCTTCGCTTTATGGGAAAACCTTTGACTCCATCATTGTATTTGTGGACAGGTTTTCAAAAATGGCACACTTTGTTCCTTTCAATGAATCTATGGATGCTATGCAATTCGCTCGAATCTTCTTCGAATTCATATTTAAGCTTCATGGCTTACCTTTTGATATAGTCTCAGATAGAGGCTCGCTTTTCACTTCGGCTTTCTTCAGAGAACTTGCAAAGCTGCTCCAGATAATACAGAAACTCTCTACTGCATTCCATCCCCAGACTGATGGTCAGACTGAGATACTCAATTCGATCCTTGAACAATACCTTCGGATGTATGTTAATTACCCTCAGGATAACTGGGCAGACCTTCTGTGCTTTGCAGAATTTGCCTACAATGATTCGACTTCAGCTACTACTAGAGAAACACCCTTCTTCGTTAATTCGGGCTACAACCCCCGTTGGATCACTTCGAGCTTGACTTCAGAGAGAAGTCCTGCTGCTTCGGAACATCACCTCTTTCTTCAAAGTCTACACAAGTACCTCAAAACTGAGTTGCTTAGAGCTCAAGACTCTCAGGCATCTGCCTTTAATAGGAGGGTGCTGGCTTCGCCTGTCTTCGAAACTGGAGACTATGTATACTTGCTTCGAAAGCATATTAAGACAACTCGACCTTCGAATAAACTAGACCACAAGAAACTTGGGCCCTTCAAGATCCTACAAGTAATCCCAAAGAATGCATACAAGCTAGAGCTGCCTTTGACTATGAACATACACAATGTGTTCCATGTCTCACTCCTTGAGAAAGTTCATCCTAATTTGATTCGACCTTCGGTTCAAGAACCTTCACCTGTAGAGGTAGAAGGAGAACATCAATGGGAAGTCGAAGCTATCCGAAGACATAAAGGAACTGGAAATCGAACTAGATACCTTGTTAAATGGCTTGGGTTTTCAGAACTAGAAAACACCTGGGAACCTGCTTCGAACTTCGAACATGCACAAGACCTTTTACAGAGCTACAAGTCACAACATTCAATTGCATAAAAAATTGTTGTTTGGTTCAGAGAACCCCCAAGAGGGTTCCCCTTTAATTTTTTGATTTTCTAGTGTTTTTGGGTTTTATATTTTATAAAGCATAACTCCAAACTCCCTCGACCTTCGCACTTCGACCTTCAACTCACTCCTATGACATCTGTTCATGCAGCTTTATGCAACCTATTCAGAAGCCCTTGGAGCTTCTTGAACTCAATTGGAATATCAGTTTTGACCTCCTTGAGTTCCTCAACTACAGCCTTGACCTCCTTGAGTTTCTCTCCCAGCCTGCTCTCAAGCACCTCCACTCTTTGGAGTGCTTCGATGAGATTCGAATTATCAGCACTTCTAGCCTTTGCTTGTTCCAGCTGGAAGATGAATCCACCCTTAGTCCTCTTAGTTGTGGAAGCTTCAGAGGGTGTGTCTTTAGAAATCGCTCGCTTCGGTCTTCGGGCCACTAACATCACCTCAACTGGAGCAGCTCCAGCTGGCCCAATATCTTCATCCCCAACCTTGTCCCCTTCATCTTCAATCTCCTCTTCGACCTCTTCATCTTCGACCTCTTCGACTTCATCTTCAGCGCCCTCATCTTCAACTCCTTCAACTTCACCTTCGATTTCTTCATCCTCACTCTCTTCGACTCGATATAAGGACCCTGCTACCCTCTTTAGTTCCTTTGTCTCCTTTGCCTTCACTTCATTCCCCTTTGCCTCCTTTGCCTCCTTTGCCTCCTTTGCCTCCTTTGCCTCCTTTGCCTACTTCGCCTCCTTCGAAATAGTGAAAGAATAGGAATGAGCTTGTTTGATACACCAAGCACACTTCAATGATGTATGGCCAGACCAAGTGATGCAATCACTCGTCTTTGGCCTCGCTTTACATCAGTCACACTTCGGATCTTGGGCTTCACCATATTTGGTAATCTTCCCAAAGTTTTCCAACCTCAGCTCCTTCGGCGTCTTCGAAACGGCCTTCTTGAAAAAAAAACAAAAAAAAAAAATACTCAGAACCCTTTGGAACGCATCGGAAAATTTCAGAATCTCATGGAAACTTAAAGAAGAACTAAGTCAACTTCGAACACCCTCGGAAATTCATAGAAAATACAAGTTCTAGCAACTCAACTCTGTTTCCTAAGACAGTGTGTTGTCTTAGTAAAATCATCCCTTCCTTGGGTGGCTAGATTCTCACATCTGGTGCACCCACACCAGAATGGATTGGCTCTTGTAGCTCAATAACATCTGAGACTGTACATCGTAACTGCCACTTATCAGAGATCCAATGTGCTGTTACTGCAGCGTATTCAGAATAGTTGAGACATAAATATGTACTTACGGAGGTCATTCTCATTCTCCTTGAATTTTACGCAGAACAGTTCTATAGCATGTTGTACCCGTAGCGCCCGTTGTAGCATTGAATACCAGCTATTCCAACATGTTGAATTATCTCTCAACAAACATAGGTTATTGCTCATCAACTTAAAGCTGGCGATACGTTGTGGGCTGCGTTGGATATAAACTACAATGTTATGTAGTTTACCAAGTTGTAATGGTGGGTGCACCAGATGTGAGAATCTAGCCACCCAAGGAAGGGATGATTTTACTAAGACAACACACTGTCTTAGGAAACAGAGCCAAAGGGTTGTAGCTTAGACTATTCCACAACGCAGCAATCAGGTGTGTGATGTAGTGAAGTTGTTCAGACAAGTTGCAACAAATGTTGAGTCTGGGAACTCAGGGGTAAGTCAGAGGTTAACACCTCACTGACTTTTCAGAAACAAGGAGTAACAAGATGAATGCTTGGAAGCTTGTAAAAGACGGGGAAGTATGTGATAGTCGATTTACTGTATTGCCTGCTTGCCCTTTCTTAAGGAAAGGGCAATCCTATTTATGCCAAAGGAGTGTAGTTCTCTCATTTTCCATGACTTTCCATGACTAACCAGGCTTGGTAAATGTATTAGAAATCAAGTGCGACCCACAACTAGCTTGCTAATCATGTAGTGAACGTAAGAGAATCCCATAGAACCATCTCTTGGGTTCCTAGCCTATAGGAAGTGAAAAGGAGGTCCAAGGTCAGAGTACCTATAGATAAATTATGTCATAACTTAACCAATCTTGTGGGTAACTAAGGAGCGATGACGTGTAATGAATCATAGAGGGTTGTAGAAGCTTCTAGAGCTATCGTTCATGTTCCTAGGCCTCTAGTTGGTAGATATATGCCATGTGGTAGTATTGGCCCACCCCCTTAAGGAGGAGATTTTCTTAATAACTTGTTCAATGAGTGTTCAAATGATATGCCGTGATGTATGTAGCATAAACAGATGTAGTAGAAGAGTTTGCAGCAATCGTTGAGTAGTATTGCTTCTGTTGTTGGTGTGATAAGCCAAGATATGTATGGTGACTTGTAGGTTTGAGGAGGAGATTTCTAAGTTTGCTCTTGAGTTTGATAGCAAACTGAGTGCAACGAATGTCAGTATGACACAAGTGGACCTTTCTTTCTCCACTGCTCCATCTCTATTTCTGTCGGCGACGACAATAGCTCCGTATTATTATCCTGTGAGAGGTCCTCCTTATCACTTGCAAAGAGAAAGGCTTGAACAGCGAGGTTGATCACATGGCCGTTACACCGTAATATATGTCGCCTAGGGTCCCATATTATCTCATGCTCCTCTTTCAGCTTTTTCGAAAGCTCCTTGATCATTGTATCATTATTTGTTGCATTGTCCATTACAAAATAACCAACTTTTGAAGCAATGCCATAGTTGTTGATAACATCAAGAATTTCCACAGCTTGGTTCTCACCAGAATGCTCGCCATTAACTTCTCGTAGTGCAAGAACAGAGTTATCTAGATTACCAGTTGCTGATATATAGTGAGCGACAATGCCGAGGATTGCAAGGGAATTTGGAGAAGTCCATAAGTCCACTGTAAAGTGTATATTTGTAAGGGCAGCTTGAACAGCCTGTCGAATGATGACCTTCTCTTCTGTATATTTACGAAGGACCCAATCGTGAATTGTTGTCGAGCTATGAGGCAGCCATTCATTGATGGCTGGATTTAAATAGTTAAGCATGCTATATATATATTAATAAAAGCCTTAAATCATGAAAGGTAATACTACTTACGTGCGGAACTCGGGGATTGAAACCATTCGGAATGCAATTCCACATGCTACTATCCAGCGCACATAGAGATCTTCAAGAACATGTGGATCTAAAGGCCTAACAGCAGTGACATCGTTGAGTCTACGGCGTTTATGATTGATTGTGTGTGGCCTGGCAAAGGCTACAGCTATTGTGGATTGATATCCATCAATGCGTTGCTCTTGTGGTGTTTTCAAGTCAATGGAATGGCGCTCCTTTAAGTGCTTGATGATGATATTAGTGCCCCCACCAACAGTATACTCCTTAGAACAGAACTTGCAACACCAGGACTCCTTGCCGTAGATATTGAAGGTTATTTCATAACGTCCTACTTTTGTAAAGTCCCATATCGGTGATGTGCGTAGCTTAGCTACCTTTGACGTAGTACGGGAGGTAGATTGGGACGGAATAGAGCAGCCAATAGTTGATGAGGTTGTAGTATCCTGTTCAAACTGATTAAATTGTTCACTTTCGATAGTAGATACAATATCAGAAGGTTCAGAAGCCATGATGTAGGCTGAAGACGTAAGGATAGAATGAAGAGTTTTCATGACGACCTGAAAATTGTGAAAGGATCACGTGAAATACTTAAGTATTGCCAGTATAACACTGAAGTATGGCCAGCAATACTTAAGTATAATACTAGCGGCGGAGAGGTGTTATGATACGGGTCGTATGAATACTTAAGTATAATACGGGCCCGTATACGAGAGCCTCCCGTATACGGGCAATACTACTGGAAACACTGCCCCCATTTCAATATGAAGTCCTCCATATATTCCCTACTGGCAACCGCCCTCCTCGTCACAGCAGACAACCGCCTCCAACACCCTCCTCGCCGCCCGCCACGTCATCCACTCCTCCCCCGGCCTCACCCCCCCCGCCTCCCTCCTCTCTCTCACCCGCCAAGGCAAAGTCGGCGGTATAATCCTCTTCGGCGAGAACGTTGACGCCAACCTCCCCACTGTCGTCGCCAGCTTCCAAACCGCCTACGCCCAGAGCCCCGCCTACGACGGCCACCCCCTCCTCATCGTCACCGACCAGGAGGGCGGCCAAGTCCGCCGTATTCCCGGCGGCCCTATGTCATCCGCAAAGCAGATCGGGCAGTCAGCTAACCCAGCTGCCGCCGCTACGTAGGCAGGGAAGGACGCAGCGAGCGCGCTGAAGGCGAGCAGTTCAAAGGCAACCTGGCGCCAGTGGTGGATGTCTTCCGTGTGGTGGGGGATTTTACCGATGCGTATGGGAGGGGTTTGGGAATACGCCTGCGCTGGTGAACACGTGCGGCCCGGCGTTTATTACCTCCCAGCAGGCGGCTGGCGTGCTTGCAGCAGCAAAGCATTTCCCCGGCCTGGGCTCAGCGGCGAAGGACGCGAATACGGATGTTAAGCCCGTTACTATCACGCTGGCGCTGGATGAGATGCGGAATGTGGATGAAGCGCCGTATAAGGGTGCTATTGCGGCGGGTGCCGACATGGTGATGGCGTCTTGGGCGCTTTACCCAGATCTTGAAGCGAAGTTGCCGGCGGGGTTGAGCGTGCCGTCGGTTCAGGAGGAGCTGAGGCAAAGGCTTGGGTTTAAGGGGGTGACGATCACGGATGCGATTGAAGCGGGGAGCTTGAAGGCGTTTGGGAATGATGCGGAGCGTGGGGTGCTGGCGGCTGTGGCGGGGATGGATATTATTCTTGCGTCCGGGAGGAATGCAACGCAGGGCGAGGGCGATTGTGAATGCGCTTGTTGCAGCGTTGGCGAATGGGAAGCTGTCTCATTATTTTAGCAAGGGGACTGAGAGGATCCTTGCGATGAGGAAGAAGCTTGCAGTCTAAGTAGTTTTGGTATTTAAGAAAGGGTCGAGACCCATCTACGTTTGATTTATTACCGTGAACATATACTATACTTTTATTTGTATCATGGGAGCTCGCTCCGAGCTTTGAAAGATCAGATACAACCTCAAAGTACAGAGAACTGCCACCACCTCTTCCTGCCGCCACATATTCTCGTCACTGACCATATATTCCTGTCACTGCATTTTCTTGTCACCACAACTACCTGCCACCACAGCTTTCTCAAAGATATGTCTGGCACACCCTTGATAGGAATAGTTCTCGACATCTTTCTGGACGCGTTTTCCAAGCCTCTCAGGGCGCATTCGGCAGTCTGGACTGGTGCTGGCGCTAGTGCTGGTTCTTCTGTGTTTTGGCCATGACACTTTCAGTCTTCGATTTATAGGCTGATCTTGGTGGCAGTTGGAGATGCAGATTTGGCTTGGATACGAGTTGCTACGCTATGACGGGTGATATCCGTAAAATCCCAACCCAAAACCCACCCTTTTATTTCTCATTTCCCAAGCCAAACCTCCACTGGTTTTCCGTCGGTCTCAGAACCGTCCAATGACATTAATCATCACGCCTCACCCTCCACAAAGTGCCCATATATCCCACACACCGCTTCTGCATTCATGCCCCGATAATCGCCAGTCATCAATTCCCGACCCCTTAAAAGACACTATCAGCGACCCCGGTCTCTCCAACAACAACTTGATCTAGAAATCAGAGCAACGATATGACAGATGTGCAGTCAAACGCACTTATCAAGATAGAAGCAACTTTCTAGCTCACCTACGCTCTCGTTCTGGATCAGAGAGACGGCATGGCAGGGTGCTGTTGCCGTGCGTTGCTGCTGTCACCACGCCGCTGTCACCATACTACCGCTGCTGTCACCTCGCTGCTGTAGTCATCACGGCGCAGCTATTAATGCAAACACCACACATACACTGTCATCGCGTCCAGCACGCCCACGGAGCACTACCCGTTTTGAGAGCAGCGAAAACAATGACGTTGGCCGCACAGGTGTTGTTTTGCCACATCGGACCGATGAGATGGCGATTACACTTGTCAGTGATTAATAATGGCATGTGCTGTCGATATAGTGCCAAGTGTCGATTTTAAATGCCAAGAATGACCTTGTATCATACGAGTGTATCTCGAAGTCTCCAAGGTGTTCCGGATCAACGATTCCCAATAGAGACCGTCGTCATGACTGGCGAACAAACCATCCTGGGTCAAGGCGCAAGCCCTGATGCTGGGGCTGACCTTGGTCCTTTTATAACCTTTGCGAGGACATCTTCCCCTGTGCCGCTTGATTTGTAGGCGTTTCGGAATCTGATTTGCTTCACCTGCGCACTTATCTATCTACGAAGATTCCTATCCATAGCCCTTAGCATTCCTCGACCCTCATCCCCTTCCCCAGCCCTTTAAACCCCCGAACTTGAATACCCACCCCATTTCCGGTATAAAACCCCATCCAAAACCACACCCCGACTCGATATATGTGCAGCACAGCCCACCTGTGGATATAAAAGGAGTACTCTCATTCGATTTCTCAGTTTCAACGATAACAATGTGACGCCCAAGCAATGTCTGGGTCTGGTTCCGCTTCAGCGGAGAGGGCATGGCGTCCGGCTCTGATTCCGATGCGGCAATAGAGGGCATGTGTAGGTGCTACTGTCACCACTCTGCTGCTGTCACACGCCGCTGTTGTCGGCCCGCCGCTGTTGTCGCCGCAAACACCACGCACGCTGTCGTCACGCCAATCAAGCACCACGCACTCCTGACGTCTCGCGCCACTTCATCCATACTCATTGCTTGGTTTCGCATATTATGGACGTCTCCGTTCTTGTGATGCCTCTAATCTCTATCGGACTGCTTCCGCACGATAGGCCTCGGGGTATATAAAGCTCACGCTGGCAGAGTACTGGCAGAGTATTGACGAAACAGCGCACAAGAATCAAGAAGATAGGTGGCTATTGGGCTGGCGAGGTAAGTGCGGGTTGTGGATTGAGATCTTGTTCGGGTGCGCGAGAAGGGTGTGGGGGAGGGGACTGCTGTCGACGGGTGTCGTCGTCGATACTGTTGCTGCTGTCACCAGGCTGCTGTCGTGTGGTATACTCCTCTCACTCCTACTACCCGCACACCATCGAGCGAGCAGCGAGCGCTGAAGCCGGGGAAGTGAGGGGGTTATATAAAGCCTGTCCTGGCTTGTTGAGAGAGCAGCACTGCATATTTACTACGTGCGGACAGGTGCGTCCGGTGCTGCGTTGGTGGGGCGGGTTTGGGGGGGATGGGGGAAAGCTTTTGTGGCGGATGGTGGATGGTGGAGGGGGGGTGTTGTTGTTGTCGACGTGCTGTTAACGGTGAGGTGTTGTTGTCGATACTGTACTGCTGTCATTGTGGTATGGTGTTGTCACCGCTATCTTTGCACCCCCCCCAAATCTCTGGCCGCCCTTGGAACAACTCGGGGTCTGAATGCATCCATTGTGAGATCTTGGGGCCTTTAACTCACCCCAAGTACAACAGCGATTGGGTCTATCATGCACATTCTCGCAGACGGATAGACAGAGTGATATCGCACGTATATCTTTCCGAGCCCAAATCTCTCTCCAGACCGCCCCTCGTCCATCCTCCACCTTCCAAACCCCTTTCCCATACCAACACCTCCTCCATCTCACCTCTCATCTCTCCACCAGTCCAACGCCTTGCTCAACACCCTCTCCATACCACTTCTCTTCCCACTTCTTCAAACGCTTGGGTTCCCTTTCCAGCTCGGGCTGCATCATAGGTGAAGTCCGCCTTTTGCGGTTTTCAGATGTGGGCCAGAGTAATTGGTTCATGCATAGCATGATAGTTACAAGGAACAGGCTGAGGACGAGGCGGCTCGGAGACGAGGTCTATATGTCTCGTCTTTTCGATGTCATCTTTGCCCGTGGATGCGATTCCGGTAGTGTAATGAATGGGTCCTGGTAAGCTCGACAGCGGCGTCCTCTCGTCTCATCCCCTAGAATATCCAGCGAAGGGGTGAGTGATGTGCACAAGTTCGTCGGTGTTGGAAAGGAAGTTGGATTGAAGACCGGCGTCGAAACATCCGAACAAGGGAGACTCGTAACGTATTTTAGAGGGTGTAAGTAGAATCTACTGAACTATTAACGTGGATCAATGATTCAGAGATAGCAGAATGCATACGCCTAGAGTTTCGTTACTACGAGTGGCACACGAAGACGAGAGAAGTACATTTGTAGTGGTAATGAGTTATTGGCTATGTGGTGGAGGGTCTGACGGCGGTGGGGGTATGTAATAGCAATGGGGGCAGCGGCGGGGGTGGTGATGACAGCAGTAGCGCCTCGACAACAGTATCACGGTGTTGAAAAGTTCTTTCCTTTCTCCCCACGACACACTTTTCACTTCGTAAGCTTCGATAATTCCTTACGTTCCAACGTGATCGATATCGTATAGTGCATCCTACCAATACTACTGACATACCGCAGTAGCCTCCCCAACTGACCCAACGCTGAGTGGATGTCATGTCAGACTGGTTTGGGCTCGGTTGCCGCAGTGGAGTGGGGATCGTTGGCTGGGAGTGGAGGGAGTGGTGTTGTGAGGGGGAGCAAAGACTGATAGTTGATCGTCTGTATACGAGCTATGAGATTTGGCGAAGATGACATTTAAGGAGGACGAGATTGGTTTGTATAACCCAGCTCGCTTCCGGGGGGTGGGAAGGTGGAAATTGGAAAAGGGGTATAAAAGGAAGGTTGCAACCCCCAGCCCCCCTAGTAAAGCCTACTAGTTGCAGTTTAATTCTATCTACTCTGTAGATGAGAATGAATGCAAGGAAGCTCTAATAAGATATCTTCGTATAAAGGAGGAACCTTTAAACGAAAAGCTACAGAAAGCGGTTCTAGAAGATAAGAATCACCCACTATCTCGTTTTGTATTAGAGAAAGATACCCTATTATACAAGAAAACAGAGATAGGATAAGTAGTATACCTTGCTCTAATATTTTAGAAGGTATACCTTAAACGAGCACATTAGGATTATAGACATCTAGGTTAGCTAGGACTAAATGGAGCTCTATAGAATAGAGTTTAGTAGCCTACAACAGAGAGAGACGTCTAAAATTAGATATAAATGTGCCTAGCTTGTTAAGCGTTAAAGGGCGCTCGTACAAATGTTATACCTTTTTTGTGGCCATGTTTCGGAGGGGGTGTTACAGTATCTCATCAATACTCTAAACCACCCCCTCCCCCCAACTCCCCACCCCCGGACTCCTCGGATCAACCACCGCCCTCTCCTCCCCCTTTCCCCCTTCCACCCTTTCCCCTCCTCCCCCCAGCATCCCCCCCAAACTCCCAAACTCCCCTACATTCACAACCCTCACCCCCGGAAGCGGCGGCACCCCCTCCCCCGCCCCAACACCCCTAACAAAAACCGCACTCTTCTTCTTCCTAAACCCCGGCTCCCGCTGCAACCTCTCCATCCCCGTATCCGCCTCATACACCTCCGCAAAAGGTTGGATTCCGAAATCGCCCACCGTGGGGCTCATGAGGGCGGGTGGTGAGGTGTCTGTTTCTGCAGTTTGGATTGTGGGCAGAGTGATTGTGGGCAGAGTAAGGAGGGTGTGGGAGAATGGAGGCGGGACGGCGGTGATGGTGGTTGATATTGCAATTTTTGGCCGCTGTTGCGCGGCTAAGGAAAAAGGTTGTGTTTGTTGGGGTTGGTGCTGGAAAAATGAAGGTAGTGGTGCGGCGGCTGGTAAGAAAGGGAGTTGGAACGACGCAGCAGGTAACCTCGGCGACCAAAGCGCCGCCTCCACCACCGGCGCCTCCGGTAACCTTGGCGACCACAGCGTCGGCGACGGAATCGCGGGGGACGGGTATGTAGGCTGCGTCACCCTCCCAAAGTTCGGCAAGCTAGGCGCTGCACGCAAAGGATGCGCGGGTTTGAATGCTAAAGAGGGGGCAGGCTTGCGTTTCGCCGTGTGTTCGTCGCGATGAGTTGCGAAGCCGCCCCTCAGCGTCGGCGCGGGGGGAGATGCCGGTTGCGAGTTCGTCGGTGTGTCGAGGGTAGGTGGTTGCGGGATGCTCGAGTAACGTTTTGGGAATATGGGCGCGGGCAAGTCGGGGGTGAGGTGTTGTTGTTGTGTTTGTTTCGCCAGCGGTTCCTCCACCGTCACTTGTGGTAGAGGCGGAGGTGCGGCCTTCGCCACTGCAGCTGGAGGAGGAGCACGAGCAAGTGTAGGAGGCGCCAAACCCCCACTATGATCTCCAAACCCAAACACCCTCGGTCTCGCAGCCGAATCCGATAACGGCCCAGCAGCCGGCAACATACTCTTCGGATCCCCCTCCGGCCACGTAAACGACGGCGCCGACGACGGTCCGGGCGACAACGCCCTCAAATCCGGCGTCGAGTTGCCCCTCACATGCGGTGGCGTCCCGATGGTCTGACTATTATGACAGCTCGGATCCGACGGCAATGGCGCCGTTCTTGGGCTCTCGTTATTGCTTCCGCTTCCGCCGGTGTTGAAATCGATCTCGTCGACCGAAAGCGCCATGCGGTGTTTATTCGGACTCCGCCCCATCTTCGAGTTCTGGCGCGCTTGGAGAGTCTTGCGGAAGTCCTGGAGCGCGTACATGAGGTTGATGTTGGGGCTGACGTACTTGCTCTTCGCCTGGGCAGCGTTGTACGCCGCGTCGACGGTGAGAGAGGGGTTACGGTACATGCCGTAAGCGATGATGAGGGAGGCAGAGCGGCTAGCGCCCTGTTGGCAGTGGATTAGCACCTTCTTGCCTTGGGTGACGCGGTCGTCGATGGTTTCGCAGAGGGCGAGCAGGTCTTTGGAGATGTCGGTGTTGTGCTCCCAGGGGATGTGGATGTATTCTGGTTCTTTGGAGAGGGGTTTAGGGGTCGTGGGCGAGGTCCCAGTTGGGGTCGAGGCGTCAAGGGGTTGGACTTCGAAGGCGGTGGTGAAGGTGGCCATGGATGATCCTGTCATTGGCGGGCTGTCGCGATCGATATCCATCGCGTCAAATGACTTTGACGGCTCAGCGACCTGGCTTTTCGGCTCCTCCGACGCCTGCTTGGCTTTAAACGGATTCTTGACCTCCGACGCCACATTCATGACAACATCAAACTCCGCCGCCTCCTCCGCGCTCGGCTCGAGATAGAGGAAGACATACGGCTCATATATCGCAATCGGACCATCCGGATAGCCCGGCGACTTCACATCCTCATTCGCCGCGCAATCAAAAGTATCCCCTCCAATATCACCCCCCGATCTCGTCGCGAGCTGCGTCCTGATCGGCGAGATCTCCTCCAGCTTGTGCTGCCGCCCCGTCGCCCTCGATTGTAGGATCGGGGTAGGTTTGCGGAACGCATTCGACAGCCCCGAGATCTGCGAGCGCTCGAACCCAGGCAGCCTCATTCCGCCCTGGGGACCAGCCATGCTGCTCCTTAGATCCGGGCTGAACATGCCCATATCCGATGTCGACGCCGCGTGATGCAGCGTCGTCACCCGCAGTCCCGCAGGCGTTGGCGGCGGCTCCAGGGAGAGCAAAGGCAGGGCATTCCCGGCGAAATTCGACGACGTCTGGAGACTGAGGTTGCTCGGCTTCTTCCTGGGTTTCGGCAGCGGCGGCTTGACGAAGGCAGCTGGCGATGCTGGGGCGGACACCTGGACTAGCGGGTCGAGCAAGCCCAGCTTCAATGCTAGGCCCTTTGCATTCCGCGGTTTCCGGGGTGAGGGGGAGGTCATGGGGCGGTCGAGGGAGTCGCGGATTATGGGGTTATCTGACATGGTTAGGTCGTCGAGGGAGTGGATTCCGAAGCCCTTGGAGGAGAAGGAGGATAGCGGGAGGATGATAACTGGGGACTCCGGCGACGAGCTGGGCGACGGGTCTGTGAGGGCCGACGAATCGGCGGTAGAAATAGTAGTAGTAGGCGAAGAGTCCGTGGACCCAGAAGCCTGCGTCGACGTGCTGTCGCGGTGCTTATGCTGCAATTCCGGTTCCGGCGCAGGGCTCGCAGTCGCGCTGTCGTCCTCCCGCGGTGATAGTGGCGATGATGCGTGTGCGGCGGCGTCTCCAATGGCAGCTGCTATCTCTGATTGCTGCTGCGGGGAATCCACGAAGGCGGTGCTGTCCATGTTAGGGGCATTGCAGCTGTAGACGGTCATGAAGGAGGGCAGTTGGGTGTGGTATGCCTGCGGACCAGCTGCAACGGGCATGCTCCGCAAACAAAGTGGCGGCGACGGGCGACGGGCGACGGGCGCGGGCGTGGGCGTGGTCAAACGGGAGCGGATGTGATGCGCCCTGGCTGTGCTTGGGGGTGAAGCAGGCGCGTTGGGAAGGCGAAGCAAACGTGGACGAAATGAAGCAAGGGGTCCTCCGGATATGATTACAGCAGCGCGCAGCCGCAGAGTGATGTGTGCAAAACGACAAGGACTGGGTCGTGTAGGTCGGGTCGTGTAGGTAGGGTCGTGTAGGTAGGGTCGTGTAGGTAGGGTCGTGTAGGTAGGGTCGTGTAGTGTAGGTAGGGTCGTGTAGGTAGGGTTGTAGGTAGGGTCGTGTCGGATGCGCAATCGATTGATATTAATAAGATTCGAAGCAATCGTAGGATCCGGGACCAATTAAGGCCAGCAATATCCGTCGTCTGGTCTGACACGAGGTGGGAATCTTCGTAGAGAAGTTGAAGTTGACAGAGGTTTGTTCGGGGGGGGGTTGGGGGGGTAGAATTACGCTCAGCGCAACAAGACCGACGAACAAGATGCGAAAACAAGAAGGCAAGGTTTTGGAACAAGCGCCGGTCGAGTGGGCGTCTAGTTGTTGGAGGAGGGAGGTGAATGGGCGCGGGAAGAGACGCTTCTAATTGCTGAAGGGATGAAAGGGTCGTGGGTTGCGCGGGAGAGGGAGAGGGAGAGGTGTCGGTGTGTATGTGGTATGTGGCAGTGTGTGAGTGGGTGGTAGTTGGTGGCAAGTAGGTATCCTCGCTCGAGGACGGCGATGGAAGAACAAAGAGACGACCACTACTCCCGAAACCAAAAACACCCATCCGTGCACTACCCAGCAGCTGGGCGACGCCATCGATCCCAGCAACAATTTCCAAAAATAACCCCCAGTGTCGCACTAAACTCTTAGTACACCTTCCCCCTGTCCAATCGCAAGCCCCACATCCACGTCGCCGTCGCCACGGACGGAGGTGGTGTGGACAACCGTAGGAGGCGGCCAGTCAGGAGCTGGAGAGGGTGGTGGATGGGGGTTTGTCGGCGGGAGGGGGCAGGAGGGTGGATGGATGCAGGGGAGGGGAAGGGGGATGGCGATGGGGAGGGTAGGGGGAGGGGGAGGGGGAGGGGGATGGCGATGGTGAGGGTAGGGGGAGGGGGAGAGGATGGCGATGGGGATGGCCTGGCGATGGGGATGGCATGGCGATGGGCGGTTAGGGTGGCGAATGAGGGGAGGGAATTTAGAAGCGGCCTTGCTCCGTTGATTTGAAGCCTGGAACTGGTGATTTGGTGATTTGACTATTGTATGGATGGATCTCGGCTGGATTTCGGTGTTTCCAGCTAAAATTATCACTTTTGGCAGCAACAACCAACAATCAACTACCAACAACTAACGCCCCTTTTCCATACCAGGATACTCTCTGCTGACTCACCAGCTTCCGCCCTCATTGTAGCATCGCTTATACCTGTTGCAAAGAAGCTATTAAAAGAGTACCAGATACGCTTACGGTATCACCAGAAAGCAGCTCAGAGAGCTCGGAATCGTCAAGAACGGCAACAGATGCGCCGTGATGGCCAAGGGCGTCTTGAAACAATGTCTCTTGGTGAAGAGGCATTCGGCCAACCCCTAAGTTAGCCTTGTATATCCTTTGTGCACAGCTTGCCTTTCCTAGGATGGTCGACTCTCGAGAGGCTCTTTGGTCAGTCAAAGCCTTAGTTGAGTATTGTCCTTACGGATACAATACTCTTCCTTTATAAGACCTTTTCTAGAATACTCGAGTGGCATCCGCAGCTTACATACAAGCATATAGAAGCCTTCTTAACAGCTGTTAAGGAGATCGGAGGAGAAGGGGGGATCTAGGGCTTCGTTAATGGAACCAGAGGAACAGCGTCTTGACTTTTCTGGCCATAAGCACCTTCATGGTATTAACTATTAAGTGATAGTTATGCTAGACGGTATTATGTCATTAGTAACAGGACCTTAGCCTAGTCTAGTTAATGACTAGACTATGTGGTGCCGCTCTTCTATAGAGCAGCACTTACGAGAGGTATGCCCCCTTTTGCGCCTTTTCTTGATTATACTAACTATTTACGCTATCTAGGTTATAAATGGTCATGAGACCATCCTTCGAGTATATGGTGACCTAGCATATAGATGTCATACTGACATTCGTTGCACTCAGTTTGCTATCAAACTCAAGAGCAAACTCAGAAATCTCCTCCTCAAAACTAGAGGGCTAAGTGAGAGCAAACTTAGAAATCTCCTCCTCAAACCTACAAGTCAACATACATATCTTGAGGACCCAAAAGTCATCTGTGATTGGTTTGAGCTTATACACAACACAATTGTGAAATATGGCATCTATGAAGCCGATATCTACAACTTTGATGAGACTGGGTTTATAATGGGTGTTATTTTAACTGCTATGGTTATAACAAGCTAGACGGGCGGGCAAAAGCAAAGAAGGTACAGCCTAGCAATCGGGAATGGGTTACAGTAATCCAAGGTGTTAGTTGCCAAGGTTGGGCAGTGCTACCATTTGTCATTGTTGCAGGCAAAAACCACCTTGTATCTTGGTATGAGAATAGTGGATTTCCAAGCGATTGGGTCATTGCTGTTACTGAAAATGGCTGGACTACAAATGAGAGAGGCATGGATTGGATTCAGCATTTTAAGAAGCATACAAAGCCCCAGACTGTTTGTGGTAATCGCCTCTTAGTCCTTGATGGTCAAAGAGCCACCACTTAGATGAGTTTGAGGAGACTACAAGGAACACAACATTATTATGCTTTGTATGCCTGCTTAGTCCTCCCATTTACTCCAGCTGTAAGGATGCTGTTACGACGGAACAAGAAGGCTGGCCAACTACAGGACAGGAAGGAGGGAGGTCGCATGAGACCGGCCCTGGTACCTGGAGGGGCAGCGGGGAATAGTAGTTCCGAAAGTATCACGTGACGGACTCGCAGGATGATGAGAAGAGTCCTAAGAGTCCAGGACTCCGAGGACTCGAGTGAGTTCCCAGGAGTCCACTAGGCACGTGATGGACTCGCAGGATGATGAGAAGAGTCCTAAGAGTCCAGGACTCCGAGGACTCGAGTGAGTTCCCAAGAGTCCACTAGGCACGACGCCACTATATAAGTAGATAGTATTTCCTTAGATAGGAGCTTCGTGCTCAACTCAATACAGTATTTGTTATATACTAGTAACGTGTTACTTGAAGCCTTTGTGTCTGATCCCCTGCCTCCTCTGATAAGTAAACCCTTATGCAAGAGAACCTCTGTGTCTTCTATCGTTTAGAAGTCAGCGTTACACTTTGAGCACCACTTCTACGAGGTACCGGCTTACACACAAAGCAACATGTCTGTCGTCAGTTCGAAGGGGAAAACCCCCACCACGCCAACTTCATCTCAGAGGTCTAAGCCTGAGAATGAGGAGATGCCCGACGCACCCACCGTCAACGAACTCAAGGAAACTCTACGCGTCAAGTTGCCCGACACTTACTCCGGCAACCGAAAGGAACTTGAGGTGTTTTTGCTACAGGTCGAACTGTACCAGCACTTCAATGATGAGAAGTTTCCCACCCAGGAGAGCTATGCCCTGTGGACTGCGTCCTACCTTAGGGGGGAAGCCCTGCGATGGATCGAACCATTCCTCAAGGACTATTTCAAATATGAAAGTACCAATGGAAGCATGACAACTACGCAGACTATGTTTGGCAGCTGGAATGGATTCTGTAAGGAAATCCGACGCATGTTCGGAGACATCGATGAGATTAAGACCGCAGAAGACCATCTGTTTGCACTTAAGCAGACTGGCAGCGCCCTCACATACTCCACAGAATTCCAGAGATACGGCAATCAGACAGGATGGGACGCCAGCGCACTCATCAGCCACTACCGACGTGGGCTGAAGAGCCATATACGTATGGAACTTGCCCGTTTGGAACAACAACCAACGGACATGGTAGCGCTAATCGAACATACGGTCCGAATCGACAATCGACTATACGAATTCCAGAAGGAACGTCGGACCTATGACAAGCCCAAGAAAAGTTACCCCTACCGGGGAAACGAGGGCAGACGACGGGATCAACACCCGCGAGACAACCGTTGGTCGGACCCAATGGAACTCGATGCCACGTTCAAACCTGGACGACCCCGTGACCCTAAGAAAGACAGACAATTCAAGGAGCGACTCTGTTTTAACTGCGACAAGCCAGGCCACATGGCCCGAGACTGCAGACAGCCAAAGAAAGGGAACGGCGGACGCAAAGTCGGCAAGCAACTTAACGCCACCTGGACAGGACAGTTGAACGCAACGTTTGTGAGCAAACAAGACTGGGGAATAAACGGCGAAAGCACCCCAGAAGACGAGAGCTCAGATGAAGGGTCGGAGGCGGAATCATTCACCGTCTCGGAACAGGAGACCTTCGATGAACTCGCACCTACGGAACCAATGAGTCCACGGTGCAAGAGCGTAGTAAGATGCATGGCAAAACACGCCCACGCGAAGATTAGGGCCGAACGAGACAAGCCCAATGGCCAGAGGAGAATCCCCATGCTTAAAGACCTCTACGGGAACCTGTTACAGGGACTTCCGTTAAAGTGCAAGGTGGACGACTGCAAGGATGACCTCTGGAGATACTACGACCAACTAACGAATACCCGCAGGCTGCTTGGCACGTCCCAAGACGTAGCTAAGTTGGAAGCCCAAGAAGCGGAAGAACTGGAGAAGGATGTCGAGCATATGGCTAAACTGAAGTATATGAAAAGCGTCGAACTTTACTACCAGGACCGCAGGAAAGCCCTGAAGAAGTACGACGTGAAAGCCAGAGATATGCTCCGACGGGAAAATGCGAGACCCACTCCACGCATCGAAAGGAGAGCCATGGAGCAACTAGACACGTTCTCCACGCCTCCGAGGGAAGATAGTGCATGGGTGAGAGGACAGCGGGAACTATCAACGACAGACGCAACAGAGACTGATCATCCCTGGCACGCGTATGTCTACTGGGAGTATTGCAGCGAAGATGACTGCAAGCTCCACTGGAAAAAGAAAC